GCGAGCCGACTTCAAAAATAAGTGGCACAAGTCTTACGAAGGGAGGGCACGCCGCCAACAAAGTAGAGTGATTAACTATTAGCTATCAGATTATCTTCCCTCACAAAGGATATCCTGTCTGCTCTTGAGTATAGCGGGATCCTCGTACTTATTACTAGCACTGACTATCACAAAATAGGTGGCCTACTCGTCGTTATCGAGCACTCTGTGTCAGACTGTGCCATTTATTTCTGAAGTCGGCTTGGTGGGATTTTCAGCTCTCCGATACTACCCTACAGGTGCGTTGGTACTGGGGGCCCTTTGCGGATACGAGGCAATGTGCTGGTCCTTCAACTTCATTCATCGAGTCCTCGGGTCCTGCATGAAGCTCCATAGGGTATTGGCTTACCCCGAAGAAGATACACGAAATAACAGGGAGAAGTGTAAGCGATGCAGAAACTGAAACGATCGGACTTTGACGACATTGGTGTATCGACTTGGATGGCACTACCATACAAACCACTAATATACCTGCAGATGGCTATCTATCTATCTATCTAACCCCCCAGCTCAGGTCAACCTTCCCACATCAGTTCATTTACCACGGAAGCGGACCCTTCAGGGACGTGAAAGCACCATTCGGACCGTTTGGGTCAGTGCTGACGATCAACCTGCACGCCTCGAGTGCCCCCTCGGCCGGGTCGCCGCCATATTCGTGGAACCCGTTCAGGTTGGTGGACCGGAACTCCGGGTCGACCATGTTGACCTTGAAGCCTTGCTTGCCGAGCTGCACCGCGTACTGCGCGCCGAGCATGTTCAGCGCGGCCTTGGACGTGAAGTACGGTTTCGCGTCGTAGCCGTAAAAGGGGCGTGAAGAGTCCAGACAATACGTGATCGAGCCGAAGGTGGACGACATGAAGACGATCCGTGGGTGGGGGGAGTTCTTCATCAACGGGATGAAGGCCTCGGTCACGCACGCGGCGCTGATGGCGTTGGTCTCCATGACTCCGCGCAGGTCCTCACGAAGGCTTTTAGCGCCGGGCGTTGACATTATTCCGGCGTTGTTGAAGAGGACTGCCGACGATAATTAGCACGTCGTCAGGGAGTTTGGGGCTTTGACAGATGGCAATCTGGGAGCCACGCAGAGTGCGGATAAGGAAGAGCACTAATTACTCACCGTCAAGTCGACCATATTTCTCCTCGACATATTTCACAGCTCTCGCGATCGACTCGTCGCTGTTGACGTCCAGCTCAAGCGCTTCGACTGTGGTGTCGTTTGCGAAATTGGTGACAGCACTGGCGGCCTGCTTCCCCCGTTGAGCGTCCCTCGAGCAGAGAATGATGCGGTACCCGGGCTGCTCGGCGGCCAGCTTCTTGACACATTCGAATCCAATGCCCTGGTTTGCGCCCGTGATCAGGACGATGGTGTTGGATGAAGGCGACATTCTCGGCAGCAGGCAGTGAGGTAAACACAAGCAATGTATAACTGACTAATCAAGGGTATGGGCCCTTCTCTGGCGTTTAATGAAGACGGTATCCAAGTGCTCGATGTGAAGAAGATTGAGGACTTGAATCCACGAATATGTTCTCCGCGCAGCATCCTTTAATAGTCGTGAATCGGTCCCAGCGGACCCAGTGTGGCTTGCTGGATTTTTAAACAATGGAGCATCTACGAAGCCTGAAGCTGAATAGGCAGCATCCCTGACTTGGACGATTCTTGCCATGATGAAGCAATCTTCTCGTCTTGCAGGCAGTCATCAGCACCTGTGGCGAGAGAGGATGACCACAGCAATGTATTTCGAGATGGCGAGGCTCTGGACTTGGGCCCGAATCGGAGGACCAAGGCTGCAGCTAACGCCTAGTTCGACGAGCGGACCAATTATCATCAGTACCGGGAACGGGGCCTGGAACCCAGCGCTGACGAGCATTTTTGGTGCTCGGTGAAATTCGGTATACTTTTGAATGCCGGTCGTCTGATGGACGTGTTATCACGGCCTCCTGGGTACCTCGTATTTTGACTACTGCTGACAGATTTTTGCTCATGGGCGGGTGAAGGGCGTGAAGTGGGATTACAAAAGGTCAGTCGCACTCACCCCAAAAGGCTGCTTGACGTAGATGGTTCTGGAGAGGCAAACGGGTAGAATGGCTCGACCTCCGCCCTACGCCCTGCCGGGAACGCCGAGGACAACCCATCCGCAGTAGTGCCAACCACATAGGGTAAAAATTCGAGCAAACTATCAAGCCTAACTCCAACCACGTGTCCGGGAATGAGAGTCCTTCATGACCTGGAAGGTGTACAACAAACCTCCATTTCCGCCCCTTCTCTACTCCTGCAATCCGTCGGTCATGGTCGCGTCATTGATGGCAGTCCTTCCAGATAATCGCCAGCAAAGGGCGAGGAGGCAGGTGACTCGAGAGCACCAAAAGAGGCAGTGAGAAGCCCTCCAACACGAATTTTGTATTTTTTCTGTACCAACAGCAATCTCACAGAAGAACGTTCAATAGCAGAACCTTGAACACCCGCCGGTACGACCAGAAACTCCTGGCAATGCGCTTTCCAAAGTGAAGCCATCCCAGTAACACCCACTTGTTCTTTCCTTTCTTGTCGAAGAGATTAGGGTTCAAGTCACCAAACCAGCAGTCAAACTCTTCTTGAATATTAATCTCATCACCAATTGATTCTCCGAAATTGTCACTCGGTAGTAAGTGCTGGCTCAATGCATTGCTCAAGTCGCTATCGCAGGCTCCAAACAGCCAATTGACAGATTGTCTTTTCCCCAAGAACGGAAAATAGTGTTGGCCATCTTGCCGCGCTGCTCTGGAGGCGGCATACGAGGAACGATCATTGCTGCCTAATGAATTCCCATTCTCCCAGTATCCTTCTAGACGCTGTTGTGCGACAGTACTCGGTCGAAGTCCTTTGTCGTCATTTGAGCCACTGACACGAATTCCCTTGAGGAAGTCTCGATATGTTTCGAGGTCATGCATGCAGTCGGCCCAACTTTCCCCAAGTTCTGGGAATTCAGCGTCGAGGTCCGTCAGCATGTCGAATGATAAGTCGATGTATGCAATCATATTCTCCAAGTGATCTGGGATTCGGTGCCGCAAAATCTCCAGAAGGGCCTTGTTGCCATTTCGCCAAAGCCGCCCTGGCAAATCATGTTGGAGTGCTAAGTTTCGAAGAGCTGGGGAAGCCGAAGGATGCTGAGACGCCAGGAAAAATTCGCGGTGTTCGTGGAGTAGCGTTCGGTGCAGAGCTATAAGGGCCTGCCATTGTTCATCGGTTAATCTGTTAGAAACCTGGGCCTGCTGGGCACAGATCTCGACACATCTCTTTTCGACCATCACGAGTCCCGCATATATTCCTGCCATGTTGATCAGAATAAGTCCCCAATTTTGTTGATTAGAACGAACTACCTTTGACTTCCTTCACGAGTTGTTCTTGCGAGATCACACAAGTGTCTGGCTGCAGCAAAGGCGGCAAATCCATTCCATCAATTCCCGAACATGCTGGTGGCTCATAGTTTTGAGACTCTGAGGCTTTCTTTTGTTTCGCATCAATCCACATCCGTTCTAGACCTTTCCACACCGGATCGTCTGGGTCCATCTGATATCGTTCTAGTCGTTGTAAATTTTCCACTATAGGATCGTTTTCAGATGTAGAGGGACAGCTGTGTCGATCTTGCCTAGGATAGGTTCTGCATTCGCTTTCTGAAAGGCTGTCCCATGCCGGTGGATACTTTCTCTTGGCCAGGACAATTGGGACTTCTTCGAGGTTTCGACGAATGTCCCATACAGAAGTGCCGGGAGGTGGAGGTTTCAATGACCATGGTTTTCCAGCACGTTTCCTTTCACGGGCTGAATTTGCCGACTCCCGTAGAATTCTCTGCCTTACACTCCCAGAAGACTCTGGGGGGTCAGCGGACGATGCAGCACCTGAAGCTCGATTGCGGGAGGTTGCGTCCATGATTGATTTGGGTCCGTTGCCCATCAGAGAACTAGGTGTTTCTGAGAGTGGAAGGACATGGGAGGATAGACAGAGAAGATTTTCTGTTGAAAGGCGAATCTAGTGAATGCGCCGACTTATGCGAGAAAAAGAAGAAAAAGAAGGGAGGATCTGGAGAAATCTGAGAGTGTATCTTATGCAGTGTGAAGTGAGTTGTTAGGGGAGAAGCGACCAGGGACACGACGCCCGACGTAGTCCAGGATTCCATCATGCGGGGGATGATCTTTGACTTGACCGAAACGAGCAGATTTCTCAAAACAGTCAAGCGCGACGGGCGTGAGCCTCCAATCAAGTAGGTCTTCTCTTCGAAGGACGGAACATAAAACAGGGATGTTACACCCCTACCGCTTCTTCTCATTGCCAAATACTGAAATCACCCTCCGGCAAAGTCTCAACTCTGGCTGTTGAGACCTGGGTCAAGTTGATATCGGAATAATCTCTGGATTCAGTGGCTAGCGATCAGTTGAAAGGCTTGGCCTTGCAGAAGGGATCCAATCAATACTTTCTTTGGTCCACCCATCCGTGTTCGATGCAAGGTATCAGCTGTTTCTTCGCCCAGTTCATTCTATTCCCGTTTCTGTTGCGCTGGCGGTGTCCGCGTCATCATTATAATTTCGATCATATTTCGTGGCGAGATGTCCAGTGTGTCCTCGACTTTAGGCGAATGATGGTTGGATCTTTCCACAGTCTCTTTGTTTTAGGCGCTCAGGAAGATTCGTCTCATACCTGGAGAGATTAATGATACATGAGTATTGGTGTTGAGGAAACGACAGCGGGAGAGCAAAGATTTGCCTTACATGTCCTTTGTCCATTCACAAGCTAGAGACCTTGTCATTGCCGGGTCGATAATCTCTTCTATCCCGAAATAATTCGCTGTGCGGACTGGATTCATCAGGTTGAGGTACTCGGCTTCGAGTCGGTTGTAGACCTGTTTGTAATTGTCTCCAGCTCTTCGGAGCTCGGCTCGATGGTTGACTAGTTCATGTTAGTCGATTGGATCACTATAGACGGAGACAAAATTGCATGCCTTCAATCCCACCATCAAGCGGAAGTGAACCCCAATTCACGGATGGCCTCAAGTCTGTTAGTTGGGTCAATGCATGACGTTCTCACGATCTTACCATGCGACCCGGCAATTTGGATTCCGGTTGTCAACGAGAATCGCCCCTCCGATACCATAGCATCGCCGAATGATGATGGTATAGATAGGAATTGTAGTCGCAAAGTAGGCCTGGCGAGTGATAAATAAGCGAACATATGGGGGGGTGTCAAATAATGAACCTTGCACAGCTCCATTGCCCATTTCATACAAGCACTCCTCTCTGCAGCCGTGCCAATTGCAAACCTGGTATATTGTTAGACTATAAGATCCATGCGGCGAAAGATACGCTTTTTGGAGGAGGCCACTCGCCCTGGGATATCCAAAAGTTGTATCAAGGGTAGGCCCATCACATCACACAGTTTGATATGCTTCATTAGTTTTTGGCAGCCGGGAGTATCCATAGCTCCGGCATTAAATTGAGGATCACTGAGGATCGCAGTTAGTTTTTGTTCAAGTCATAGAGCAGTTTTCGTCCTTTGACGAAACGAAAACGGTTGTCAGTTAAGAACAAAAGAAAAACGTACTCTGCGAAAATGCCCACTGGCCGGCCACCTAAGCGGGCTAGGCCCACCACGACCGTCCTGCCCCATAGCCGACCGATTTCAAAGAACGATTCCCCGTCAACAAGGCGGTTGATGATCGATCTGACATCGTAGGAACGTTGGCGCCTTCTCGGTATGGCCTCCCTCAATTCAGGGCACATTCTGTTGGGCTCGTCCGCGGACGGCACGACAGGTGGTAACACCCCGCCGTGATTCGGAACATATTGCAAGAACTGAGCTATCTGATCATAGCATCCACGCTCGTCTGCCGCCAAGTTGTCGATGACTCCATTGCAGCAATGAATCTCCGCTCCGCCAAGTTCCTGCGGACTGGGAAGATATCAGACGTGAAACAGGGATCCCAAGCAGCGGGCAACAAAAGCAAACCTCAGATCTTCTTCGAACGTGGCTCCCTCGACCACCTTTGGTCCAGCATTGAAGAGTGACCCGATATCATTTGCCATGACGGAGAAGTGGCATCCGGCTGCTCGCGCGGCACCCAGGCCAACAGCCGGACCGACCACGGCAGCGCAATTCGGGATGCCCAAGTCCAATTGCCGCATCTGCATGTCTGTCAGAGAGGACTCAAAGCTCTGGATTCTGCACTACTTACCACCCACGGCAACAATTCCAGCTGCGGAATGTAAGACGCTTTCTGAACCCGGTAGGTCGTTATTGAGCCACCGCCTGCGGCATATCAACACTCGAGGACGTCCAACACATGAAGTCGCCCACTTACCTGAGGAGCCGTCAACCAATTTGATCATGGGAAGCCTCATGTGTACTGCAAGCTTTTCCATGTAAAGTGTCTTTGCCATGAGCGCTCCGTCTGCATGGCCTGCGCGAAGAGTGAAGTCGTCGGCCGTCAACAATACCCGTCGACCCCGAATGTTCCCAAAACCTGGCCAACTGTGAGTTGGCGTTTCCCAAACAAAACTCTTGTCCTACCTTGAACATTATTGCTGGGAACGAAGTCGGCAATGATCTCTCTTTCCGCCTCGACCACGTTATCCGACGAAGAATTGGCTTTGACCCATGTAGCTGTGCCAGCAGCACTCCCGACTTCTCGAAAACTTCCCGGGTCAAGAAGCATTTCGACCCTCTCCCTCACCCATAGCTTTCCTGCCTCTTTGTGACGAATGTAACCAGTGGTGTTGGTCTTCGGGGTTTGCGCGAGTTTCCGAACTTGATCCAGCTCCGCCATCACATCGGACCAGTCTGCCGGACCTTCGGATGATTTTGTCTTCTTCTGGCGGCGAGCGTTGGATTTTGCAGAGACCTGCTGCTGTATCTGCTCAAGTCGGGCACTTGCCTTCGTCTTGTCTTGGGCAGAATCGTCGATTGCCATGATGTGTTTCCTTGAGGTAGAAGTATTTGGTACAGTGTTAGGTTGGGCCTGGCATATATTGTGACGGTCTCGTCGTACGAAAACGCTTCCGGCTATCTGTTTGACGCCTAGGAATTCAACTGTTTCGGTGGGATTACCGGCTTCGAAAGTCTTGATGAGGTGAATGTGAAGACATATTCCACGAGGCTGGTACAGCCTCATTCCAATCAAAATGCCTCGGTAACAGCCCATGAGCTCGTCAAGGGGCTTCCATAGCCCCTCATCCCCATTCACTAAGGACCCTAAAGGCTTGCTGACTCGTACCGACTTACCGAGGGCGACCTACCTGTGTAACCGAACTTCGAAAATAATTAAGTTGGTACCGGCATATCCGTCTTTGGTTTAGGCGGTCTTGCCCGCTCCAAGAATGGTGGCGTGTCGTCGCGTTTGACGGCTAAAGCAACCTCGCCTCCTTTGAGGCAGTGTTTGAATTTCCATTTACACATATGGACAAGTTTTGCAGAAGAAACAATGAAAGGGTGGACGCAATTTGCAACGAGAGCTCAAGTTGTGACTCGATTAATCCGACTCTCCGTCCAAGTCACTTCTACGGGTAACAAGGTAAGGAATGGTGGAGTCTCAAAATCCCGGTGACCTACATAAAGCCTCGATTTATTCAAACAAGATATTTCCCAAAGAACTCGGCGCATTTAGCACCAGCGTCGTCCACCTTGTCATACAGGTCCGCGTGAGTGAGACCATCGATTACATACAGCTCCTTCGGCTCCTTGGCCTTTGCGATACCGTCTTCGCTGTACCACTTCGTCGCCGCCTTGGTGCCGGTGATCATCAAGATGGGTCTGGGGCTGATCATGCTGTTGAAGGCAAAGGCATCGAAGTTCGCAAACATGTCCCAACCGCGGGCAAGAGTGATGTTCGGCGCGCGCGGATGCTCGCCCCGGGGAGTGTGATAGTACTGGAACAGGTCCTTGAAGCTCTCAGGCAGACTTTCAGCATCTTTCGCATTGCTGGGCAGCATGTGAATCTCTGGAACTTTTGCCCCACCGACATCGCTACTACGGTCTTTCGCGGCGGCCTCGAGCTGTGCGTGGAGGACGTCCAGATTGGACGAGTCCTTGTCAAAGCCGCGACGGGACATCGTGCCTACGCAGACCGCAGCCGCGGTGGCCACGGCTTTGATGCGAAGATCAGTCTGAGCTGCCATCGGGGCATAGCCGCCAGAGGCGCAGACCCCGAGAACACCAATCTTTTCCGAGTCGATGTCGGAGCGACCGACGAGGTAGGTCACTGCATTCTTGATGTCCTCTACGCGCTGGTAGGGATCTTCGAGATTGCGAGGCTGGCCTTCGGATTCACCCTGGTGGGCGGCATCGTATGCCAGGCATGTGAACCCAGCTTTGCTCAAAACTCGAGCGTAGTTGGCCGGCGCCTGCTCTTTGATTGACGTCCATGGGTGACAGATAACGATAGCTGCCCCTTTGCGATCCGGTGCGCCCGGGGCAGGGTGGTACAGGTGTGCTGCCAACTTGTAGGCACGGGAGTAGAACGAGACGTTCTCTGGCGTTGAGATGGAAGCCATATTGTGGAAGTCGGCTTGCTAATCGCTGGCGCAATTTCTAGTGTAATGGTTGCTTGTGTCGATGTCGGAATGCTGCTGCTCCCATCACCATTATACCTGCACCTGCGACTTTTGTTCTTTTATAACAACGAGAGACTCTGTCCCTACGTAATCTGCGGAGTTAATAACTCTATATCGACCTACGCTCGTATTTGGTCTCGTCCGTGCTTGTCCGGCGCCGCAAGTCACCACCGCCAGGTCCACGTTCCCAGCGGCTATAAAATATGTAAGGCCCCAGCTAGCCCGATGCGATCCATGTAACCCCGAAATTCTTCGGGGGTTCCACTCAATCACCCAAAACGAGCTTCAAGGCGAGAGAAAAGCGAGATGCATCCCTCCCCTCCGATGTCTGACTGAGGAGACCACAGACAATTGCAAGTTCTCGCGTGGTGGTAAACTTCTATCAATAACATCCCTTTCACTTCGCTGTACTACTCTCCGAGCTGCTCTCCTGGCCTTTTCCCTTAATCCCGAGAATCCATGTGAACCATTTCCCGTTCGGCCGGAGCCGTCTTCTCCTGGCGGCTCCTTGACTAAGTAGTCGTTTACATCGTGTCTTGAAGAAATACCGATGCAATGGCTGAGTAGCCATTACAGTTACCACCAGGTCTTTCCCAGATGGAAGAATATGATATGTATGATATTCTTGTAGTAGAGACTCTGGATATTCCGTGATTACATTCATTCTGTCGTCAGATTCATGAATTCTCGGTTCAACGCAGTACTTTTATTACCTACATTCATGATTCACATTGAACAAGGCAACTGGCTTACTTGCTATCCACTGTCTTGAGCTGAAAAAGCGAGATTTTCTCCTTTTCTGTTGGACCATATTGAGATGCAGAAACAGGAGTGGGAGGTGCTTCAGGCTACATTGAAGACCACCAATGATATTCCCAATACGGACGGCCGCCTTACCAGATGGGTGCCAGGTGTCTCTTCAAAAAGCCAGCTTTGAAGGTGACAATGGGTCATTTTCAACCTAGCATGAGGTAATTTAAAGGGTCACGCTGGTGACAGCCCAGTCAGTGTGTTGCCACCATCTTTCAATAGCCGATCCTACCGCTACGGCAAAGATTTTCAACGCCAGAATTGCGGATGACGATATCGCACATGGGGATGGAGCGGGGTTGATTCCACACACTACCTAACCCAGCCAATCTTCAAATTTACCGCGATGAACGTATGAACAAGCAACGGATGAGCTACGAGTAGAAGCTTGAGAAAACTGCGTTGCGGATCCCCGCTGATCAAATGCCGATTACCCACAAGCAAAGGAGTCCAGCTATCCAACCAAATATCGTTGATGGGTCTGCAAAAGCAACGCGGCTGGCTGGGAGCTTTCACTATTCTTCCGAAACTTTCGCCGATCAAAACATCTTTGCTCGACCAGGTAAGGCTCTCAATTTCCTAATCCTTGTAGCAATGAGAGAAGGGCGTGCTGAGGCCACGAGGGGATCCGCTGAGGATTGCTGTGGGGGAGATATAAGGACATGGAAAGCACGGTCTTGTGAAAGCCGCATCCCATCAAACTAGAGGTTCTTCATTCTACAGCTTTACTCTTCAGAACTTCTCGTACTATCTGCAAAGATGGGCATCGACAAGTCCCAGGACCAGACTCACATCGAAGATGAGAAAATGCCGCAACCCGCACCCATGCGACAACAATCAGTCGCATCTCGGCGTCTGAGTGAAGCCCAGGCCATGAAACTGGCAGAGGATGACACCGCCATCGTCGACGAAGAAATTGCAGAATTTGAGGCTGCCCTCGAAGCACAACCGGTCAAGAGCACCTTCCTCAATCCACAAATTTCATTCAATGATCCCCGTCACTTCACCTGGCTTCTCGTCGGGTTTGCCTCGATGGGCGGCATGCTCTCCGGTCTTGACCAGAGCGTCATCTCTGGTGCCTTGCTCTACATGCCTGACGATCTACATCTCAGCACGTCTCAAGTCAGTTTGACTAGCTCTGCCGTGCCCCTTGGCGCAATCGGTGGTGCTCTCCTCCTCGGTCCAATCAATGAATGGGTCGGTCGGAAGATGGCCATCATCATTGCCTTGATACTCTACACCATCGGTGGCGCTCTGGAAGCCGGTGCTATCAATTTTGGCATGATTGTGGGTGCAAGAGTAATCCTTGGTATGGGCCTCGGTCTTGAAGGAGGTACCGTCCCAGTCTACGTCGCAGAATCGGTCCAGAAAAAATACCGCGGCAACTTGGTCAGCCTGTATCAATTCATGATTGCCTTTGGAGAAGTCATCGGCTATGTGGTCGCGGCTATCTTTGTCAACGTCCCATCCGGGTCGTGGAGGTATATGCTTGGCTCCTCCCTGATTTTCAGCACCATTATGCTCGCGGGCGTAAGTATCTGACCTGCCGTCCAGATCCCTCCTATCATGTCTCTTCCATGCTAATGATAGACTAGATGCTCTTTATGCCCGAATCCCCGCGAATGCTTCTGCACAAGGGCAAGACCTTGGAAGCCTTCGCTGTATGGAAGCGAATTCGAGGTCTTTCCAGTGCCGAAGATCGCAAGGAATTCTTCATCATGCACCATGCTCTCGATGCAGAGATCCATGAGGGCGACACCAAGCGCCGGAGATTTGTCTGGCTTGATTTCTTCACCAATCCCCGTGCACGAAGAGCTATCGTTTACGCAAACATCATGATCGCGCTTGGCCAGTTGACTGGAATCAATGCAATCGTAAGTCTCCTTCGGTCTGGTTTCACCATGGATCACGATTGCTAACGGCGCTGCTCTTTGCCCAAATAGATGTACTACATGTCAACTCTCATGTCCCAGATCGGATTCGACAAGAAGCAATCCGTTTTCATGTCCCTCGTGGGAGGCGGCTCTCTCCTCTTGGGCACCATTCCAGGCGTGTTGTACATGGAAAGGTTCGGCCGCCGCTTCTGGGCAAACACTATGCTGCCCTGCTTCTTCATCGGTCTCATCTTCGTCGGTGTCTCTTATCAATTGCATTCGGTCACAGCCACAGAAGGGATGTACCTCACGGGGATCATTCTGTACAACGGCTTCTTCGGATCATACGCATGCCTCACTTGGGTCCTACCTAGTGAAGTGTTTCCCACCTATCTCCGGTCTTACGGCATGGAGTCCACCGACATCAACCTCTTCTTTGGCAGCTGGCTTGTGACCTACTTCTTCTCCGACATGCAACGGGCGATGACCAAGACAGGTCTCACGCTTGGCTTCTACGGAGGGATTGCGGTGCTGGGCTGGATCTACCAACTTTTGTTCATGCCTGAGACGAAGAACAAGACTCTGGAGGAGATCGACCTCATTTTCAGCCAGCCTACCAGCGAGCTCGTGAGACAGAATCTCCGAAATGTCACCCGGGGCATGAGTGACATTGCTCATTTCAGGTTTAGCAAGGTTTTCTCGCCCGTGGAAGAGAGCCATGAGGTTGAACGGCAAATCGACGAAGTCAAGGCCTAGACTGTGCTCCAAGCACGAGGTTAACAGGAGTGGCCGACCTCATGCGACACCATAGATTTCTTTGTTCGTGCAGTGACCAAATACATATATTGTCCGATTTTTCCGAAGCAAGCAGTTTATGCCATCCGCTGTCTCAATCCGTCACCGCTGCAGCCGTCGCTTGCACAACACTGGGTAAGTCCTTCTCAAGCTCCACTTGTCCATTCGCGCCCTTTGCGTCCCCATTCGTCGAGCTCGTGCGATAGTATTGTGTGAAATCGTGCTTCAAGACGTTCACGCCGTGTCGGAACTCCCTCGCAAACTTCCCGTCGGTCTCCGTGCGAAGACACATTTGCAGAAACTCGTCGTTCTCCAACGCTTTGTCCGGATCTTGGCCGAACAGGCGGACAATGTTCGCGCTCGAGATGGGGTCCACGACCTCCTTGTACTTTTGGCGCCGGATCTCCGAGTACTTGTCCAGGATCGAGTCGTCGGCGAGACCCTCGTGGATTCCCACGAGACAGTCATACAGGCCGCCGATGTCGACGATTCCGCCTGTTAATCCCATGCCGCCGAAGGGGTTGCACACTGTGCTTCAGGTCAGCAAAAGGGGGGTTGCCCTCCCTCCTTTTCTTTTTTTGGGGGGGAATGCTCGGGAGGGAGGGTACATACAATGAGCGGCATCCGCAGCCAAACAGAACCGTCCGACGCGCATACTCGGCGCGAGCCTCTGGTGAATTCGATACGGACTAAAATTGACGATGCGATATTGATCCGGCTTGGGATGTCCCGGCAGCATGGTTTCGAACTTCCACGGCTGTCTCTCTCGGAGCTGCTCGTGGGTGAGGCCCGGCTTCTCCCCGTACGTGACGCGGTACAGGCCATCTTTGCCGATCTTGGCCGCCATGTACCAATGTTCCGGGTCGATGATAAAGTTCGAGTCGAGCCAGCCAAACTTCTCGAAGTCGTAGTATGTCTTTGCCCCGTTCACAATCAGCTATAGCTATGATATTACGTGGCGAAACAATTCTCGTCTTGGTATAGGATGCGATAGGAAGAGACAGAGAGAGGGAACTTACATTGGTGGCAACAATCTGCTCATCCCACGTCTTCCCGGGAAACTCTTTATCCCCAAACAAGGACCGTCTCACCTGACTGTTCGCGCCATCACATCCGACAACATACTCAGCCTCAAGCCGCTTCTCGCCCTCAGGGGTCTCGCAAACAACCCAGGCCTTGTTCTCGTCCTGCCCGATCGAAACGACCTTGTGGCCCCACGACACCGTGGCCGAGGGCTGCCGCTCGATGTGGTCCATGAGAATCTTGCCCAGGCGGTTCAGCGGCAAGCAGACCATGCGGTCCGGGTCGTCCTCGACCCCGAACTTGACGCCCGCGAGATACGTGCCGTCCAGTTTGCGCCAGCAGACCGTGTCCGGGTGGAAGCCCTGCGCACGCAGGTCCGGGACGATCCCCGCCCGGCGCAGTTCGGACATTGCGGGTGTGCCGTAGTGTGTTGCCCGCGGCTGCTCATCGAGCTTGCTGGACATGTCGATCAGGTGGACGGGGATGCCTTTCTTCGCGAGCATGAGGCCCAAAAGGAGGCCGGATGGGCCCGCCCCGACAATCAACGCCCACGGTTTGGATGTAGACGACATTCGGGCTGTGTGATGAGAAGGGAGGTTCCCTTTTTTTCGAGGTTTGACGAAGGGGGAGGATGGAAAGATGAGAAGGAAGACGACCAACTTTTTGTCAGTTTGGGAAAACAATAGCAAAACACACCCGAGATCCCTCGTCGAGTTTTCTTGCCATCTCGTTAGCTTGGAATGCGAATCGAATGGGAATCCACTCTACATCCATCCCATGACACCATAACCTTTTCGCCGTAATGTGGGGTAGAAAACAAATGTAAAGGGGGTAAAGTGGGCGATTGTGGGGTAGCAAGGCTTGGGGAAAGGGAGCACAGCCTTGCCGGCTCGAAATTGACCACCCTGCCATCCTTAAATTAATGCATTGCTATATCGAACACGTCGAGCACACTCCTAAGGGCGAACATGACAAGGCGCAGTGGACAGTAAGCGGGAGTCGACGACATATCTCGAACTAAATGAAGGAGACATGATGCTGGGACTATTCCTTCACATATCACTCTTCAGGCTTGAAAGGGGCGTGGACGAAAATCTGAGCTCTTCACTCGCACCATTCCAAGTCTGCCCTGACAGTAGCAGGCACAAGACATGGCTAGCGCAGCACAGTCTAGTCTCTGTTTTAGGATCATAGAAAGAAACCCTCAATTTTGCTTTCACGCTTTGCCTTCTATTCACATTTCTCCTGGCAGTAGGCACTTCCCTCAAGCAGCAAGACGTGACTCCCGCCCCCACCAGGGTATTTGCGCTAATTCGAATCTGAATTCCATCGCGTTACACAGTGACCACTGTTGGCCAGTAAACCCACTGCCTAGTGTATGATACTGCCGTAGCCTTTTCCTACATAGCCTAGGTAGCCTGTTGTTGTCTTGAACTGTGCAATCCACCAACTAACCCAAACAAATTGAGACTCCTGCACGTGTCGGTCCAATAACTGACTCAAAGCGCAAAAGAGACCATGTCAGGTGTAATCTGCTCACTGTTCAGTCCGAGTTTGCGGCAAAGTGATACTGCGCAGTAATATGAAAACCCTAAGCCAACACCCTCGGTCAATGCTGCCACCACAATATCGTGGTGAGCTTTCACGACTCCATTGTGACGCTGGGAAGGATTTTTCACGCTCATATTGACAACTTCGTGGGCCAAGTGGTCGTCAACGTGAGCCTAATTCAATAGTCCGCGCCCTCGGCATCCGAGTCACGCAATGCAGCGACCTCGTCGCAAAACTGGATGATCCACGTTTTCGGCAGTAATCCTTGATTGGGCATTACCAGCACGAGCACCTCTCTCTATCTCGATGGGATGGGTCCTGTACGTATGGTCCGTTTCGTATTCGGCATCGTAGTCGTTTGCATGCTCCATAGCATGATCAGTACCGACAATCAACTGTGCGTTGTTGAGTCGGAATATTTGGATAGTATTGTTCAGTCCCTATCTGGTCACAACGGTGACAGGCGTGAGGGTTTCCTATCGCCAGGAATGGGGTGTGGTGTATCGGTTTGCAGCACAGGATGGTAGCAATGTGGTCCTCCCAGATGTCGTCCGTTCCTGTCAGGCCCAGCACGAAGCTAAGTGGCTTCAATAGGTCCCAACAGCAGAGGAAGCTCAGGTCGCGACGAGGACTCGAAGAAATAATCTCGTATCCATCCTTGAACATAATCAGCGGCTTCAAATTTCTCATGGTCACGTTCGCAATGTGGGCAAACCCCAAGTTGCGATGGGAACGTCCGACTTGCTGTGGGATCATCTAGTCCGTTTGGGGGTTCCAGGCGAAACCGACGATCTATCTGTTCGGTATTTTCCCAACTGTCATTCTGAGACTTCGGTTTGATCCCGGTAGGATAGGAGACGTCCCAGAATGTCTCACAATTGCCCAATTCCGGCCGCAGACCATTGCGGATGACCAGCTGATCAAGCTCGAAAAATTCCTTTTCTTTGTCTGCGTAGACATAGACAGATCGTCCATGCCTTCTTAATACGTCTCTGTATGCGGCAAGGACGTGTTCGCGAGCACTCATGAACCTGTCGTGAAAGCTTCTCTCGATGAGATCCAAAACATGGACTTCTAACTCCACAAGAGTGCCACCAAAATAACCAGAGCCATGATAGCGGCCGTGAAAGCGCCGACCGAACTGATGTTCATACCAGGAACACCAGAATTTGAATCGGTCACGCCGCAGTTCCGCCGCTGATGGCCCGTGCATATCGTCGAGAAGATAGTCGAGCCATACATGTAGAGCATCCTCGATTGACTGGGTATCATCATCATTCCATACTAGTTCCGGAGATATATCCAGACCAAACAATTTCTTTCGAGTTCCATCGCTCACGAGATTAGATCTGAAGTCGTCAAAACGATCATCCACGGGCGCATCAGACGGCAGCTCGAGAACAATGGCGTCAGCATTTCTAAAGCGTTGCAAGGGTGTCAGGATAGTTTCCAAGTCCGAGAAGGCTTGGCCTTGGGAAAAGCCTGGGAGGCTTCTGTTCCAGAACCCTTGAGCATGCCATTTTCCCGCCTTGCGGTCTCGAACTTGAATGGTGATTGGTGGGAGTCGAGTCGTCAATCGTGTATCTGGGATGATGAAGCCTTCCTCGGTTCTAGGGATTACCTCTGGCTCCTTCCAGTCAGGGAGTAGAGCCGTAACTAGTGCGTTGGATTGTAGCCAGCCTCGAACCACTTGGCCTGGATCACTCATGTTTGGCGGGTCGACCAGAATGCGAATTCCTTTGAATTGGTCTATGGGCATCGAATCAAGAACACTGCGGTCAAGGTGCGGGTATGCGGCGTCGAGAGCACGGCGGCCTCCCCAAGTAGAGTCGTCAGGATTGATGAAATTGACCTTGGTGGAGGAGGAAGGGTCGATATGAAAGCCAAGGACAAAGTCCGTTTTAACAAAGGGGCTGAATTCATGGTGGAACTGTTTGTTGACATATAGCAGTCCGTATGCACCGATGTTAACGCAGTGGGCGTAAATCATGCGCCGAAGCTCCGGCGCAAGGGACTTCATCGTGAACTATGAAGCGAATAAGTTCAGAGGATTGTGCTCGGCGCCCCAATTTCTCGGCGCCCTAATATCTCGGTGCCCTCACTTGTTATACCACGCTGCCTTTGTTAGCGTGTCAAGGCCTTGTCACTCATCGGTGACTGCGGGCTATAGGGTGAATGAATGCTCAACCTTAGTGACACCCAGTGACCCAGGTGACACTAGGTGAAGGGAGGGATGCGCCGTAGCGTGACGTGATATTTTGTTTCTATATAGATTGGGATTCGGCCTTGTGTCCATCATCCCCACCAATTTGGATTTCCCCCGCGGTCATGACTACGAGGTACCTCATACCGGCTTGTCCCTGGAGATACAGCAACACTCATTCGTGGCAGGCGACTTCCGGTCTGAGAGGAAACCTATTGTCCAAGGCCTTCTCAGTTCGCGCCGAAAAAGCATTCGGTCCGACTCACCCAATTCCGGCCTCGCGACACGGGTCCGCGAACTCCTAGGTAGAGGAGTACAGACAACGCGCAGAAGACAAGAGATGATTGACTCTCGCCCAGACGCCGCCACGAACGGGAAACCGGACAACAAGACAATCCATGCAGTATTAGACAAGTTTGACCGAGTGTTTTTGGTCAATCCTGAGAAAGCAAAGCAGTCATTTGAAGCGTTTGAGGCCGGTCTAGATAAATGCCTGCGGAAACATACTTCAGTGGTGAATAAACCCAACGAGCCGACATAAATGAAAAGGGTGTCGCGGATAAGAGACGAGAACAAGGTAAAGGAGTTGCTCGCTATTCCCCGCCCCCTCCCTTTCCTTTCCCAACGCCCTCTGTCGACGCTTCGATTCAGCCATAGACTGACGGCCACGATAGAATCTGAGAGGGAGTCAAGAAGGCCATCGGGGGACGATTAAGACAATACGCATATGGTGCATCCCATGGTCTCCGGGACAACCCTTGAAACAAAATCTAGCTCAGGATAGCGGCCAAGATCATCCTCATCCTCATCGTTGGCCTGTCAAACATCGTCGACGACTTTCCACGCATCCTTCTCTTCGCTACTGTCCGTCATACATGCCGCCTCTACATCAGCTTCGACCGCACTCATGTATGCCCAAAACGGACCGGCCTCAAGAATTATCTGTGGGCCCGTCGCTGGCTACGGCACATTTGCGATCCATCCCATTGATACGGTCCCTTTCGCGATCGAGAAAAGTACGAGGCCGAGCGTGCGTGGAGTTCAAGAAGAAAACCAAGGGCTTTGTTGGGCCAGGCGTGTTGAGAGATGAAGTATTGTCGATTTGTGAAAAGCGGTCGACAGCACGCATTTAGTCAGGGCGGCCGCGTTATCCTTAATGCCCCTACTGTGGCATCTCTTGAGAGAGACAACACCACCTTCCTGGGTCAAATCCCGATCTAGCTGGAGGGAACCTGTACATTGTCATGATGGTTATGGCGAATGGCCATATGGCGGACAAAGGACGCAGTTATGATTGATACCCCCTGCCTGTGCGATTTTGCACAGATGAATGACATAATGAGAGAATAAGACGTGATTATGCTTGAGCAAACTAGCATCCTTGAGATCTGACGCATCAAAACTATACTCATGACAATAATCAGCTCGCAATTCCATCATCTTACTGTTCAGTGTCTCCATGGCGACAGCTCAAAAGATCGCGAGGCAGTTCGGTGGACTGCTAACGCCTCCAGGCATGTTGAACGGTGCGCTCGCGACGAAAAACTCCCAGCGTTGCTCCCTCACGCACATCTCACTCAAGGCCTCAAGATCAAAGAGCTCACCAATCGGCATGCCCCAACCCGCCAATAAGTATTCGTGCATAAAGACTCCCTCCACCTCAGGCTCTCCTTCTCCGCCGGGATAACTCTTCTTAGCAGGATAGATTTCAAATGATATCGCATCACTGGCCACGGCAGAGAAGCCTGTATCCCACAGCCAGCGCAGCATTTCCTCGGTTCCTTCGACGCCAGCGTGTTGAGGAGTCTTGGTCATTGCGTAGGCATTTTTGTCCTCGCATGTCATGCGCGTATCCCATTCCTTGGTCACCCCGATGCGCACGAAGAGGATGTCGCCACGTTTGAATGTCAGATTCTCCTCTTGAGCGATGTCGAGCAGTACGTTGAGGGGGACTGAATGGTCGCAGAATGTCGAATACTCGATGCCTCTCTTTTCTGCGTACAAAGCATAGTCCAATAGCACACCTCGCCCGCAGATCCCTTCCCTCGCCCAATACTGCAATCCTATCCGGTGGTTCGTTGGGTCCATAATCTCCTGCTTCGTCACACCACCGTAGAATACCCTCCTTTCTGGCTCACCCTCGGTCGGATCGGGCTGTGAGAAATGCCTGAGCCCATCCCATTGGCTGCTCTGTTGCGGGTTGAACGTGTAAATGTCGTCAAAAGCAGCACCGTCGAGGAGGTCGACAATCTGGTGCTTACAAGGCGATCGTCCGAAATTGGCGATTTCCAACTTATTCAATTCCCACCCCAGATTCACACGACGTCCGCTGCGAATGCTTGTTGCTGCCGCGGAGGCGACGACGTCTGGCGTGAGCAGGACGAGACGGCCCAGTCCCTCTTCTCTCGTATTGGGCTTGCTTGGCCATACCCGCTTCTTGTCGGGCAAGGCATCAAATGCCCTTAAATGGAGAGGGTGTATATGAGGGTCCTTGTCGTGATCGTCATTTAGAAGTGAGCCCATGGCGAGAGGGAACTGAAACCAACAAGGGCCGGTATCCGGCGTTTAGTTCTGCTACGATAAAAGAAGTTCTTGAGAGATATCAACAGTGCAGACTGATGCGCAGAACAGGTTCTCGTGGACGCGAGGTCTTTAAGACTCAATTGGGTAAATTGGCGTCTGTGGAAACTTGGAAAGTGTGGAGTTATCGCTGTGGCGGCTTGTCCCATTGTTCGTTCAAAAGGCCGCCTGTTCAAAGTGGAAGAATTCCCTGCATCTCCACTTTTCGCTTGCGTTCGGAGCTCGGACGTCCCACAACAGCATTGTGATACTCGTTGTTGCGGTACACGAGACTGTAGGCTTTCCCGGGCCTCTACCGTCCGGCTAGTGGACAATTTCTTGTAGCATCGAATGCGTCGAAGGCTTTTGTCAAAAATCTGGAGACCCCACCCCCGGATCTGCGGAGTTTGCATACCACATCGTGGAAAAGGCCAACCCTTCACACGGAGGTCGGAAAGTCCACCTTGTAACTGGGGTAGGTGTTCATTGTGGGTATCAGGTGATGGTCAGGTTTATTCCTTGTGAGTCCCGTTTGATGGGCTAATCACATTCAAAGTCAAAGCTTTCAAGTATCCTGCTGAATTTGTTGGATAGCTTCCAGAACCGCATTTTCCGTAGCATGGCTTGGGCTTCCTGGCTTATTGCTTCGAGGCTGCCAGTGCTGTAGATGTTTTCGACAGCACCAATGCTTGCGGGCCCTCCGTTCTCGATCCAGGTTGCAATTGCGGTCCTTTGACCCTCAATCCGATTCGGCAAATCGAGTCGGACTGGGCATGAAGCGTAGCCGGGGTCCGAGCAGGGTTGTGGCCCGAATTTAGCGAAGGCAAGGATGAAGATGTAACCCATAAAAGTTCGCATGATCTCACAAGGCGCAGAGACCAGGTATTCATTTGCCACAGCAATGATCTGAGCAGCATGCCAGGCCAGGTTACGAGCCTTTGTGGGATTTTTCACAAGCATTGAGCGAAGGCGTCGCTTGGCCGACACAAGGCTCTGATCTAATTCTCTTGACTGCGAAGCAGAAGAGCGGAAAATATGGACAATAAGGTCCATAGCTTCGTCGGCGCTATACAAGTGGGAGTAATGACAGATGAGCGCAGTAAGACTGCAGCGGTCTAGTCAGCGACAGCGTTGAATTGCTTGAAGACAAACAAGACTTACTTGTAATGGATGAGATCGGCTGTAGAAGACAGAGCATACATGGACTCGCAAAGCGCATTGAGTCCTTGGAGTAGAGTGCTTTTAGTCTGTCTCTGAGCCGCAGCTAGAGAAGGGAGCTTCAGATATTCAGTCGTCGCCATGATATCCAGCTGCTTGATGTCCCAAAGAAGTCGGCCAATACTCTGAGCGCACAGCCTCTTGCCCCATGCCGGCAGGTCCTCGGGGATACCCTTGCCAGCCAGAAGGTTACGAAGCACTTTGGCGGTCGCTGCTCCCCGGGCAGTTGGAGTAAGTCGAGAATAAAGCGCCGCCCAAGCTTGAGGCGACCTCGCATCCCACAAGGGCTCGGCGCAGGGCAAAAAGGCCGGAAGCTCCTGCAAATCAGCAGCCCCTCGGCGCGATGTCAGCGTGCACAAAGTGCAGTCATATTCGAAAGAAGACCAAGCAATCCGCTTCTCTTGCTCCTGGTCCTTCCATCTCAGCCACTCGGTCGTTGCATTCTCGTTGGGTAGTGGACTTTTAAAGTCCTCCCACTCAACCTCGGTGCTGATACGAGACTTTAACAAACCCATCCCACGGAGGCAACCCATCAATATGCCCCTTGAACAATCTGCATTGGCATAGAGCCTCATATTGCCGGAGCCAAGAGAATATATCTGGTGAAGACAGCAAGCTATGAGATAGGGTGAATTGTAAAACCGAGTGCTATCTCCCACGCCCTGTTTCCATAAATCAGCTACACACTCATCTGCCTCACTTCGGGGTTGAAAACTTACTAGCCAAGCAATCATCTGACCACACATCTCACTCAAAGACCACGACTGTTCTGTCCCATGCTGATCGTCTGAGTACATGGCTCCAATACAAGCCATGGCCGCCAATGTGACAGTAGGAACCTTGGTCATTTGAAAGGTAGCGACGTGTACCAGAGGCAAAATATTGTGGAACTCGGCAAAGTACAAATCCAGGGAATTTTTCAGCAACTCCATGGCAGATTTCATGCTCGGGTCGTGAGAGAGATCTTTCTCTGGTAAGTATGGCGACGATAGCAACTGGATGAGGCTTTTGATAGTGGTCCCGTTATTAGATTCACTCGAAGAAACAGTGCCTTGCAAAATATCCCGAAGAGGGGGAAGCCTGTATCGCTGTGATTCAGGATTCCGCGTGTGGTCAAAGGGCCATTGATGAGTAGCGGTTCGCGACTCGGACGATTCGGTCAACATGCCTTTGGATTCTTGGTTTCGGATTGGCATTAATTGTGCAGATGAGGCTTGGTGATGGTTTTTGTTCTGCAACGCGTCTTGTGGCTCGATTGGAATTGATGGTTGGAAGAACATTGAATTCATCGTAGCTCCATTCTGGTAGTGAGCTTGAAGACCCCCGTTTACAGGGGAGTCGAGATCTAGATTAAGCCAGTCCACACCGCCAACAATTCTCGGGGCCGGGTCGTAGGGCATGAAATTGAAATCACCTGGCAGAAACCCGTCGAATCCCATCATAGAATGGTTGAACTCAGCGCCGGCATTGGGGCTGGTATTCGGAAAAGACACGAGATCTGGAGAGATCATGTCTATTGGATTGTTGTCCGAAGCTGGCTGGAAGAAAGGCGTGCTGCCATTGAAAGCCCGTTCACTGGCTGGTCTCTGAGCCGCATTGGGCATCAGAGCTGGATCAACATTAATGACACCCATTTGGGGATCTGCTTCGTGCGGATAGTTCTGCGTACTGTGGAAAGAGTCGTTCCGGCATGCTTGCTGCTCTTGGAGCTGGGTGGACAGTGGAACTGGCGACTCAACCTTCCCTTCTGCAATCTTGCTCTCCTCATTTTCGTCGTCTGACGGATATTTGCAAAACGAACCAGATTTGGTGCAAGGCAAACATGGGTGTGAACGGTCGCACTTCAACTTTTTCTTGACACAGCGGAAACATGACTTTTGCGCAGATCTCTTTCGAGAGATGGTTGCTTGATGGGCGGTACGAAGATGTCGAAGCAGGACATCATTCCGCGAAAATTGACGGCCGCATTGGTCGCAAGAGTAGTGCTCCCGTTGGGAAGGATGTAGATGCGACTGTACATGACGAGCGAGGTGACTAGGGCGAGCGACGACGAGGTCACAGTTGGGGCAGCGGAGCGTTCGTGGGGTCTTTGGGGCGGACTATTGGGAGCCTCAGTCAGCGGGCCGGGTGTGTTTCGAGGAGCTCAGGCATATCGAACCATTGTATGCAGAGAAAGTCTACCAGGTAGTCAAGAGCAGATACTTCGCCAGCCCTGTCGACCATCAATGGTCATCGACTGCGGCTCCTCGAGAAGCGCTGGATCTCTCTAGGGCAAGGGCCATTTTCATTGCAGTCTTTGAAAAAGGAAGATAGAGATGTTCGGTGTTTTGGTGGCAGGTACAGTGTCGCTGCTGCAGTGCGAATGGGGACGAGGCGGTTTGTCGACGGAGCTGAAGCTGGAGAAGGCCGATGTTACAGTTGGAAGGGAGATATCCTGTTTGGTGATGGAGGGGAAGGGTGTTGAATGCAGAAAATCACCATTGCAGACAGAATCAGCGCCCTCCCCCAAAATCTGGGGATGGTGCACCCGGGAACCATGAACCCGGGCACCGGGCTCTGGGCCCGTCATCACTGGGTGGCTGACGGTGCCGGGGGAGGAACCTACCTTGGCAGTTAGGGCCGTTAGGGGCATTAGGGGCGCAAACGGGCATGCGCTACCTAGGTACTCTTGGGCCTGGGCACTAGCTCATCTCGTCGACGCCTCGCCGTAGATTGTCGATCACGTCCATTATTATTATTATCATCATCTCACCTCTCGTCCTGCTGCTTAAGCAACTCACCGACTCAGATGCTGAAATTAACACTCGCCATGGTACGCTCAACAGGCGTCTTCACCACCGTGTATTCAAGGCTATCAAAGCCCTTGCACATGCTGTCGGCCCAGCTCGCAGGAATGCAATTCGTCAGGCACACCACAATGCAGGCAGGTTCAGGGTTAAGAGGTCTTTAGCCAGGTACCAGGCTCGCAGGGTACTTTATCCTTAGCCTTCTAGCCTTTTAATGCCCATTCTCAGCGTCTCACATAATCGGATCGTCTTTCTGGAGTGTCGGCTCTGCTAAAACTTGCATCCGTCTATCCCGAGAATCCTTCAACTTCCAGTTAATCGAAACCCATGGCTAGCATGGTCCTTCGAACTGTTCTAACCGTGTCCTTGAGCTGGCCGTGCTAATGGGGAACGAGCACTTGGATTGGAAGTACAGTTGCCATGTGCCGTTTGACTCCACAAAGATGCTGAGAACGGCATGGTTTGTTTCTGTCGACGACAAGTGAACATGTCAGAATTCTACGAGGTAGAGGTGAGCCTACATTACTCCTACCTCAGCCTGATGGGTTTTTGAAAGGTGGCCAATCCGATGCTCCCCGTTGGTTCGGATTACCCTGGTGCCCAACCACACTGGCTGCCTCCGTGAACGGAGTGTGATCCGAGGGTATGAAAGATGCGGGGAAACATACAGCGCTGAGTTGGAGAAGACGTTGAGCTACAGCATCGGATTTCCTCCATTGACCGTTGGTGACGGTCAACATTCTTTCTTGAGAGATGTAAAGCGTTCTGTCGAAGAGGTTCTTACTAGACTGCTCGTTTGAAGTAGATATGGCAAGCTCATCGAAACCTATCTCGGCTGCGGCCGTCCAATCACATACCACGCGTCAGGACTGCTGGATTGTCGTCGAGGGAAAAGTGTACGACATGACGAGGTTCGCGCCAGAGCATCCAGGGGGAGCGGACAGTAAGGACCCTCAGAGTTGGGAACGGCTCAAAACTCACGAGACATGATAGTAATATACGCATATGCCGGTAGAGATGCCACCGAGGCTTATTTGGAGGTCCACGAACCCAATCTCATCAAGACCAACCTTTTGCCTCAAGAGCAGATTGGGGATCTGGACCCAGGAACTAAGCTTCCAGATGTGCCGCCGGGTCAAGACTTGCGAGCAGATCGAAAGAAAGGAGATAAACCATCACTCGACACTTTTATCAACTTATACGACTTTGAAGATGCAGCAAAGACATCCCTCTCGGAGAAGAGCTGGACCTTCATCTCAGGCGCCTCGAACGACAATATAACCCGAGACGCTAATCACGATCTATTCAGAAAAATATGGTTCAGACCTCGGATATTGAGGAACGTTTCGACCGTGTCTACGAAAGGCACGATGATGGGTTGTCAAGTGGCACTTCCCATATGGATTGCGCGTAAGTCTGCTGAAACCCTGTATGTGGGCGGTTATGTGCAGGAGTTCCACTGGTGCCCGTCTTCCTCACGGTAATATGAATGTTAACAGTAGACCAGCGGCAGGAGTTGGCAAGACAGCTGGGCCAGAGGGCGAGCTGGCGCTGAGCAAGGGCGCTGCAGCCAGCGGCATCATACAGACGGTTAGTTTATTTGGGACCGGCCAGTTGCCTTGTTGTATTGATTTGATTCAGATATCGACAACAGCATCATTCCCGTTGCTTGAGATCCTCGACGCCGCGGGCAAGGACCATCCTTTCTTCTTCCAATTATACATCAATAAAGACAGGTCAAAGACCGAAGAGCTTCTAAGAGTCATCAACAGCCGGCCGCAGATCAAAGCTTTGTTTGTCACCGTCGACCTTCCCGTCGTCTCAAAAAGAGAGGCAGACGAACGGATAAAACTCGACACGTTATATTCTAGCGGTCTCGGAGGTGCTTCAGCTGGGAGCGACCACAAGGGTTCGGGGCTCGCGAGAAGTGTGGGATCTTTCATTGACCCCGCGTTCTGCTGGGACGACCTTGCCTGGTTGCGCCGACAAACAAATTTGCCGATTGTTCTGAAAGGCATTCAATCAGCAGCTGATGCCAGAATCGCCATGCATATGGGCTGTCAGGGGATTGTCGTGAGCAATCACGGAGGTCGGGCTCTGGACGGTGCTCCGGCCTCCATTCTCGTGCTCTTGGAGCTCCACAGGGAGTGTGCAGAGGTGTTTGATCACATGGAGGTGTTCATCGATGGAGGATTCAGGAGGGGATCCGACATCCTCAAGGCAATTTGCCTTGGAGCAAGTGGTGTCGGCCTAGGCAGACCATTCATGTATGCCATCAACTATGGCAAAGAGGGCGTGATGCATGTCGTCAACAGTAAGTTCGCTATTTTCCCCCATTTCTTCTTGATTACTTTGCTCGTGTCTCGCTAATCTGGCTGTTTATGACTCAGTCCTCAAAGACGAAGTCGAGACAGCTATGCGCTTAGCAGGCCTCAAATCACTCGACGAAGCCGATCCAGCACTGATCAACACCGCGGAGTTGGATCCTCTCGTCCCTCGTGGATCGCTTCATCCTTATGCACGCAGACGCGAAGGCCCGAAACGACAGCACCGTCTTTAAATGCGTGAGATATTTCGGACCAGGAATGCTTCTTATGCGATCCACAGCGAGGATGTTCGATATCGAATTCTGTCATGCTGTGCCTTGCAGTTAAACACCGAGCCTAGATGGCTGGTAGCAGCTTCCTTTGTGATAGAGTGGTAGTAGCCAAGAGTCAAGTAGATGCACTTTTGCTGGGAGTCGTCGCGTCTCTTTCACCCCAATAGCTTCAGGCAAACAGGCTTCTATTTAGTTGGGTAGTAGCAGGAGAGTGAGGCCGACCTGCGTTGCCGTAAGAAGAGCAAAAGCGTCGGATCACGTTGCTGCTTTTAGCGGAAGAAGAACTTTGCGGGCACCAACGCTTCCCAGCTTCATTCACGATCATCCACGGCACCAAAGACCATCACTTACACAGTTCTCACAATCTAGAATGTCGCTGTTGCTCTCGAAGTCATCCTGCAACACGCTTACCTGTAACCAACCTCGCCTGTCGTACCAGAAGTGAGGTCTCGAGACTGCGCACTAGTTACCTCGACGAAACCCTCCAGGCATCGCGCCGGTCCGCTCGTTGCTGGTGCACATGTGGGTTTCGCGCGGCGCCATTCCCTGACGGACGCCGCTGGTTTGTTGACGTTCGCTCTCTGTCTCAGGCCGAGGGATTTCCACAGGCACCAATAACGCTCTGGTGCTGGTTGTGCAGTTCCAATACCAGCAAGGGGGGTGACCTTAAGGTGCAGTTCTCAGCATCCGTCGTGGAGTGTGACTTACGGGTAGACATGAAGATCTGCAGAAAGACAAGAGATGCGGTGTCGTAGGCTCCTTCTGTCCTCGGCCTTCTCTCAAAGTGGCTGCAAGTCGGTCTGGAAAAGTCGGGGTTGCAGGGCACGCTCCGCTCGCTTGATCCAAAGATTCTCCTTGCCCAGGCGCTTGGGCGAGACCGGGCCCCCAAGGTTCGACGATCTTGGGGAGAGAGTGCCCGGATTTCTTGCTTCTCAGCTGTCACCGGAGATTGTTGTGGTCCCCTTCCGGGCCTTTCTGCAGCCTGCCAGCCGGCATCGGGGTGGTTCTATTCTCAATTGGCCTGACTTGGCGGGTTTTGAGTCCCGAAGCCTTCTGGCCCATTCTCATCTCCAACCCCAGTGATGGAAGATGGACGGATTATTCAGGCGCCGGAAGGCTAGCATCATTCCCTAGCCCTCATTTGCTCCCCCAGCCCCAGCACCCCGCAGGAAACAATGGGTCTTTTCAGGGACTCGAGAAGACCTTCTCCAGATTTTTTCAGTTTCCGGCAGCATGGCTGCTAAACCACATATACCCCGTCTCCTCTGAGCCGATCAGTCGGGTTGTTACATAAAGTTTTCTTCTCCTAACTTGTCCTTATTCCAGGGCTGTTGGTCTTCGTGCGAGCAAACCTTGCTTGGCTGCTCTTTACCCGAGCCGTGTCGACCATCATGGGGGCTGCTAAGAAACATACCTCGTCTCACTCGAGTCCGTACAATAGACTTGTGACGGTGGCCGTCGCCTTTGGTTCTATGGTGAGTGGCGGTGGATACCCCGATCAACAATTCCCACGTTCCGTTCTTGCGAGAAATCGATTGACTCCGGCAGACCTATGGCTACTGCTCGGCCATCATCGGGAGCACCATTGGGCAGCCAGGATGGTATCAGTTCTTCGACCTGCCCATGCAAGGACAACCAGGCTATGGCGGAAAGACCACAGATGCAATCGCGACGGCGAACGGCTTATACAGTGCAGGCGGAGCGGTCGGATCTCTCTTCATTGCTTGGTCAGCTACTGCCATTGGTCGCAAACGGAGTATTCAGTTGGGAGCGCTCTTAGCCATTGTCGGAGGCGCGTTTCAAGGCGGTGCAGCAGCCCTTGCGTACGTTGTCGCTCCGTGCCCTTTTGGTTCTGTCCAGAAACGGTGCTGATATCTTCGCCAGCATGTTCCACGTGGGCCGGGTCATCTCGGGCCTGGGAATTGGAATTCTCGTAACGGCGTGCCCAATGTATTTGAGCGAGTTAGCTCCGCCTCAAAACCGTGGTTGGCTAGTCGGCCATCATGCAATATTCTTGGTGTTTGGATACATGCTGTCGGGATGGCTGGGGTTTGCATGTTATTTCGCAACTGACAAGAACCCGTCCTTCGCCTGGAGGTTTCCCCTCTGCGTCCAGACTCTACCGCCGTTGGTATTGGCAATTGCATCGATTTGGATCCCCAAGTCGCCGAGATGGCTCCTTCAAAAGGGTAGGATTGAAGAGGCATGGACCGTTATCCAGGCGCTGCGCCGATCGCCAGACGACCCAGATGATCTCGTCGCGAAGGAGGAACTGTACCAGACCAAAGAACAGATTGCGCTCGATGCCGCCAAACTCAGGGCCGTTGGATATGGACCATGGATGGCTTGCATCAAGAAGAAGAGCTACCGCAAGAGGATGATCATTGGCTTCTTGACGCAATGGGGAGCCGAATTTGCTGGTCCGCTGGTCATTGTACGTGGAGGTCCCCTCCTTTTGGCTTACCACGACTGACACGGTCGCAGAACAACTACATGGTGATTCTCTACACGAATCTCGGGCAGACAGGATCCATGCCTCTCCTGCTCTCCGCCGTCTGGCTCACCACGGCCGGTAAGTAAACATTACAGTCCCCTCTCTATCTCTTCAGAGGCCATGTCCCACTCACCAAAACAATGCTCATTGTCTTGCAGGTGTCATCTACAACCCGACGGGCGCGTGGCTGCACGACAAAGTCAACTCTCGACGGTTCATGTACATGTTCGGCACGGCGGGGTGCCTAGTGACGACGTCAATTCTGTGCGCGTTGCTCGCGACGTACGCGGGCACGACAGACAAGGGCGGCAACGCTGGCGGGGTCTTCATCGTGTTCCTGTACCTGACGTTCCAGGGCACCTTCTGCGACACGACCATGTACCTGTACGTGAGCGAGATCTTCCCGACCGAGATCCGACCCATTGGCATGGCCTTCTCGCTGTTCGGGCAGTTCGCCGCCACCTTGATCCTGCTGCAGACGGCGCCCCTCGGCTTCGTCGCCGTCGGCTGGAAGTACTACCTGGTGATTGTGTGCTGGTGTATTGTGTACCTGCCCATGATCTACTTCTTCTGGCCCGAGACGGCGCGCCTCTCGCTCGAGGAGATCTCCAAGCAGTTCGGCGACGACGTCGCCGTCCACGTCAACGACATCTCCGACGACCAGCGCCGGCAGCTCGACGACTTCCTCAAGTCCAAGGACCTGGTCCACATGGCGCCCACCGGGGCCGACTCGGTCTCGTCCCAACCCATTGAGATTCAGGAGGCCGCAAACGAGAAAGTCTAAACAAGGGGGGGTGGGTGTGTCCGGTGTACCACTATGCTATATTATGTACATGTGGCACCCCAAGTTACGCCTGTAAAGCGGAGCAGACACTTTGAATGAGTAAGGGGCGGTCCCAATGCTGGGTTCCATGGCTAATCTGCTTACATATCTAATGCAACTTTTCCTCTCCACAAGTTTTATCTGATCTCCAGACTTCGTTGTCGTCTTCTCCTTTCTTTTTCCCACCCACCATTTTCTGCAATTTGCGCCTCACGGTTAACACGAGCATGCATTGAGTACTCTATCGGGATCCCTCATAGCACTGAAGTCGAAGTCTAGGCTGGATTCTATTCATCTAGCAACACCGAACCAACTGAACCTCGTCATAATTCTTTCAACTCTTCATTTCTTCCTCCACGTCTTTCAAAACTTTGATCAGCCTGCGAAAAAATCGGTCAGTACAAACAGGGTCCACGCTCTTGGAACACACACACAAGCCAAGGGGAGCAAAGAGCCGCCGGTATCATCATTACCTTTCCAATCCCATCCTCAGCTCCTCCCTGGGCGTTGCAAAGGTGATTCTAAAATTGCCATTCCTTTCGCTGGCAAAGCTCGCCCCCATGGCCAACCACACACCCCCGTGGGCCATTTTCCAGTTCAGCTCCAGTTCGGCCTCGACGCTGTCCTCCTTGAGATACCTACTCAAATCGACCCAGACGAAACTCGTCACGCTCGCCTTGTTGTACGGAATGCGGTGCTGTTTCAGGAACGAGGTGGTGAATTCGTACGCGTCCGTCATCCTGCGTTGGAGGAGCGGGAAGTAAGTGTCCAGAAAGGGTCCGTCGTTGAGTAAGTTCAGCCAAGCGTGTTCGGCGAGCTGGGATGCGCGGCTGAAACTCGCGACGGCGCGGAAGCATTTCATCACCGTGCCGTTGGAAGGAGAGATTAGAGCACCGATGCGGATCCCGTTGGCGCAAAAGTCCTTGCTCATTGCGTAGATCACGTGGACCAGCGACGGGTCGATGTACTGATCCAGGTTGAACGACAGGACTGAGACGAAAGGAGGTGGGGTGGGAATATCGGTGCTGGGGAAGTTCGAGCGTGCGTAGACCTCGTCGGAGATCAGGTGGATATTGTGCTTTGAGCAGAGCCGCATGATGCCGATGAGGAAGTCATTTTCGTAGGGTCTCCCGAGCGGGTTATGCGGGTTGGAAAGGAGGATTGCCCTGATGGGTACACCCGCGGCATTGGATTGCAGTAGAGCGGCCTCGTAGAAAGGGACCGCTGCCGCCGAGGTGGGATCTGTATCTGCGCCGAAAGGGACAAGGACCGGCTTGACTCTGACGTCCTCGACTCATGGTAAGCTTCCAACCAGACGGACGAAAGGTTCCAGCTTCGAGTTGAGATCTAAAAAGTCGACATGACTCTTGTTTGAAAAAGGATGGCAACTCCAGAAATAAAGGTGAAAAGAAGAAAGGAGGGGATGGGATACCAACGTACTTAGCCCTGGCCTCGATGTCCGGGAAAAATCCCACATAAAGCGGCCTGCCCACGAGGATGCCATCACCGGGCTTCCCAAGACAGAAGGAGAGATTATCCACCGCGTTGCCCGCCCCGAGACAGATACAGATGTTCTTCTCGTCGATGTTCATGCTCGGCCTAAACACCTCGCGCACGAATCCGGCCACCGCCTTGCGCAGCTCAAGTGCCCCGGCCGGCCCGTGGCCGTACGTCAAGTGCCAGGGGTTGATGTTCATGTGTTTGTTGATATGTTCGCAGATCTCGTCGCGCATGAGCTTGTTCTCTGCAATGGCCAGCGCGACGATGCCGCCCGGGTTGGTTACCGGGTCGTACTGGTTGTAGAAGCAGTGGGCGCGGATGGCGTGCAGGTCCGGTGTCGGGGGGATCAGATTGGACAACGCCCGCTGTGAGATGTAGCCTTCTGGCATCCTTTTGTCGTTATCCTTTCTAGTTCCTGTATTCTTGCTTTCTTTCTCTCTGTGTACGGAGGTAGAAAGGGCGGCGGCTTTAGCAAAGAGGTTGAAACGGGTTGATTTGGAGACAGTTCCTCCGCGAGGAAGAAGGACGGTAAATAGTCTGTACATATATCTATCACAGCCCTCATTGGAGTTGCTTGAAAATGAAGATTGCTCTTTTGATGGACAGGTCGGTCAATTAGATACGTAGATACCGGATCCCTGAACCCGCCGCCCGAGCGCCAATTAAAAAACAAGACGTATTGTTAGTCCGATATAGATCCTCATGTGCCGTCATCTCAACCTCAAACTCGAGATGCCACCGCAGTGACGGGATCCATGCTAAAGCGTCAAGAGTTAGACATTACGCCGAGCAAAGACGAAGAAGGGAAAATTGATGTGTGTGCCCTTAGGCTGAGGCACAGACTCATGCCCAGTCACCATTGGCGAGAAGAAACAGGCACAGGCACTGAAACTGCGACCTTGGCGGTGAAAGATGAGTTACAACCGCTCCGTGCTCATGTGCGACTAGCTTTGAACCTGCTGCTTCAGAATCCCTGATCCTCCCTCTCACCTTCTTTCTCTCCTTCGTACTCACCTCGCTTCAGGAGATCAGAATCGAGGGAGTGTAATAGCACGGGTTATCACTGTTCTACGGCCTTTTACACTTTCAAAAAGTCAAGCTTCCGAGCCAGCCAGCAGCCGATGGTGGCCTTGACTACGGCTCCTTGCCCATTTCGAACAAACACAATGGTCCAATCGCCGGGAGGTGTATCGTCCATGGCGCGTGGGTCAGCCAACAACCACACATCTTCACCAAGATGGGTCATTAGGTGTGGCGGGCCCCGGCCGAAGCAACCGTCAAACAACCCGTACAACATGTCACCCTCCCCCTCGCAGATGAAAGTAGACTCCGTCTCGCTGCATCGATAAGTGCCCTGCACTGGTGATCTGTCAAGTATGCCTGCATTACGGTTGAGGCGTTGCGCAGTCAGCACGCGGTTGTCGTCTGAGCGGCGGACGTGCAGAATGTCCCCGTCGATCGAAGCCTCGACGTCAGGCGATTCAGCCCTGTTGGCATCAACGAGTCTGAGTGTCTCTTCTGCTCTTACGTAGCTGATCTTGATCTTGCCCGCATCTCCGGGCCGAACTCGAATCGAAAGTTGAGTCTCAAGGTCAAGGAATGATCCGAACCATTGTTGAACAGGTTGGACTGCCAATGGCGGTGGTTCGGATACGTCCAGAATCTGCTTCAGAATGTATCCGGCGGCTTCTGACGCATCAGCTGAATGATTGAACAAGACAACAACAGATAGGCGTTCGCCAGCCACGTAACGACGCATGAGTCTGTAGCCGCGAAGGGCTCCACCATGGCCCATCGTGTTGTATTTTGCAAGATCAGCATGTCGCAGTCCGTAGCGGTATTTGGCCTTGGCGCCGTCCCTGTAGTCGCGTGGAGTAATTGTGTCTCGGTAGCTGTCCTGCTGGTCGGTATACTTGCGGTCAAAGTGTTTTTCGTATGCGATCATGTCGTCGAGTGAAGCCACCAAGCCAGCGTCTGCAGACCATTCGATGAAGTTCGGTGCCGGAAAAAACCCGAACTTCTCCGACCCCTCATATCCAACAATGGGAGCAGGCAACCGGTCGGTGCGAGGACACAACCGCGCTGTTTTCATCTTGGCCGGACCGAAGATTCTTTCAGCAAGCAGGTTGCCCAGAGAATCTTTCGTGACGTGCTCGATGAGTCGCTCCATTACGTTGAAGTTTGTGTTGGAGTATGAGTATTCATAGCCAGGCCGGAAGTGCACAGACCTGATGCGGCGCAGCATATCCGGATTATGCTCGTTGAGCAAGTAGGGGGTATCCGGCCGACTGCCTTGGAGTGTACAGAGCGCCCAGTAGTCACGCAGTCCGGAGCACATGTCGACTAGGTTCTCCACAGTCAACCCATCTTCATCGACAAATGCTGGGGGCACGACTTCACGGAGTCTGGCCAGCAACTGTTCTTGGAAATCCTGACGAGTCATCGATGGCGGCGGCTTCTCCGCGAGGTCAAGCAGCAACATGGAAACGAATTGTTTCGTGATCGAGCAGATTGGGAAGAGGACTTGAGATGTGAGGGGGATCCGTCGGTCCATGTCAGCGTAACCCCAGACATGTTGGCCGACGAGGTTGCCATCTTTGAGGACAGCGACAGCACCACCGGGTCCTCGATAAAGGGACGGCACCGTCTTGAGAATACGCTGCACCTTTTCCGCATCGAACGACATGTTGGCAATGATAGGAGAAGCAATAAGGTCTCAGAAATGTTATGAGGCTCAAGGTGAACTGCGCAGCGGAGTTTGGCGCTGTGTCACTAATCTCGATACCCTTGTGATTGTGTGAGATTTGTCGCTAGGCGCCACCGATATGTACTCATCTTGGCATAATTCACATGGACGCCGTGCTACCACAACCACAACAACCACAACAACCACCACCACCACCACCACCACCACCACACCCGAAGCACTCCTCAGCTCTCCCTCTAGAGCACAAGCGAAATTCCATTCAGCCCGCCGCGCAAAGCTTTATTCTTTGCCAGAGAGAGATGAAGCAAAGCAGAGACTAATGCCAATGATGGGACTGACCACCAAAAGCTCCAAGATGACCCAAACTCCTAACTTTACACGATGCATAGGTTTCTTTGCTTCATTGATCCAAGACTATTCAACACATCGCAAGCAATTCGCTCACAGTATGCTTTTCAATATTGTCTACTGCATCACGGATGCTCATGGCCTTCTTTTCGCCATAGATAGGGTTCACCAGACTGAAGAACTTGGCATCAACTTGTTCCCGGGTGAAGGGGTGTTGCAACTCCCCCAAGGGATAGGGAATGTCAATCTCCGAGACCTCCCCATTCGCGTACTCGACTTTCATCTTCGAACCAAACTCCTTGATCGAGCTATCCCCAACACACCTGATCTTGTCGGTTAGCTCCCGAATTTGCGGGTCCATGAGCCTGTCCTTTTCATAGCAGCGGACGCCATTGTCAGAGCCGTAAAGGAAGCTGTTCGCAGTGGTGAAATAAGCAGAAAATTGAGCGTCGACCATGTTCTCCGGGTGGATTTTGTTGGGGATCGGTGCTCCGACGACGCTCACGTTTGCAGGACTCAGCGCCAAGGTAATGCTCTTCACGTCCTGGGCTTTGGAGAAGCCCTTGTCCCGCCCCAGTCGCACAGCATGTTCAATGAAGCCGTGCGTCATGCGGCAGGCGGGGAACGGCTTCAGAGACGTCTCGAGAAATTCCCACCTCTTGCCCAAATCGGCGGTGAGGTAGGTCAGGTCTTTGTCTGGTTTCGGGCTGTACGCATGCAGAAAGCCGAATGTGCCTTCGAAGATCTTGGCCGCGCCAACGACGCCCGCTTCGGCGAGAGCCACGCAGATGAAGGCATCATGAACCGCGAAGCCAGGGTGCAATCTCTTGTTCCAACTTCCGTTCTCGAGATATTGCATCGACCCGGCAGCCTTTGAGCCCGCCAGACCGAACGCATTTTCCACAATCTCGACCGATAAGCCTTTGAGGACCGCGATTGTGGCAACAGCACCGAAGATCCCGGCTGTGGAGGTATTGTGAAAGCCGCGAGAGTAGGCGTCATTGCCGAGTTCCTTGCCCAATCGACAGGTGATTTCATATCCCACAGCGACAGCAAGCAGGAACCGGTCCATGCTCGCCTGGTCACCCAACAGCTCTGCCTGTGTCAAGCCTGCACCGATGGCAGTGACACCAGCATGCAACGTGCCTTTGGCATAGGTGTCGTCAAAATCCAACGAATGGCCCAAAGTGGCGTTGAGCAGGCCGGCATATTGAGGCGTGTAAGATTTGCCCTTGCCCAGGACTGTACACGAGCCATTATTCTGGCCTCCCAGGGCTTTGACGGCGTTGCAGAATGGTACCGTCGACTCGGACGCGTGGCTCGCGGCGAGAGTCACGCCGATGAAGTCGATAATGTATTCCTTCAGACGACCTCGTATGTGGGGAGTCAGATCCTCGGTACTGGCATTGGCGACAAAGTTCGAGAAGATGCTTGTGACTGGGATGTCGCCTGGTTTGTGTGTTCCGGTTACACCATTCTGTGCGCCGTGTCCATTGACGGCGGCGGTGGTCGCGGGCATGACGGGGAATATAAATCCTCTCCGACCGACTGTTATAATTCCTTGTATTTACGAGATTGTGGTAGGGATTCTATTCCCGCGACGGCCTGATGATGCTCACCGCGAGATCAGAGATGGATACAGATACCCCGGTATCTGTTATGTTATACTACTCCTCCCTCTGTCCCTTATATTTCTTCCAAACGTCGCCTTTCTCCAATTACCGAGAAACCCCCTCATTTATCACATACCGAGTACTATTATGTTCCGAGTCCGCCTTTTCCGCGCCTCGGGAACTAAATTTGGCAAATTGGAGAGCGCTGGGGGGGCGCCGCGCAGCGTTCTCGAAAACTCCCCGCGAACTCGCCCCGATCTCGGAGTCGCGTGTGTCCCGTGCTCGTCTCGGAAGTGTGCTGGAGGAATACTGACAAGGCTGACGATTGTTTGTGAATCTAAGCGGCAGGGGAGGGAGGGGTTGTGTTATCTGAAGCCCGGAGGAACTAAATCTCATTGGTTTTGTTCTTTTTTTTTTTTCTCAATTGTGATCGAGGACCTAACATTACGTCGAAGGGTTCGCATTGGCATTACTTGTAGCAGGGCAGCTCTTCAGGGGTGTTTCCTTGTGTGGCAACTTTGGATATTCACTACTCGCCATTTCCAGTTTTCTCGATATGTAGTTATGGACAACGTGGTATTAGTAGCGTGTCTATCCTGGCCCCCCAAAAAAGCAAAAGCTGGTTAACGAAACAGCAGCAGCAGCAGCAGATTATTGCGTCGTGGCATAGTCTGCAAGCACCGTTTGATTGTAGTACAAGTCGCAGGCGTGCGGGTGCTGGAGACAATATTTGGGAACGAGGGGCGTGGCCTGGACTCCGTTCGCGACCAGGTACTCGCGGAAGTTCAGGATGCGCTGGGTCATCTGGGTGGTGCGCTTGATGCCCGTGACGGGGTCGCGGTTGCCGGACCACGAGAGCTCGGCCGCGGCGGCGGCGCGGGGCCACATCTTGGACGAGATGACGGTGTCGTCGACCTGCTCGGACCACAGGGGCACTTCGGTGCCCAGCACGTGGCTCTTCTGCGCCGAGGTCAGGTTGAGCGTGAAGTCGTAGTCGTAGATGCGCTGCCACGTCTTGTACGGCGCGCACCACGAGCCGCCGTTGCCGCCGTAGTTGAACGTCGGCACCGACGCGTTGGGGTTGGCCATCTCGTTGTACCGCGGGTCGTTGGTCACCCACCCTCCAAACCCGCAGTCCAGGTAGAAAAAGTCTGAGGAGGACACGACAATGTCGTACCCCAGAGTCGTCAGGTTTTGGATATTCTCCAGCCCGTTGTTCCACGTCTGCATGATGATGTTCGTGGGGACGCTGTGTGCGTGTGGGTACGAGTTGAGCACGACGTCTTCCCACATCATCAGCGTCTTGTTGGAGACCGAGTTGAAGATCGGAACGGCCGTGTCGACCCAGATCTGTAGAAGATCGTTGTAATCCCGCGACGAGTTTTGGGCAAAGTATTGCTGCACCAGCGTGCTGAAGTTGTAGCAGCCCGTCTGGATCTCGTCGGCGCCAACGTGGAAGATGCTGTCGGCGAACAAGCCCGAAAGCTCGGTGTAGACGTTCTTGATAACCTCGTAGGTCTTGTTGTTGAGGATGTCGAGCTGTCCAGGATTCGGCTCCACCGCCGTATGGTACGCCCAGACATCGTTGGACCACCAGGAATTCGCGCACGCCACGATGCTTGGGTCAACTTCCGTCCACCCGGATGATGCGTGGCCTGGCATATCGACTTCAGGAATGATTCGAACCCCCCGGGCTCGCGCGTACGCGATGATGGACCGAATGTCGTCTTGCGAGTAGACCATCTGGGGAGAATAGGCACCTTGGGTCATCTGTGGATAGCTCGTCATCTGAATTGCCCATGACTGAGCATCAACCAGGTGCCAGTGGAGCACATTCAACTTCGAGAGCGCCATGCCGTCAATCTGCTCGTAGATCTTGGGAATGCCGATGTAATTCCGGCCCGTATCGATCATGACTCCCCGGTAAGGGTAATTTGGGTAGTCGACTATCGAGACTGGTTGCTCGACCATAAGACCTCCCTGGCCGTCTGAGATGATGATTTGCTGGAGAGTGGTGAAAGCGTGAAGGGCGCCCCAGACTGTCTGGGCCGTGATATTGACTGACTGTGAGGCTTGGGTTATGTCGATGGTGTACGATTCATCTACTCCTTGTTGCAGATCAGCCTGGGTATCCGCAATGGTGAGGTCGATCTCGATGAGGATCGAATTCCATCTTTTGACCCTTGACGATGGCGTTGCTGTCGGGAAGGGCTCGAAAGAGCTAATTGGGGCTTCAACGGCTACGGGCGCCCATTTCAAAGTGCTGATGGTGTTCCACGTTCGTGTCCAGGCATCGTTGACGACCTGGTTGTACGGCGAGTTCAGCACCAAGTAGCCGGCTAGCGACTTTGGTCCCGAAGTGCCCCATGTGATGTTCTGAGGCGCTGGAAGAGGGTTGGCGACAACCGCATCTCCCAGGCCGCTGAAAAGACTGATGGCGAGCGTAGCTACGGGTAACAGGAAACGAGGATGCATCTCGTATCTCGAACACGCAAGAAGAAGAATTGAGGCCCGTCAACGATTCGATTTAGAAGATGGAGGGAGGGAGGAGTATTTTGACTTTGAGCGGCTGAGGTAGCACAGCCTGAGACTCCTTGCAGCCCGTCCAGTCACCGCATGTTCAGGTGACACAGCATCTGCAACGTTCCGTAGACATGGTGAGTGACCGTGTGAACACGACCATGTTGGAAGCATTGAGCTCGCGATAGAGTGATATGTGCTCTGATGTAACTATAGAAGCCGTTGATGGTCGTGGAGGGTTCAGTGCTGCCATGGTGCCATGTTAGCGATTGGTATTGCGACCGTGACATTGATAGATGGTGGCTAATGTGGCTGGTAAGGCTGAGCCTTGGGAGGCTGCGGGGGAGTCAACCCCAAATATATCGATACTACCTTAGCATTGAAACGCTACAACCACCTTCCTTTATCAGTTCAAAGATATGAGCTTTTATTATCGGCCTCGGCAATCTCCCAAATGGTCGATCAAACCAGCCTTATCGTGCCTCTTTCATGATGGAGGAGAAGTGAGTGGCGCTTGGGGGAATCGACCCTCCAGCTGCCACCACGCCATGGCCAGGAACATATTTCGTGGACGGGCTTCGGGAAATGACCGCCACATTAGCCATGTCAAGAGCCAATCCTGTTCTTCCTACCGCGACATTGTGATGTGTGATTCTGCGATACACCTCCTGCTAGTCAACGCACTCGACCTAAAAGCTCCCGTGAAGTGTATCTCAGGCCGAGGACGACGGGACTCGTGTGAACGCATCTGTAGAGTATACCGCAACAGTCATCTTTCTAACATACCACTGTTACCTTTACGTGTGGTAAGCGACCAAAGGCTCTCCGAGACATGAGAAGAATCCAGGTGCAGTGGTATTATCAGGGTTCTATTATCTCCTCCTTGCGCTTCTCTGAGGTCTCGTGGTCATAACCTTGGGGAAGCTCTTCGTCCCGAAACGATGGCTCAGGTGTACCTCGTATTTGTGAAGATATCAACGCTATCGTTTATCGATTTCTGACTACTGGCAACTGTTACCTAGAATAGGACCGGCACCGCTTCCGGGAACACATGTCAAACGATGAAATTTGCGGCATTCAGCATCTTGCCATGATTGTGAGAGGTGGATTGAAGATACAGGCGTTGTGTGCTTTGTGTCTGAGCTGCCATGATAATTACATACCTACCTAGGTAGGTAGCTACCTATGTAACTGTGTTCGATGTTGGCAGCCGGCAGATGGAAGCTTCAACAGCTTAGTCCACTTTGGAACTAGTGTCTTGTCAGTCAGAGTTTCCTCCGCGCCTTGTCGGACCGAATCTCATAACAAACATCATCACCAACCCTGCTATGCGGCGAGAATGGAGTAGAGTCGGGCCTCCTGTTGCTGTCAGACCGTGACGACTCCCAGTCGATAGCGATGAGCCGGTCTCTCCGCTTAGAGCGAAGAAGCTGGGGAAGAATAGCACATTCGGCAAATGGGGGACGACCACCACAGCGCCCTTGCGCCGGGCGACGAGGCGCGTTATGACGATTCGAGACCTTCAAAGAGGCAGCGTAACTTCATTGCTCGACAAGCATGTGAGGCATGCCGGATGAAGAAGACCAGATGCGACGAGGACATGCCTTGTAGTCTCTGCAAAAGCCTGGGGATCGAATGCACCTATGCAGAGCGCAAGCCTACTAAGTGCGTCAAAAGCCATCTTTATAGACCAGAAGCTGACCGGAGCCAAAAGAAATGAGATCTCAATGAGCATGATCTTCAACACGCTGAGGCGGATGGAGTCGAAGATTGATCACTTGTCCGTCCCAGCCACCGCGAAGTCTGTACATGAGCTCGAGGCCAACCGAGGCGACCCCAGTCTACCACATGCGGAAAGCCCTTATCACATGGATTCAGTAATGTCTCATCCATCTCTGTCCTCACCGCTGTCAAGTTCTAGACCTTTGCATCGACAGTCGAGCACGGCATCCGCAATTCTGTCATTTAGCGCCCGTCGAACCATCCATTGGCCAGGGGTGCAAGCTCTACTCCCAAGCGGTCTTACTTCCGAGGTTCGCGACCTGGAGAGATGCTATCCTACTCATCTAGAATCGGCGCGGCCATCGCTTGAGCCTGTGATCTCGGCCCAAGGTGCAATGCCGACGCTTGACTGGCTTGCCCCCCTTAGTCTATCGTCTGTGAAAGATCTGTCGAATGCGTATTTCGACACCTTCAACCGGGTATATCCATTTATCGACCGCGACTTTTACTTCCTCAGTACCCTTGCCGTTGTAGTCCGAGAAGGGTTTGGCCACGACATTGAATCCTGCCTTGTCCTGAATGTCATGGCATTGGGATGCATGGGATTCAAAGCATACGAAGAGGGTGGTTTTGAGAATCCGAATCAAGCTTCGATAACTCCAATTATCCGACACATCATTGAAGAAGAAATCGCCGGCCTAAGCTTTTTCAATGAAGCTCGGAGACGAGTGGGCTTCTGCCTCTCCGAACGGGACATCCAGGCTTGCCAGTATTACTTGACATCGGCCGTGTTCTTTGCGCAAGCCATGCGGCCAGTTGATAAATGGTTGGAGGCCAGTCGGGCGGCAGTTATATGTACTGCGTACTGGAAGTGCCCACCCGAGCCCGTGGACGAGTGGCTTGCTGATATGCATGCAAGACTATTCTGGTGCTCGCTCATGCTTGAGAGTCTTGTCGTCCAAGAGTTGGAGTTGCCGCCCAGCGGGCTGAAAGCGTGGGAAGAGGACGTACCTCTTCCAAAATTCACCACGTATCCTTATGCCAGCGGTTCGCGGCCACAACATTCGGATGACTCGTTCTATCACTACCATTTCCTGGCACAGATTGCCCACAGAATCATCCTCAATAGGATCAGGGATGAGCTGTTCCTCAGCAACCCTTCAACCAAAGTTGCAGAAGAGCTCCGCCACCAGCTTGAGCAATGGCGAGCCAACCTCCCTCAGGCGCTACGCTACGCCAGCGATCGGGAACAGCAAACCTTTGACTGCCCGGCTGACGCTGTGGTTGTTGCTTTACTTCAAATGCGCTACAGGGTGTCAATTTTCCATCTGGGGCGACCATTCCTGTATAAAGCCATCCAAAATCCCGCCTCGGTCAACGACACCGAGCTAAAGTTGTGTGCAGAAGCGCTGGAGTATGCCATGGATTGGCACATGACATTGGATGTCTGTGCAAGGATGCACAACTTTGAGCCCTTGAAATACTTTGCATGCGGACAATTCTTTGGGCAGCTACTCATTTTCTATGCCTTCAAACACTCACCTGACCGCCGGCTGAGAGACAGCCTTCCGCCCGGATTCGAAGCCTGGTGCACCACGATGCTAAGATTCATTTACGATTTTGTTGATTCGAGTCCGACTATTGCCAAGGATTTGGAATTACTCTCCTCATTGTATCATATTCCTGATGGATGAGAAGTGGCGTGTCACTGGAAGAATCTCTCCTCACATATTGGTCCACCATGGGTTCAAGTGGGCACCAAGCAGACCACCAAGACCCAGCAGCGAAGGGCCAGTGGATTTTGACTTCGGGGCAGAGGAAGCTCTCTCCTCATTTTGAAACGCGGGGTTTGTCCGACCTGGGCCAGTGGTGACTGCGTTCGAAATGCCCAATTTGGTATTCCGAACCTATGGTGGGAGAGCTCTCCACTGCAAGCCATGCTCAAGATCGTCATGAAGACGGACCCAAAACCTCATAATTGCAGAGAAAGAATCTTCTTCATTCACACAGACCCCAATACTGAACAGCCCATCCATTTCAATTTACTGCCTCAATAGACGCCAAAAGCAATCATCCCCCACCATGAGCGTGCAGGTGCAATCCGCAACTGACCCGGGTCTCACACTGTCGAAAGATCGTTGCGAGCCTGGCTCTGTGAACATCCCGCTCTGTAAATGGCCAAAGACGACACAATCTACTTCGGTCGACCCTGATGCTGTTGCTACAAAAATAGTTGACGCAATAAATGCTGCCCTACAAAACGAGGACACTAAATCAATTGCACAGCTGTTTCTCGAAGACGGCTACTGGCGTGACCACCTTGGTCTTTCCTGGGAGCTGCATACAATCAAAGGAAAGGACAAGCTCGCAGGCTTTTTTGCTGACAATGGTTGCCCTTTGACGACGATTGCAATCGATAAGACCACTGCATATCGTTCTCCTCAGCTGGGAGCTTTCGATGGCACAGGTGACGTGAAAGGCATTCAATTCTTTTTCAACTTCACTTCCAAAGTCGGGACTGGTCAAGGCGTCGCTCGCTTGGCTGAAAGGGATGGCCAGTGGAAGATCTTCACATTCTTCACCACTCTTCGCGAGATTGCGGGACACGAAGAAAATACAGGCCCGAGGAGGCCCAAAGGAGTCGAACATGGCGGAAAGCTGAACCGAAAGAACTGGCAGGAGAGGAGACGTGATGAGATTGATTTCAAGGATCAGGATCCTACCGTTATAATCATCGGCAAGTGCCAAATCAACAGCTTTAGAATACTGATCGGATACTGATTGTTGATTGCAGGTGCCGGCCAAGCTGGGCTGACGGCAGCAGTTCGCTTGAAGATGCTCGGGATTGCCACCCTGATTGTTGACACCGAAAACACGATTGGTGACAATTGGCGCAGACGGTACCATCAGCTCGTTCTTCATGACCCAGTTTGGTACGATCATATGCCCTACCTGAGATTCCCACCAAACTGGCCTATTTTCACACCAAAGGACAAACTCGCCGAGTTTTTCGAGTCGTATGCCAAGTTAATGGAGCTGAACGTTTGGGTCAAGACGAAGATCGAATCGACCTCATGGGATGAGGGCAAGAAACAGTGGACGATTACCGTCAAGCGCACCAAAGAAGATGGCAGCACCGAGAGCCGCACCCTGCATCCCAAGCACGTCGTTCAATGCACAGGTCATTCTGGCAAGAAGAACTATCCCACCGTCAAAGGAATGGACGGTTTCAAAGGTGATGTGCTCTGTCATTCTTCTGAATTCAAGGGAGCACGCCCGAACGGCAAAGGTAAGAAAGCAGTAGTGGTTGGGTCCTGCAATTCAGGCCACGACATCGCCCAGACCTTCTATGAAAACGGCTACGACGTCACAATGGTGCAAAGATCCACAACCTGTGTCGTCTCCAGCGAAGCGATCACCAACATCGCGCTCGCTGGGCTGTACGACGAAAACGGTCCCCCTGTTGACGATGCAGATCTGTGGCTGCATAGTCTGCCTAGTGAAGTCCTCAAAGCCCTGCAGGTCAAAGTTACCGAGTTACAAAACCAGCATGATGCGGAACTCCTCAAAGGGCTCGAGAAAGTCGGCTTCAAGGTCGACAAGGGACCGGAGAACGCAGGGCTCTTCATGAAATACTTCCAACGCGGCGGCGGATACGTGATAGAAGTTGGGGCAAGTCAACTTATTATCGACGGGAAGATCAAAATCAAGCAAGGCCAGGAGGTGGAGAAAATCCTGCCTCGCGGACTCCGCTTTGCCGACGGTAGCGAGTTGGAAGCCGACGAGATCGTGTTCGCAACGGGGTATAAGAACATGCGCACGACCGCAAGGGACATCTTTGGCGATGAGGTCGCCGACCGGGTGGGCGATGTCTGGGGTTACGACGCCGAGGGCGAGATGCGGACCATTTGGAGACGGACGGGCCATCCGGGGTTCTGGTTCCACGGCGGGAACCTGGCGCTGTGTCGGTACTATTCCAAGTTGCTGGCCTTGCAGATCCAGGCACTGGAGGTAGGGATCGCGAAGTACTGACTCGTTACGTGGCATATGTTTGGTGAAAAGCTACATGAGGTGGTGCTTGGGACCACGAGGCTGAAACACAAGGCTGACGCATGAGGCTGGAAGATATAAGGGCGACTCACGCACATCCAGTGCCCGTCTCGCCATTCAACACTGAAACTAATGGCATCCATTGTCCACGGTGTACTGAGTATCCTATAGGATCTGACCATTTATCACACCGGCCTGCAGTCTCCATATTACATCAATACTCTACAAGGCGCCCTTCGTATACAAGGGCCACACATAACCGTCAAGTCCCCACCCTTCCAATAATCAACCTGAAGGCGTCCATTTTCTGTGGTGTACTGTGTATGATCTCTATCAATCATTCATCACGGGGTCCTTCAATCCTCCATATTCTATCTATCCAACACTCAAGCTGATATCCATTATCAGCGGTGTACTGCATATACTCTCCACCATTGCTCACGGTGCCCTTCAGTGCTCTATCTTGACGCCTGTGTGTGCGAAGCTGAAAGGTGTTTGGGGAGATTCGAAGAGGAGTTTGAAGTTAGATTGAACAACTGAGGTGAAGAAGGAAGAAAGGTAAGACAGAGGAAACCTCGGTGGAGAAATTACTGGATGCGAGAAGAAGGAGAAAAATGCAAGCAGGCTCCCCCCCCCACAGTTGGGTGTATAAGCATCCACCCTGTATATGAGCATGAAGCCAGCCTGGTCGGCAAGCTTCCCACCCAAAATGACACGATCAGACATTGAATACCGCGCATGCACTCAACGCAGCCTTTCCCTGTCGCAGACGTGCTCCGGCCCCCGATTTCACCGCGGGTGGACTCCCTGCACCTGGATCAAACTCTAGCACTAATGCCATACACGCCGTACGCCGTGTATATGAGTCGTGAATGTCTCGATATCTCTGCAATTCGATCTTCCGTTTGGATCCTTCATCAAGGGTATTACGTACACAAAAGCGTCGAGACCATATCTGTGGTGGTAGTTGGTGCTTGTTCCTGCGATTCAGCCGGTAGGAGCCGGTGTCGTCGTGGCTGTTGCTCATCCTCAGTCTCTCGGGCCTCCTCCCGGTCATCGTCTCTCTGACGTTGTCTTGCTTGTTCGGCCTGTTGTTCTGGAGTCACCGCGACCGCCTCCTCGCCACAATGCGAGCACGGAGTGTTCCTATCGTGGACCTCTCCATGTTGTGCCGGTTCTGGAGTTGTGGTTCGACGAGGTGGTGTCGAGGGATCCACGACGGTTGCGTATGCGCGCCCCGATTTGTCGGAATAGACTGAGGACCTGCTGGAGAGTATAGATGGACAAAGCTTTGTTGCTTCTCACGGGTTGGCGAAATATACACGGAGAACAGACATAGCTGGCTGCAGCAGCGCTACTAATCAGAATTTAACCACGTAAAAAACGCACCACTGTCTCAACGGTCCATCTCCCTACGGCACCAGGATGCCTCATGGGCTTCTAGTATGCGACCGTAACGTTACCGCGAATGCATTGGTCAGTTAGGTTGAAAATTGGCAGGAAGTGGGGAGACAGAGTCCTTCGTGTTGTATATCTATCTGTCCATCCGTCTGTTTTTTGTGTGCTGTCCGTACTCCCTCCCTCGTTCTCATGAAGGGATATCAGCGAGGTCTCAAGTAGTTCTCATTCCAGCACATGTTGACCGTCTCCAACCGTAAGCGCCAGAACACCATGCTCAACAATTTTCGGGTTTTCAGCACACCGGGGTTTTGTACAAACGATCCCCTTGGCTCCTTTCCAAACAAACACAAACATGATCCCGTAATAAAAGTGGACTGGAAGAGCTTCAGTTATGGCTCCGGTGATCACGCACGCTCTGGAACAGGAAAAGAAGAGGCACGTATAGACCAGAAATCCCCATGGTCTCGTGTCTTTCACGTGCTTGTCTTCCCTGCCTCAGCTTCTGCATTGGCTTAGACCTTGACCTTGTCCCCCGCCTCTGCCTCTGCTTCCAATGCCGCAATCTCCTCCAAAGCGGCAATAGCGTCCTCGTCATCCTCCCCGTCAAACTCTTCCTGCTGCACGATTTTCTTTCCGTTGTTCTTCTCAGGCAGGTCCGTGGCCGGTCCAGAGTTTTCGGGCTCTTCCTTCTGCGTCTCTGTAACTTTGATCGGCTCCTCCACCGCTGGCGCCTTGATGGCTTGCTGCGGCACATCCAAGTCCCAGTTTATGATCCCCTCTTTCCCGTAGCGTGTCTCCAACCAATCGTTGGTCTTTCTGAAATGTCCGCAATCATAGAAGCCCCGGCTCGCACTGAGCGGGGAAGGGTGGACACTTTTCAACACCAGATGGCGCGCCCCCGTGATCTTTTCGCACCGCTTCTGCGCCGGATTGCCCCATGCCAGAAACACCACGCCGCGGGTGCGCAGTTTGACAACGGTATCGATAACCTTTTGAGTGAACTTCTCCCAGCCGTGGTTGGCGTGCGAGTTGGCCAGACCGGCACGCACGGTCAGGCAGGTATTCAGGAGGAGGACCCCTTGGTTCGCCCACGGAGTAAGAAGACCGCCGTTCTTGGGCGGTGGGTTGAAACTTGGGTAGTCCTTCTTTATCGCGGTGTAGATGTTCTTTAGTGAGGGCGGTGCGGGTGTGGGTGGTCGCACGGAAAAGCAGAGACCATGCGCCTGGTTGTGACCGTGGTACGGATCTTGGCCCAGGATCACGACGCGGACTTGATGGAGAGGACAATGCCGCGACCTGGTGAATTATTGTGTCAGTCGACCAGCTGCGGAACCAGGGTGGGTGCAGGGCTTACCAGCTGTAGACATCCTCCAACGGCGGATAGATCTTCTGCTTGGAATCGATCTCCTTCTGCAAAAACCGTTTCAGATCCAGAAAGCTCGGTGTCACAATCTCCTCTTTCAATACAGCCAGCCAACTTGGATCCAGTGTGTCAATCTCCAATTTGAGGAGCTTCCTCTGCTCATCCGTGAGACCTGCTACCCACTTGTCCTTGTCGAATTTCGGTGCTGGAGGCTCGCTCGACACTAGGGCCTGTGATGTTGAATTCGCTCCGCCTACCGGCGTGACTTTTGGAGGACCAAAGAAGGAAGTAAGACTGCCATTCTTCTTGGGTTTCTTTGCGTCATCGGGTGAAGAGGTGGGTGGATCTTTGCGTTTGTAGAACGACATTGCAGAGGGGTGGCAATGCCGCCTAGGGACAGCTCTGGGGAAGAACGGTGAAATCAGAGAACCGAGACGATAAGACACACGAGAGCCTAGCATGCACAAATCTTTGACTCAGATATATGGTCAGGAGCTGGCGAATTGTACTTTGGATTTTCATATGTTTCGGTGAAGCAAGACGCGGAGTCAAGCTACCGAGCGTCGCGCCGTGACGCGTAGACTGCACAAGGCTCTTCTTCAGCCTTGCAGCCACGCGATAAGGCTAGAGTGACGCTACTGAGGTGGAGGAGAATGGAGAGGCGCAAAATCACCCACGATGTGTTCAGCCTGCTAACCAGAAGGGGGATCAGCTTTGTCATTAGAGTGGTCCCTATGATGCAAAGAATTTCTATCCATCATTCAAGAAACAGACTGCTGGCAATTGCTCGTGATGCCAGCTGAGAAAACTCCATCCACAGGTATTGACTGTCGTAAAAGGGGCGCCAGCCACCTGTTTGCCTTGCAAATGAGTTATCCATCCCATTTTGGGTATATCGTCACCAAACCCAGTCAAGCTCCTCCAAGACCATTATGAACAAAGACGAGCAAAGTCGGAAATCGGAAATCGTCAAAAAACATTGATACACGGGCCAGAGGCCGATTGCAGGCACCCGCGGCTAGTCCAGCATAATGACCTCTTGTTTTTGCGCGCTGTTGGCGTTCACTTTGTGATTTGGTGGCATCGCTCTTCCTCCAGGAACATTGGCTTGGGGTCTTTGGACCTTGACATTTGCCCCATTGGGAATTGCACTACCAGGTGCTTGTATCTTGCCTGGGGGAGCTTTCATGGGAGCAGAAACTCGGTTATTGGGACCATTCGGCACCTGGGCATTGTTTGCGTTGGGGTTGCCTGGAGCAGCCTTGGCCTTGTTGGACGCCTGGTTGTTAGACACCTTGCCTTCGGACGCTTTCGCCAGTTTAGCCCACTCCCACAGGAGATCATGCATAGCTTTCAGCAGAGGCTCGGGCTGGTCAACCATGCAAGCCGCCGCTTTATCGAGCGCAAGCCACTTTGATTGTCCGTCTGACTGAGTAAAGATTTCCTGCTTCAGCTTTGCCCCCAACTCTGGTGTCGAGTAAGACGGCCTAGAGTATGATTGGAACTCCTCAAGCGCTGCGCGCACCAGCCACATTGGTTTCCTTGACACGTTGATGTGGTGCAGGATCTCCAAGCGTGCCAGCATATGTGGTTGGGAATCGGCCTTGACATCTTTAGGCGCTTGTCCTGCCGGTGTGAAATATTGAATCGCAAAAGCCGTCGCATTCCTGACCAGGACATGCACCCGCAAGTGGTCTTCTTGCTCTTGCAGATCCGGTTGCTGCTGCGTCTCAGAGTCCAATCCATGTTTCTCCTGAAGCTTTTGGAGATAATTTAACAATGGAAGTGTCAAAGTCAATGAGGTGAGGAAGTCGCGGATTCTGGCGGCGAATGGGCCGCGGCTGGCGGCAATCAGTTTGGTGTACTGTGCCGCGAGGTGTTGATGTGGATTCTTCCCAGGCGGCAAGAAATCAAGCTGCGGTGCCTGATTGCCGCTTGGAAATCCAATTCTGAGTTCGAGTTCGGCAGGTGCCCCTTCGTGATACGATACCGTAAAACTGGAATTCGATATCGTTTTCAATGTCAGTCCTGGGAGACGATGGATTTGCTCAACTGTCGAGACCACCTTTTCAAGATCCATCGCTTTGTCGACAATCTCCGGAATTGCAGCTTCCGCTATGGCAGTCGAAACTCGAATTATAACGGTCTTGTCCTCCGGATTCAGGGAGACGCTAGCATCAAGGACAGACACCTCTAGACGTCTAAGCACCGCAGAACTTGCCCGGTATTGATACTGAGCGACTGCCCTAACTTTGTTCGTCAATCGATCAACTCCACCGAAACGGACTTTGATACCCTTTTGTAAAGTACGAGACTTGGGCGGACCGCCGGTCATTTGCGAAGCAGTGACGCTGCCGGAAGCGATGGGTTGCACAGGTTGCTTTGAAAAAGCCGGCCTGGCCATATCCAAGTCAAATGATATTTCAGGTAATTCGTAATCCCGTCCGAAAGTAGGTAAGGGTCGTAGATCAAACTTCTCCTTCCTCTCCCTGAAGAAGTCGGCATTGCGCTCTAGGAAAATCAAACCCATCAAGTACTCCGCAAGTCGATCGAAATATGCAGAAGATAGTTCTTCTTTGACCTCTATCCTCTGCTTGCGGAGAACTCTATACCGAGTCTGAGGGTTCGTAGCGCCGGCGGAAACTTGCTGCAATAACCACCAATGATCTCCATCTGAGGCGTGTGTGATTGCTAGGGTAAAGTCCAGTGTCCATTGGTTCTGGCGGAACATGTTCATTCTCGACACTGGCCCTCCAAACAGTGCTCTCGCCTCGGCTTGGCTGAACTTGAAGGAACGCAACCCTTCCCAGGAGGTGCCCAAAATACCAACAAGAACCCTCGTTTCCATGACGCTGCACCTGTAGTTGAGAAGCTTGGAGACAACGTCATCTGCCACACCTTGGACCCGATTGACCTCGTACTGAAGTCGTTCCCTTCTCTCTGTGACGGGGCTGAGAACAAGCAGTCCTGTTACAGCATCGATTTTCACTTGGAGATCTGAAGATCGAGAGAGCTGCATCATCAAGGAGCACTCTTCCGGATCTTCATAGGAAAGCGATTGCTCCATGAAGAGTTCGGCATTCGCAAAGAGTGGCGTGAGAATGAGTTTGTCATAGATGTTGTCCAGGATCTCCGTTATGTGCTGTGCGATCACCTGCCGGAGAATGGCATCAAAGCTGAGCAGTGCATCATTCAGGCGTAATTGCAAAGAGTCCACTCTTTTGCCCTGACGCATCCATTTGATGTCGAGAAAAGGCGGCGAGTCCATCTTGGTAATTTTCTGCTTCTCCCGACCGCTAGCGATGCCAACCTCAACCCAGCTTTTCCCAAATTGTCTCTCAGGCCAATACTGCACGATGAGGTTCCGACGAATCAGTTCGACGCGTAGATTGCCGGCCCATTGATTTCGAGCCAAGTCGAGCGCTTGCTTGTGGAGTTCAGCCAGTTTGTAAGACAAAGCCAGCTCATGCAGAAAGTCATAACACCCTTTGAGCCCGTCTCGATCGATGTTGGAATTCGCGTATAGCTCGATCTCTGCGTGTAGACTATCGGGAATGTGAGCGGATGGTTGGAAAGAAAACCGAAAATCAACCATGCGAAAGGGAGCGTCTTCGCTATCGCCTAGTATGGAGACATCCAGTTCGAACTCATTGGGCACGATGAAAGTGGCACGCCCATCATGAATTCGGAATCTTCGCAGCTGAGGAGGCAAGTCGTCCGAAAGTGCTAGCTTGACGCTCAACGCCCGGTTGAGAGACTGGAGGATTCGAAGTATCTGTCTGCTGGACAGGTTCTTCTGTGGTACATAACCCAGGCGGGGGAAATTGAGCACGCTGCCCCTCGACAGGACTTCGGCGGCTGTTTTGAGGTCGGGATTGGGGATTTGGAAACCTGAAGATTCCTGCTTGAGAAGGGCCATCGATCCGATAACATTCCAGTACGCTTCTCGGCGTTTCATTAGCCAGTAGTTGATGGAGATGGTCTTGCTCACTTCCTCCACATTCTTGCTCCATTGCAGCAATACCAGAAGTTTTATAAAATCCGCCTTTTGATCGTTTGAGAACTTCAGTAGCCGATCCTTTTTGTCCAAATTTGCCTTGGACTGATTGTTGGGCAGGCCATTGGGCAGGAGTCTTGCTTGTTCCGGTGGCAGTTCAGGGACAGGCACTGAAGCTAACTGCGTCACCAAATCAGATAGGCCGTTCCAGCATGATTGGGACGCCCGATTTATCAGAGCGGCCATCGGCAGGTAACTATCTTGAGAGATAAGCTGCAAGATCTCGGCCGGCGCTTGTTCTTGAAGGTGGGCGACATCGTTGCCTCTGTTGTCGGGCGGTTGCTGATTTGGCTCCAAATCTCCATTTGCATAGCTTCGCGTATGGTCGATCGGAGGCGGCGGCGCATTTGGGGGCAACAATCCTTGCTTTAGCTGCCCGGATTCAGGCATGGAATCTGCGACGGTCTGTTGGAAGCCATTTGCGATTTGCTCCCCGTTGGCCGCGGGCCTTTCCCCGTTCATATTGAAGTGAAATCAACCATCAAGCAATGCATGGCCGGCACGCCTGGGACGTGCGCCCTCGACGCCGATTGAAAACCCGAAATTGCAAATCACCTTTTGTGGTTCTTTCTTCCCTGCGCTCCCCAATTCAAGTGCGCTGAGCGTAGTCAGTTCGGGCGCAGTCGAACAAGCCTGGTTCTCGGATTTTGTAGTGCGCAAGTCTCGACCGACAGCGATATCGAAGGGGAGGTAGGTGGTGACGGCCGTTGGGCGTAACAACAAGGGAGGAAGGATGCTGGAGGAAGGCGACTTCGAGGTTGCGGTTTGTCCGTTTGCAAAAGAGCAATTTTGTCAATGACAGGGACGGCCCACGAGGCCAGCCGGTGGTATCGAATCAGGCGCGCAAGCCGACACTCTTGCGCCGGAGTTTAGGCGACTTGGTGACTGTGACAGTATGGGAGAGTAACTGAATTGTGGTTGAGTTCATGTATGAAGGGATGACTGCATGTAGTTGGGATGGAATGATGGATGAAATGAATGAGACCCGCGCGGAAGTCGGCTGTCAAAGGATCAGGCACAGCACTGGCAGCACAAAGAACCCGGCAACTAGGCCAAGGCTGCATTCAAGCCGGCGCCAAGCAGCAGCGCGGGTGATACAGACGCGGATTGGACAGCGGCTAAGGCGTCTGGGAAGGTTGAAAAAGCAGCAAGACTGATGCTTAGAAGTAGATTAGCCTGGATTTACGTGAGGGACGAAGCATTTGGTACTCGCACCTCAGCTAACCAAGGTAGACAACCCCTATCGGGCAAGGTATGTCCCTAGATCAAGACGCAGCATGCCAACTCAGTTAGTGCACTCCCGTGTTGCGCTACCCTTGGGCCTTCGGTAAATGCCGATTTACTTCTTTTCCCAGTGCTCTAGATTCACTTGGGCGTCGAGGACAGCAAACGGAGAAAGACTCCGCCTGCTATTATTCTCCATCATTATTCTTCCTCCTTTCAACCATTGATGTTTCCTTTCTGCATCGTCAGCCTTAAATCAGGGGACGAGATCTGTGCCTGCGACTCTGAGACACATGCAGCCAGAAGTATCCAGTTCACACCCTTTCAGGATGATGTCGCCGAGCAAGTTCCAAGTGACACATCTGATTGGTTCTTGATCTCGAATCTGCGGACATGGATGATAGTTCAGCTACTGCTATCCAGGTGTACGCCATCCCATGGACGCCATCCTGTGGCCCGAAGCAAGTCATTGGAACGAGGGTGCTCCTGGACGGCCTTTGGTAGGCTGCACAGCCCATGGCGATGCCAAAACAATCCAAGATCACCGCCTTCTAGCCCACCTGGTGGTAGTCGACGGACTCTCAGTGGTCATGAGATAAGTCCTCTTAGTAGCAGTCTTTCGATATGCTTTCGGACGAGTTTGAGGTGCTAGTTGCGCGAAACAAGAGATATGGACACAGATATCAGCTGGTTCAGAAAGAGACCAAGGGGCGATCCTGCTCGAATAAGAAGAACCGCGCATCCCTCTGACGGTGGATCTGCTCTTGAAGCATCCATTAATGCTACCTCTAGGCGTTAGAACACCGCAATTTTCACATTCTGGCCTAAGCCGACCCGCTGACTTCTCGCGCGCGTACGCCAAAGATAAAGAGTCTACAACCCTCTGCAATGATCGATGATTCTTTCCTCTGTTCCGACTTCTGAGATGGAGGAAGAATTGGGAGTTTGGAAGGATCTGATAGTGTAGAGCAGGTGTACGCGGTAGGCTGATGGTGGAGCTTTGGGGGGGCTCCCTTGAGGAAACATGGTGAGTTCGCCTTCCGCCAATCGCCAAACCTAGAAGGCCCTCGGCAGGCCTACGAGGGACTGGCCACCTCGAAACCCATCATCTTCTCGACTGTCAGATATGCCTTGACCTTGTCTTGCAACCCTTTGTACTCGCATTTCTTATTCCCAAATATTTCTCCTCTCATCATCACAACAGGTCCCCCGCCATGATCCTCTCTCGGCTGCCGCCCGTCAGCGACCACCTCTGTCCCGCCAGTCGTCTCATCAGTCCCAAATCAGCTTGATTTCCCCAACACCTTCCGTGGAAGCAGATGACGAGCGCGAATCCTCGTGGGGTTATTCGGATTCCGACATGGGTGACTTCACAGAACCGGAAGCGGAGATGAGGTACGCGGATGAAGATACCAGGCCGACAAGCCAGAAAGAGCTATGGGGTTGGTACTCGTACGGCTGGGCCGCAGAGGTCTTTGCCATCTGTGCCATGGGTGAGCATGACATCTGGGAACTATTTGCTTTGCATTTCCCCATTGACCTCATTATTCAGGGTCGTTTCTACCAATTACCCTCGAACAACTGGCCAGGGAACGAGGAGTCCTGTTGAAAGATAAGACAACACCCTGTAGCGCAGGCTGGAAAAGCGACCATGGCACCTCGCCGAACGAAACCGTCTTCGATTCTCCTACACACCGACACAATGAGCTTCCGGCCTGTGTGGTATACATTTTGGGTGCCGAGATCAACACTGCGAGTTTTGCCATGTATACCTTTTCGATCAGCGTCCTGATCCAAGCTCTCCTCATCATCTCCATGTCCGCGGCAGCCGATCACGGCAGGTTTCGGAAGACATTCCTTCTCGCCTTCGCTTTCACTGGAGCGATTGCTACGGCCCTCTTCATCACCGTTATACCCAAGGTCTATCTCCTGGGAGCCCTTTTCGCCATCGTTGCAAACACATGTTTTGGGGCGTCGTTTGTGTTGCTGAATTCTTTCTTGCCCTTGCTAGTACGACATCACCCGTCTATCGAGCGAGACCATGAAGAAGATCGGGCGGCAGGCAACGACGATGAATACGTCGAACATGAGGACCACGTCTTGACGAGCTCGACGTCAGGGCTCTTACCTCGGGATCACCCCGACCATACCTCTCCCGCCCAGGAATCTCCGGCCGCCATCTCGCCCGCGCTGAAAATGTCCACCAAGATATCGTCGAATGGTATTGGCATTGGATACATTGCAGGATTATTCGTGCAAATTATTGGTATTGGCATAGTCGCCGCGACAAAATCCACTCTGTTGTCCTTGAGGTTGGTTCTCTTGCTTGTGGGACTATGGTGGTTCGCATTCAGCATTCCAGCGGCTCTATGGCTTCGACCTCGACCGGGACCGCCCCTACCGACCGAGTTGACAGGGCGCTACGCCTGGGTGGCATATGTTACGTATGCCTGGAAAGCACTGTTCACAACAATTGGGCACGCCAGAAAGCTGAAGGATATTGTGATCTTCCTTTGCGCTTGGTTTTTACTCAGCGACAGCATCGCCACAGTGAGCGGGTAAGTCTTGAACCCTTTTTTTCTCTGAAGAGTTTAATGTTAAGGGAATGCAGGACAGCGGTGCTCTTCGCCAAAACGAGTCTTGGGATGAGTACCCCAGCCCTTGGTTTGATCAACGTCATTGCGACACTAGCGGGTGTCATTGGTGCATTTTACTGGAGCTTCATCTCTCGGATATTCAACCTTCGCGCATCCAGGACGATTGTTGCGTGCATCTGCTTGTTTGAGATTATTCCTTTGTATGGACTCTTGGGGTTTATTCCTGCCATCAAGCGGTACGGCGTTTTTGGCTTGCAACAGCCATGGGAGATGTACCCCCTGGGTGCAATATACGGGTTCGTTCTTGGTGGGTTGTCGTCGTACTGTCGAGCATTCTTTGGCGAATTGATCCCTCCGGGTTTCGAGGCAGCATTTTACGCCCTGTACGCGATAACAGACAAAGGGTCCAGTATCTTTGGCCCGGCCATTGTTGGCGCAATCACCGATCGATATGGGGAGATACGACCTGCGTTTGTCTTTCTAGCAGTACTTATCTTCCTCCCGCTGCCGTTGATGTTATTGGTCGATGTTGATCGCGGCAAAGCCGAGGCATATCAAATGGCGTTGGAGCTCGAAGGACGCCGCAAAGCAAGAGATGAGGATACAAGATACAGGACGATACCTACCATAGTGCTCTCGGAAGAGGAGGACTGAGCTTACATCTGTTGCAAGAAAGTGGCTCGAGGGCGGTCGTGATCTGTGGCTGGCGAGGCTGGGTCCTGGGGTTCTCTTATCGAATACTCATCATTGCTTAGAAATACCAGGCAATAAAGTCCTCCTGCTATTTTGCCGCCTGAGACGCTCAAGCGCCCTAAAAGGCCAGAAGGTCCATCCTAGTGTATTAGCCGCGTCTCTCGAGGGTGTCCAGTTGAGTTCAACCACGATTCTGGAAACGGGACTGTAAGGAATCTATCGTTCTTCAAGGACGACTGCGCGAGAGCCATTGCCAGTGTGTAGGCTAGCGAGCTGTTTACCCCCACAAGAGGAGGCGCTGAGGACCCCTGACTTGTGAGTTCCGCGTTTCAGGGTCAACGACTCGGCGGAAAGGGGCTGCAGCTGAACTTGAAGAATGGGGCGAGTGAATGCGTGTCACCCGCATGTGGAGTTGGTACCTAGCTCGCTAGGTAGTGAAGCCCCAAAAAAGTAGTTGACACCTCTCCTCAATGAGGTGAGAGCGCCAAAACTGCTAGTGACTTGCTGGTGTTCACTTTACCAGAAACTGAGCCTCAAGAATAAAGGGTTCAGAGTCCCCTGATTCTCGAAAACCTTACACCTGAATCATCTATCCGATTTTTCCATTCCTTTGTGTCCCTCGAAACGTCTACGATCGCTCTCTTCCCCACTGTACACTCGGTCCCAATCATCGTCTCATCATGCGAACAATCGCATCTCTGGCTGCGATCAGCCTTGCCTTTGCTGGCATCTCGGCGAGTGAAGTCCATGACCTAAAGAAAGATAACTTCAAAGACTTCATCTCCCAACATGATCTGGTACTAGCCGAGTTCTTTGCCCCTTGGTGTGGCCACTGCAAAGCTCTGGCACCTGAGTATGAAGAGGCCGCAGCCACGCTGAAAGAGAAGAACATCCCTCTTGTGAAAGTCGACTGCACGGCTGAGGGCGATCTGTGCAAGGACTATGGTGTCGAGGGCTATCCTACCGTCAAGGTCTTCCGGGGCCTTGATAACATCAAGCCATACCCAGGCGCTAGGAAGGCTCCTGCGTAAGTCACAATCCAAAACCCCAAGGCATGTATGCGACTAACGTTGAACAGCATTGTCTCATACATGACCAAGCAGCAACTCCCTGCTGTCTCCCTGCTCACCCCTGATACTCTCGAAGAATTCAAGACTACAGACAAAGTCGTCGTGGTAGCGTACATTTCAGCCGACGATAAAGCCTCCAACCAGACCTTCACTTCGCTCGCTGATTCGTTACGGGATGACTACCTCTTCGGTGCCTCCAATGATGCCGCACTTGCCAAGGCAGAAGGCGTCAAGCAACCCGCTGTTGTGCTCTATAAGGACTTCGACGAGGGGAAAAACACATTCACAGAGTCGTTCGATGAGGACGCTATCTCGAAGTTCATCAAGACCGCCTCGACTCCCTTGGTCGGTGAAGTTGGTCCAGAAACCTATGCTGGCTACATGGGTGTATGTGTTCCCTCGGAAAATCACAAAGCTTTGGTACTAATGTCTTCGACAGGCTGGAATTCCTCTCGCGTACATCTTTGCTGAAACCCCCGAAGAACGATCCTCCCTGGCGGACGCTCTTAGGCCTGTCGCTGAGAAATACAAGGGCGCCATTAATTTCGCAACCATCGATGCTAAGGCCTTTGGCGCTCATGCTGGCAACTTGAACCTGCCTACAGACAAATTCCCTTCCTTTGCAATTCAAGAGACGGTGAAAAACGAGAAATATCCCTTCACGGGCAATGACCTCACTGAGAAGAAGATTGGTGCTTTCGTCAAGGACTTTGTTGCCGGCAAGCTCGAACCAAGCATCAAATCAGAGCCCGTTCCAGAGAAACAGGAGGGGCCTGTCACAGTTGTTGTCGCCCATTCTTACAAGGAAATTGTTCTCGATGACGCCAAGGACGTATTGATCGAGTTCTACGCTCCTTGGTGTGGACACTGCAAAGCGTAAGTGTCTACTGACATGGGAGGTGCCATGGCTAATAAGTTCCAGTCTCGCTCCAACGTATGAAAAGCTAGCAGAGCTCTACTCCTCAAGCGATCTTTCCTCTAAAGTCACCGTGGCCAAGATTGATGCCACCTTGAACGACGTTCCCGATGAGATCGCTGGCTTTCCCACCATCAAGCTGTACCCTGCTGGCGCCAAGGACTCTCCTGTCGAATACTCGGGCTCCCGCACCATGGAAGACCTTGCTGCTTTCGTCCGCGACAATGGTAAGCACGGCATTGATGGTATTGCCCTCTCGAAGAAGGACGAGGATGTGGATATGGAAGATGTTTCATCTGCTGCCAGCGACACCATGGCGAAAGCTGCTCCTGCAGCAACGACCGTTGCTGAAGAAGTCTCGTCGGGCGCGGCCGATGCTGTTAAGAGTGCAGTCAGTGAGGCTACAGAGGCAGCCAAGACGATGCTCGCAGATACCGATGAGGGTGGCGTCCAGGAGCATGATGAGCTGTAAACAAGTCCATGCTTTTTGCACTCCCGTGCCTTGTATTTCATGATTGCCGACGAGGGGCGAACGGAGTTTTCCACCTTTCAACTACTATTATTTTGATGTGTTCTCGGAGGAAGATTCTGCACTCTGGGTAAGGCCGGGTCAGTAAGATCAGACAAAAGTACTGGCTTACTGGAGCTTCGTGACCAAGGATTGAAGGTGACGACGTCGAAAACGGATGCGAAGGATGAGATCAGCCGACATTTCCCGTGGCCAAGATGAGAAATGAATGTGCAGCAATCTCTTATGAAGGTCTGGAGGAAATTGACTTGACTGGTCTTCAAGAATCCCAGTGGAGATGAACCAGAGCTTTACCCTGCCATGCGCAAAGCACCTCGGGGACAGTGAAGAATACTCACGCCCTGGAGTCGGTCAATAGTCATGAGCATATGAAGTCAGGTAGAATGGGAATTGAGCAAAAAATGGAAAACGTTTGGTAGAAACATCTCAGGACGCCGTCACAGGCCAAATGATAAAGTTGATGTCGAGCAGCCGCTTCGATAAATTACGCATCGAAGCGTCACAAAGACCGCAGCCAAGTCAACAGGTATCGAATTCTTGCTTCTACACCAGATGCCCCCCCTTCTTCCCTACGAGTGCGAACGCTCCCGGAGCTAGAGTGTTCTTATGGTGACGTGAACCGCCCTTTGCTACGCTATGTTGTGAACCTACCGCCGTAAGCCTCACTCGATTCCTCGGAACTTGAACGAGGACTCCCCTTGCACAAGACTACGAGATTTCTGGGGGTCGCCCCGTTTCAAGAAGCTGTCCTATCCAGCCCCCGAGAGGTTCGCGTCTGGCGACAATCCACGAGTGGGAAACGTACGGCACAGTTCAATCTCTCGGAAAATGAAGTTCTGCAGAGGAACATCGTAGTAATGAAGCTCAATTGGCTGTCTTTCTTTGTCCTTCCAATCGTCGACGAAAAACTCCCACGCGCCATGCTCCGACCGTTATTCTCAGCCAATTTAGAGACACCATACCAAAAAAGAAGAGCAAAGACAACGTCATAGAGTCATAATGCGTGACAACTTGCAATGCAAAATCATAGAGGGCCAAGGATATGAGGATCGCGGTAAATCCAATCTCCGCCCGTGACGCCGCCGCCCTGTCTCCGGTACATGGTCTCGACGTCTTCCTTGTACTGGCGAAGATACGCCTTGAACTCATCGGGATTCATTGTCCTAGCCTTGTCCATCAAGCTGTTGAAGGAAGCCTGTTCCTCGTTCGACGTCGTCCTTAGTGGTGCCGAGGGACGAATAGAAGCACTATCCGACGGTCTGACCAGGGGTGCGGTGGATGTCATTGAGGCGGCGTCCGAGAGGAGGTCGACGCTGCCTTTGGTGGACGACTTTCTGCGGAAGATCCTTTGGAGCAGGGTTTCTTCGGTCTTGATGATGGGGGTTTCTCCGGGGTTGAAGATGGACTTGGTTTCTGATTTGAAAATGGATTTAGTCGTGTTGGAGGACATTGTTGCAAAATCACTTGACTTGAGTGGATGAGATCTCACGATAAAGTAAATATAGCAGGTTCAGGTGTTGGCAGGAAGGTCAGTTTGGTGCGCGCAGTGATCGTATGTTCTCAACTGCTTTGCTTCTTTTGCGTTCGCAACCAGTTTGTTGGACTTATGGTGTCGGTAGGATGTGTGGAACACTTCGTCCTTAAATACTGTGTTTCGCTAGAACATTCCCAAACATCCATCGTATTCGCGTGAGGCTCCGACTGGTCGTTAACTGACTCGTTAGCGAGGAGGGAGAAGATCTCCAATGAAGACTTGGTAGAAGCCTGTGAGGAGCACCGGGAAGGCGGGACGGGTTTCAAGATTGACTCCAATACTAGGCCTCGTAGGTACAACGAGTAGGCCAGGTCATTGATCTGCCCCTCTATTTTTAACTGCTGGCCGATGCAAACGAACTCGACGCCAATCACTTATATCTCTCAACCACTGGTCCCTTTTGTTTTCCCCTCCCTTCGCCTAATTTCATCAACTGGCGCTCAAAGAGCCCGCACCAGAAGGAGGGAGTACCGAGCCATTTGATTCTCCTGCGCAACATGTGCGGTGCGGCTCATTAGGCTGGGGTATCTCGCTAACCAGGCTGTGGACTTCTGCAGGTTGGCCACCCACATAGCCTCCTCCCAACCATTTAGAAGTACTTGGTACGCATCGGGGCCTTTCGGAAAAGAAGAATGCGACTCTGCACGAGCATCAGGAGTCAGGAAGAAACGCGATAACCGAGTTCGAATGCGGACACGAGGTAATCTTCATCCCTTGCAACGAATTCTGGCTACGGGACACACGGGAGACCCTGAGGAATATTCGAGGACCTCTCGTCTAGACGACGAGGCGCCTTCGATGTCATGGTATACTGTCGTGCTCCCAGCAAGGGCTGTGAGCAGTGTCGCAAACGAAAGATCAAGGTAAGTTGTCACATAGCTCTTCAGAGCTTCTTTGCCTGGTTCACAGCAATGTCCGACTCACCCAAACTGGGTTTAACCATTCTGCCAGTGCGACGAAGGGAGGCCAGGATGCCTAAAGTGCGCGAAATCGAAGCAACAGTGCCCGGGCTATCGCAATCTTGTCGATGTCAGGTTCAGAGACGAATCCGACCGCGTTGCTCGCAGACACCGGCAGGATGAACACTCAAGTATGATCTGCATCCCACAACAAGATTTTACTCAGTCTCTGCCACACAATATACAAACTCCTGCAGCTGGACGCCTCGCTGCCTCTCCTAAATTTTCTATTACCATTCCAAATCCCCTATCCCAATCTAGCTATGACCAGGGCGCAAACTTCTTCTTCGCAAAGTACTCTCCAGATGACGGCACGTCCTTCAGTAACTATCATGCTTGGTTGATCAAGTCCTACTTTGAACAAGGGTCCAACAATGTCTTACGGAAGGCCATTGAAGCCGTGGGCATGGCGGGAATGTCAAACGTCTTCTACGCGGCCAATGTCAAATCTCAGGCTCGAGCACAGTATTCTGCAGCCCTAATCTCCATGCAACAAGCTCTGATGGATCCAGTCCAAGCTGTTTCGGACACGACGTTCATGGCTCTGATGTTACTCGCATTTTTTGAGGTATATCCAAAAGGCCATCTAGGTCGAACGCTCAAGGAGCTGTCACTCACTTGCATATAGACCGTCAATTGCGAAAACCAGGATCGATATCCTCATTGGGCGACCCATGTCAGAGCCGGAGCCGCCGTCCTAGAGCTTCGGGGTCAAAAGCAATTCGATAGTGAACGTGGTGGACTGCTCTACGTTCAGTTTCGCTCTTACATTGTGAGTGAATGTTGCTGAAATCTTCCCCTCAAGCGTGGTCGGCCGTCTCATGACAAACATAGCTTCTGGCCTGCATGCAGGAGCGCGTTGCCGTTCCCAACGCCTTGGTCAAGGCAACCTTCAGTTTCCAAACAGGCGCCTTGAGACAAAATTGGCAGCACGCAAACATTGCCAGTCCGGGGTCCATCACTGAGATTTGTATCCGAGTGGCCAACCTCTGCGCAGCCTTGAAAGGTCAAGACGTGACAGATCCACAAGCCATCCGTGCCATAGCGCTGGAGATCGACGCAGACCTCGAGAGTTGGAGAGCAGGTCTGCCCCCGACTTGGGCATACGGTACAGTCGACGTCCCTGATGCTGCCAATGACACCGCTTTCAACAGAAAGAAGCACGTCTATACCAATCTGTGGAACGCGGAGGCATGGAACTCTTGGCGCGCCGTCCGAGTGCTCGTCAACCAGCTCATCTTGGAGAACGAGGCCCGCTCGATCGAGCCCGACAATGCACTGATGGCACTCGCTCTTTCGGTCATTCGGGAGTTGTGCGTTGACATTTGCGTCTCCACATATAGTTTCAGAGACTCTCCACGCACGTATCCCTTCGTCTCGCTGGATGCATGTCCATGAACTAACTACCGCATTTTAGGCATCCTCTCGCTCATGCACTCGCTGTTCCTGGTCGCCCTGGAAGAGCGGAATGATCTCCTCGTGGTTTCTTTCGCTGTGGAGCAACTTCGACGCATCGGGGCAACCATGGGGGTTCGACAGGCAACTTTCATGGCGGATACCGCGTTGAAAAAGTCTCAGGCGATGTTCAGACGAGTCAACGGTTCCTTCACCGCCGATATCGACTCATATGACACTTTTACCCCGTCGCTCGATTAGGGTTGCTGATTGGCGCCTCGCAATGGTACCCTGTATCGGGCCTAGTGACCCCCCCGCTCGGCATGGAAGTGAATCGCCATTCGCTGGCCTCCCTCCTCCACAGCCTTGCAGCTAAAGTGCCCGAGGATAAATATCTCTGCGCTCCCGTCAACCTCAGGGCTACCTCTATCCAACTGCAAATTCCGCGTCTTTAACACTGTACGACAGCAGAACCGGTTGTCGCTCGGTTCTGATAATATCTTTTCGCTTTTGAAGCTTGAAACAAAAGGCAGTCGATCCAGACCACTCCTTTTTTGGCTACACGTTCTGCTTCCTGAAAAGCGCCATGTCCAAGCCAGAGTCCGCTTCGGTCCCCTTCCCCAAGGAAAAGACCTTCAGTTCCTACAACAAGGAACAGGGTAAAGCTTACGCTCAGGCCCGCCGCGACTACCATCCAAAGGTGTATCAAGCCGTAATTGACCACCACACATCCACGGGGGGTGGCCTTGATACACTTCTCGATGTCGGCTGTGGCCCCGGTCTTGCCGCTCGCGGGCTTTCATCCCACTTCGCTCATGTCCTTGGCCTGGACCCTTCCGAAGGCATGATCGCCATCGCTCGCTCCATGGGCATTGTCTCGTCCACGTCTGAACCGGCACGTTTCGAAATCTCCACGGCGGAGGAACTCGGAGCAAACCTTTCTCCGCCTGTTGCGGATGCTAGCGTCGACCTCATCACTGCCTCCAATGCCGCTCACTGGTTCGACATGGCTGGCTTCTGGCCCAGCGCCGCGCGCGTCCTCAAGCCGGGAGGCACCGTTGCAATCTGGACAAGCGGCGAGATCCGTGCTCACCCGTCTATGCCCAACGCTGAGGCCATCCAGGCTGCTATGGATGAGCATCAGGAGCGTGATATGAAACCCTTCATCGAGCCAGGCTCACTTATCGTGCAAAGCCGTTATCTTGATCTCCCCCTTCCGTGGACTCTAGCCCAACCGGTCACCGCATTCGACCAGGCAACATTTGTTCGGAAGGAGTGGGATCCAAATGAAGACTTCTTTGTGGGTCTGCCTGAAGGGGATCTGGACATGTTCGAGAAGGTGATGGCGACGGGGAGTGCAGAGACGCGCTGGCGCCAGGCGCACCCAGACGACGTTGGCACGGAGCGGGATGTGCTTAGAATCCTTCGTAAGAGGATTGAACAACTGTTGCACGAGGCAGGCGTGGAGAAGGGAAAGGAGAGAATGAAGGCCGCCGTGTACGGCGTGCTGTTAATGGTCAAGAAGAAGGTTTAGAGATTGAGCTGCGAGGAGGATTGTAAGGTGGCCGAGCGCGAATTGACGCCACACATACTATGCTCCCTGGGAAGAAGTATTCTAACCCACCCTTGGGCCATCTCACCCACCTCCAGAGTAACCAAGTCAGAAGGGGTTCAGACGTATAATGGGGTAGAACATTGATAACATGTAACATGTTAAATTGGCAGTCGACACGCGCTCAACGCGTCAAGACGTGATTGATAGGCGCCACGCTGTCAGGTGACTTCCGATGTACGACGAGTCACGTGTGGGCTTGCGCGGGGCGATATCTGCTTTCAGATCAACCGCCGCCTCTGCCCCCACCAATTCCCCTGCCATCATTCAAAATCCTAATACCCGACAAACCTCCAGGAGGATTCGATGCAAGTTGTCTGGGAGGCGGACACGGCGGCCTTTGCAAGCCGCAAGAGAGCCGCACGGGCATGCCAGAAATGTCGCGCCGCGAAGAAACGCTGTCACCACACCTTTCAGCGCCCGCCGGAGCAGCAGGCAGATTCTGACGGGCTCGAGAGAGTCCTGCCCAACTTGACGCACAAGGAACCCATCCGCTTCGTTGGGGATCTAAATCCCGAGTCCATACTGACGGACCTGTCGTCGAGGAAGCAAGGCACCCAGAGGATCAGCAGGGTCGGCACCTGGGTTGAACAGTCTCGAGATCTGCAAGATGGGCTCCCCCCAGAGGACCTTGGCCCACCGCTCCCGCAGAAGTCGGGCGACAAGACGCCGCTCAATGTCGAGAAGTATGGCCGGGTTGAAGGCGGTCGGAGGACCCTGACTGGGCATCAACGCAATTACTTGCAAGCCGTGGGAGCGTTTCGAGTTCTGCCCAAGGCAACTCAAGATGCTCTGGTCACCACCTACATTGCGTGTTTTGACGGACTGCTACCAATCCTGAACGGCATCAAACTACTTCGAGACTACACTGAGGGACGGTGCTCGATATTCCTCATGCAGGCCATATGTCTTGTAACCTGCAAGACTGAGGAAGCCGCGCCATATCTGCGACTTTACGACGATGGTCCGCTTCTTGACCCGATCCCATTCGCCCGCAGTCTGCATACGGGGCTGGACGCAGCTATGAAAGCTGATCTGGAACCTGATAGAGTCACCAAAATCCAGATTCTGACCCTGATGCATTTACATAATGATGGACCCGGAGGTATCGAAGAATCCTCATTACACCTGTCCCAAGCAATTCACGATGCCTGGACAGCGGGTCTCCACATCCACACGCCAGGACGATCTCCTAAAGACCAATCGAGCATGCTGTGGTGGACCATCTGGATCTTTGACAAGATCAATGCCTGCCTCGGTGGGCGGCCGATCGTGATCGCGAATCGAGACATCGATATCGCCCGTCCGCCACTGGAAACTGGCGTTCCCAGAAGTAATGTCATCAATCTATGGCTGAGACTGGGGGAGCTTCTGGACGAAGTCATCGAGTTCTACAGACCAACTGCGGATCCGGAATGTACAGGGTGGGAAGCCGAGTTCCCAGCCTATCGGTCGCTGACTGAGGGTATCGATTTGTCCTTACTTCCTGTCTCAGAACAAAGTGAGTGAGCTCTGCTCGTCATCCAAGCCTTTCCTACGCTCATTTTGGTTCACCTTGGCCGTTTATCACTGACAATCTTCCCAGGCATCCTCGAACTCTGTTACCACGTCATCGCGATTCTTTCGTGCCGCGCTGGGGGCCCATCTACGGCCTCGTACGCCCGTCGCATCTCGGCAGCTGATCGGATCCAAGCACTTCTCTCTGAAGGTCGTCATACCTCTCTCCAACCCATTCCCTTGGTGCCTTATGCAGTCGGCCTCGCACTGACGGTCGCATACCGCGGACTCCGTGACAATGCATTCGAAGACACCGATCGTGCGCAGGCCGATCTCGCTACGCGATGCGAGACCTTGGAAGCGCTGAGCATGTATTGGTGGACTGCAGACGCGATGGCTAGGCTGGGGCGGAAGGCGTTGAAGTCCTTGCAGCAGACAGGGGTAAGGAAAGCCAGCGTGGCGGGGATCGCGAATGCAATGGAAGCGGAGGTCTCTGCGTGCAAGTTTGGACCGTTTGAGAGCAAGGCCCACCACCATGGAGGACATCATTCTCACAGTTCTTCCACCCCTGCTACAACTCTCGGTGGAGCTGCCACTATCACAACACCGATGATGACCAAATCGAAGTCCTCTGGTGGAGGTGGTCCCGGAGGAAACGGGCTACATGTCCTCTCTGACGCGGCAGCGACGCATTCGACGGGAACAGCAGCGACGAATAATCTGGCATCCTCAACCCCCACCAGCAGCAGCGGCATCAGCAAGAGTCTTGGAAACACCCCCGTCGTCAGGACTATATCCACCACGCCCACGTCCGCCTCGCTCTTGACCAGCACCACCTCGCACAAAATGCCGCAGTCACAGCAATTCCACCACCACAGCTACGGCATGGGCTTCAGCCAAATCCCGCCGGGGCCGTCGGCGTTCCAGTACCAGAACTACAACAAAAGCACCCGATTCCAGACATCTGCACTCCACAATCCGCTCGGCGCGCCAACGCACTCCGCGACGACAGCCGCCGCAACGACGGGTGTGAATGCATTCGCGCTCGACGTGTCCTCGTCCTTCGGCCCGGGGATATATGACCCGCAGTTCACGAACCTGGACGAGCTGTTCGACGGGTTTTTCGATCTGAGCATGCCCACCATATTCCAGGACCCGTTGTTTGACGGCGATGCCTTTCTCAACGCCGATCTCGACTTTGGCATGGATCCGGCCATGGCGACTATCGAAGGATTGGGATATGCGACGGACATGACTGTCGGCGATGCTGGCGGTAGTGGAGGAGGAGGAGGAGGAGGAGGAGGAGGAGGAGGCGGCGGCGGCGCGCTGCATGGGCCATCGAGCGCAGTGCCAGTATCAGCACCTGCATCAGCACCTGCACCAGCGACAACCACGTCTGCAGGATCCGCAAACGCGTCCTCGACGACCCCAAAGGCCTCGCTTGGTCCCGCGTATCCGGAAATCAGCATGTCTTGATCCCCATATCTCCAGTCCCAATCTCTCTCTCTCTCACAGAGATCGCCCCTCCGAGTTTAGACTTGCTGCTTTTTCACGTGCGACTTTGGATAAATGGGTTCATGGCTATGTGGACCGGGCTACGAGGTATTCTCTTGTTGTTTGGAGTTCAGGGGGGAATTTGTTGGCAAAAACAGGATCCACAGGTTGATGAAGCAAGCATCCAAGTTACAGTACTTATTCATATAAAGACAGACATGACGAAGGGCTGCATAATCTATCCTCTTGGAACGAGAATCGTTTACTCGGTACAGTTGTTGTCCATCAAGCCGTTTCTGCTGAGCCTGCTTCCATTGCAAGCAGATGGTCAGTCGAGAGTGCCAGCAGCGACACCCACACCCCATCTTCCGACCTCCAACATGGCCTCCTCTCCGCCCTCCGCCAACACGCCCTTCCCCTCTCCGAGCAATCCCTCAAGGCAGAGCCATGGATCCCTTCCACCACCCCACTTGAGAACCTCCTCTTTGAACCTCTCTCCGCTTGCACGATCAATGGCGCCATTGTCCTCACCACCCCTAAAAACATTTGTCCAGACGCGTCGCGCGATCGCCGTGTCGAAAAGATACGAGTAGTAACTCGCGCCGTAGCCGTGGAGGTGGCCGAAGAACCCTTGCCACGAGGTGCCCCAGGGTTCGGGCACGGAGCCGTGCTTGTTCCAGACGTCGTAATACACAGCGGTGGAATCGTAGCGTCCGCTCCGTAGGGCTTGAACTGGGCCGTCTCCATGGTACACCTGATCCAAGATACTCATGAGGATCTGGCTCTCGTTGTTCCACGCGCCTTGTCTCGAAGCTTCTTTGGACCCTTCTTCAGCAAGGACGGTCAGCATCTCGTCGGGCATGGGTGCATCGGTCTTCCAGTGTCTCGCGAAAAGTTTCAATACCGCCGGGTTGGTGGCGAAGTTTTCCATCAGGACAGAGGGCAGTTCGGAGAAATCGGTCGCGACTCTGGTTCCTGATATGCCTTGCATGGAGGTGCGGCCTAGGACGCTGTGGATCGCATGGCCCATTTCGTGGAATAGCGAGACGAGACTGTATTGAGAGAGGAGTGCAGGTTCGCCCGGTACGCTGGATTGTGGGAAGCCGCATACTAGAGCGATGATGGGGATTTGGTGATGAGAAGTCGCGCCTGAAGTCGGGTTGGTACTGAGAAATGTCGGCATGCCGTTATTCAGTGGCTCATCGCGTTCAGCGCATTCGCGGACCTCTTCCTCCGAGATTTCTCGAGAGCAGAGAAGTGTGAAGTGGGCGGGATGGCTCTGTTTCCCCGGTCGCGAGAACAAATCACAATACATGGTGGCAATATGTTCCTGCTTGTCCGTGTGGACGTCCAACCGTCTAACGTCGGGATGCCAGACTTCACCTTGCTTGGTTTCCTTTGATACAAAACGAACTCCATAAAGAGACTCGAACAGGCTGGACAGGCCCTGCATCACATGGCCGAGGGCAAAGTAAAATTTGGCACTTTCCTGCAAGCGTGACTTTGACCTGCGAGGTCCCGAAGCGCCCTCTAGTTGATCAAGCTTTGAGAGGAGATAGTGGTGATCCCACGGATTCAATTCTTCAGCGCCTTGCTCCACCTTACGCTTGAGCGCCAATAATGGAGCAAGCTCCTTCTGCACATGTATCTTGTTATTCGCATTGACTGATTCCAGAAAGTTGTTCACAGCCTCTGGTGTCTTGGCCATTTTCTCTATGAGGGTCATCTGTGCAAAGTTGTCAAAGCCTGTGAGTTTGGCAAGCTGGGCACGACGGAGGAGCAGTTGCTCAAGTGTCGCAATGGTCTTCTTGGAGGCGCTTCTCTCAGCAATGTACATTTCTTTCCTCGTTGCGGCGTCTTTGACAGAGCTAAGAACCATTTTGGACCACTTACTCGACACTGGAATCTGTGCTCGTTCGTGGTTTTTGAAACCTTGAACCAAGGTTGGATCTATACCATCCAACTGGCGTACGGTAAATGGCACATACTCCCTTGCATGATCCATCTGATTGATGAAATCGGTTCCCAGCTGTACGATGTCGTTCGACAACGAGACAAACTGTCGTCTCTGTTTTTCGGGGAGGTGGATGCCTGATTTCGCGAAATCCCTCATCAGGAGCAGGGCAACCATTTTCTCCTCTTCGCTCCATTGCGTCCGAACCTCTGGCATATCCCAGGCCTTTTTCAGCTGCTTGTTTAAGCCAGTGGTTGTATTGAGCTCATTCATGTACTGGAACATCAGCGAATATGAGGCGGATGCCGAGGCGGCGACATCGTCACTCGGGTGAATGCTCCTGATGAAATCGGAGAGATCTATGACTCGACAAAGCAAGTCGCTGAGTCTATCAAGATCCCTAGGTATGGCTCTGTATTGCTCGGCCGTGGAGGCGGCGAGCGTCCTGTCTACCAATCTCTTGCATTGTATCACAGAAGCCTCTGCAAACTTTTGAAAGCCTTGTGGAAGGGTCAGGAACGTGTTTCCTATCAAGCCCGAGCTCTGTGTGGATGAGGTCTTTGAGAGGGTCTTTTGATTGAAAATCTCACGAAGGAGAGCATTGTCACTGCCGCTCTTGGAGGAGGAAGACGCGGGTAGGTGGGTAGCGTCGAAGGTGTTATCGTCGGCCACGGCTATGCCGGCGGCAGTAGAATTGAATCTGTGCTGCTTGCGCAGGCATCTGGGGCAGGTCCATGGCTGCCGCCGCAGGGCCTTGTGCATACCTAGACAGTTGAGGCGAGTGAAGCGAGCATGTGCTGCCCTGTAACGCCTTGACTGATGGTGTTACACGACTTTTGGTTCACGATCTCGGGGCGTTGGACTTGGCATAGCGCCGCTTTTAAACACCGACCACCAGGCTGCAACGCTAATACATATTGGGAAGGCTCACATTCTGAGATCTTGAAATGGGTCCATTCTGAAGAGTGTATCGGCAACCTCATCACTAGTGCTTGGAGTGGCCTATCCGACTGCTAATAATCATCCTGTCCCTGCAGCTCTTTGCTGCAAACTGTGGCTCTGTCGAAATCTCCTGACACCACTGCTGCCCGCAGCCGGCTGCGATGCTCGTCGACCATGGCCGAGACCATCCTCCACGATGAGCGTATCCACGTGGCCGATTGGCCGTATCTGGCCATCATCGTCAGACTCGCCATCCGCAAATTCGTGCGCCGTAGCGAACGAAAGTGCCGCCGAAGTCGTTCGTGCGAGACCGCTTCCATTCTCATCCTGGCCTGCCTCGGCTTCTCCCTCCCTCGCATTTTCAAGCCGAGCAAGACGTGGGCGGCAGTTCTTGTGGCGGCGCGATCCAATCCACCAGGGTTTTCGGAAGAGAAAGCAAGGATACTTCCCTGGGATGACGGCATGCACAGACGCCGCCTTCCCCCCCGACTCCGAGAACTCATTCGCGTCGAAACCGAGATGCCGCTTCCCATCCGTGCCTCTGTAGAATCCGAAATAGTACTTTCGTTTTGCGAGGTGGATCTTCGATCGGAGGTGGATCTCCTCGTCGTCGGGTTCTTGAGCTGAAAATTCTTTGGCTGTCATGAGTGACGAGTCGTAACAGTAAGAGAGGAGGTCGGAGATGCTCAGGACCATTCGCGGGAAGCGGTACTCGATTGGCGGACGGGCCAGAATGCAGCTGATGGCGTACAGTGAGACGGCCGCCAGTGATACGTAGAGGTTTGTTGGGATAATCGTGAGGTGGTCCACAGTGTCGCCCCTACGGATCAGAAATATGTTGGCCGCAAAGACACTTATGTAAGGCGCGATGAGTGTGAGCAGTGTAAACCACACGACTCTCCAGTGCCAATTCCCAAGCCCAGTCACAACAGTCGTTACAACGTCTGGCGAGAGGTAGTCGAGCAAAATAGTCTCCCTGGCGTCGCGCGGAACGAACATCCCCGCCAACGGCGCCGAGGCGCGGTAGAACAAGTCCGCATTAAACCAAAGCATCGACAGCAGAGAGTTGGTCAGGGCTGGAATTGCCGCGATGTAGACTTCACCTAGCCAGATTGGAGGAGGCCCGGCATTCGATGCGGCTGGATGCTTGAAGATCCAGCCACTCTTCAGCTTTCCAGAAGTTATCCACCAAACAAAAACCCCGGTTATGGTGCAGCACATGGTGAAACCGACAAGAAGCGCACAATCGGACTGCCAAAAGCTCGGACAAAAGTAGCGAACTTGTTCTGGCGTCGGCGTCTTGTACTCGTCCCATTTGAAGTCTGAAAAAGTCTGCGTCAGTACCAAATTCATAATAGATCACAGCAACCGAAACGCCTCAGCTTTTTCAGTGACTGGTATAATGCACACATGGTTATGGTGCATACCGGTTGGTAGATTCACACTCCCATGCCTTGTGCTTCTTTCGTACTCAACATTGACATTGACAGCCTCCAGTGAGCCAGGATCAGGGTCCGGAGATTGACGGGTTCGTACAGGCTTCTCTGTGTGAAATTTAGTGCTTGAGTCACGTCTAAGCAGATGTATTAGGACTCACTCGGGCTTCCAATGAATCCAATCCCATGTAAGATCTTTGTCTCGTCCTCCGTAGCTCGCCAGTAGCCAAGTCGGAGTGGTCCAAGGGACGCTGGTATGGCCCGTAGCTTTTCCATGAATATTTTATTTGACGCTGACGCATCCAAATCAAGCGCACGTAGTACCGCCGGTACGTTGGAATTCTGGAGCAAAGCAATCTGGGCCGCATAACTGCCAGGATCCCACTTGAGACCTGTAGTTGCATCCCAAGTGCGGATTATGATAGCCAAAGTGCTCGCAATTATGCCCGTATACATGGCTATCAGCGCATAACCCACAGGATTCGATATGGATACCTGCCAACCGTGTGAGTCCGGTGTCACACGAATCAAAGCTGCCTTGAAGGAAGCAAAATAGCCGTTGATGATGACTCGTGACCAGAACAATGCAAAAGTGAGATAGTGGCCATATCGGAGCAGCTCAAATCCAAGATCGTTGGGGATCAGGTGGAGTGACACGAAAGACCCAACGAGGATTGTGTTCGTGTTGTGTACGTCGTTTCTCTGTCGAGTACGGAAGGTGGAGGCACTCATCGTGAGATAAGGCAAAAGCCGACCGTACGAAGAGACCAATGACCGAAATGTGGTTGTAGTGACCGAGCCTAGCACCGAGGGCACGTAGTTGAAGGCGTTATAGCCGACGGACCTTCTGATGTGAAGGTCTGTTGGTGCGAAGGTGTTCAGCGCCACGAGAGCCGCGACGAACGCCAAGCAACAGACATAAAATACAAAGAGAGGAATTAGTAGCCGACGTCGTAGCAGTAAGGGCTTGTACTTCAGCTCTGGGTAACCCTCTGGCTTTTGGATTGGCGTGTGATAAGGAAGACTGTTGATGAAGGCTTCAGATAACCTGTGCTCAGACCCGGGCATCGCTCTTGATCGTCGCTCGTTCCGCACCGAGTCTAGAAACGGCTCTGATATCTCGTCCAATGCAGGAGACCGGTCATTGGTCTCGGCTCCGTGTGCCCGAAGGTCATCCTCTTGGGCATCCTGAGCAGCACTAAGTACCACAGGATCAAGTTCGTAGGCAGTTTGATTGTCGTCAGCCTGAGATGCGTTGGGGTTGTCGCCTCGTATCGGACCTTGTAGCGACAGCATTGTTAATTGAGAGGGATTTATAAGCCCCAGCAGACAGCTTCAGAGTGGTCACCGAGCCAGGGGGATCCGATGCAGAAAGTCGGTGATGTCTGCAAATGATTGCCCAAGGAAGGAGAAATTGAAATGAGCTGCCCACAGCCTCACAGGCTCGCCAAAAATATATGAGAATACAGCCGAAGCAAACCTCGGGCATGACGCAGCCCAAACACTCAATCAACGAGCACCATCTTCAGAGAGCCTGGAAAGGCAGCAAAGCGGGGCGGAACAATACCACAGCACAATTGGCCGCGTGATAGCCCTCGAATCGAAGCATTGGCTGCCGTGAAGCCAGTGGCTTGCAGGAGTAGATGCGCTAGAGTGATGGTGCGGTTCAGCCTGATCATGAACTGGGCAAGATCGCAACTCAACAAGTCTCAGGCCATGAATTTCCGCGTGGTAGTAGCTGAACCTGGTGAGACATCATAGTCACCGAGTTCATGACGCTTATCCGCGCCTCTGCGCTATCAGGCGTAGCTCTCTAGATTGAGGGAGTTCTGACGGCCAAGTTCAGCCTTTGAATCGGTGTTAGGCAGGTAGCACAACATCGATGCAGGGAAGGGGAACATGTTGCCAAATCGGATGCAGAGAAACGACATCCCTGGAGACCAGGGATGTTACGCGTGACTTTTGTGGGGGCGCGAAGTCACCTCAGCAATTTTGTGCTTCTGGGACATGCTCGCTGTCGATTTACTCCGTCTTTTGCTTAATATAAGGAGGAAGTAATGTGATGCTAGGTAGTGATGAGAGCAGGCGAGATTGCTGTACTTCGGCTAGGTCATTCAAAGCCTCTAGAAATCTCCGCAGAATATGAGACCAGTCAGACCATAATGAGGCTGCTCGCACCGCGTATAGTGTATGGGTCATGGTCTATGCAGTCGTACGGAAGGAGAACTGGGTCATTTAAGATGGCGAGATGGCTTGGGAGAGCGGGCCGGGTCAAATAATCCGTATCTCGGCCCTTCAAGTTACTTGCATTTTGATCTTGGCTCCTGGCGAACAAGTTGGCGCCAAATATGGTGCCAAGGGTCTGGAACACACAGGATTGCGGTGGTTCAGCCCTAAAATCCAGTCGCAGTTTTTTCAGGTGAATTTATACTCGGAATCTACCACGATCCAGGTAAGTCCAAGTTAATAATTGCGCAACACCGTCTCCACCGGATGGGTCGTCGGCAACGGCGAACTCGGATCAGTGCAACGTCGCCACTTTTGGCGGGTCATACGTATATGGGCAAAACTATTATTAGACCTTTCAACATGTCCTTTTTAACGCGCAGACAGCATGATCTACCTCCAGCACCATCAAATCTTCAACTTGGGCACTGCGATCCAGTAGCACCGTTGCGAAGCTCTTCATTCATCACAGTTTATTCAATTAACTTGGCACTCTCAGTCCTCATCTCAAGGACGTCGACGGATGAGACGCGTCATCGGCGGCATTTACCGACCTGATGGCCACCGATGATGCGGCAAGGAATATCGAAGTCGAAGAAAACCAAACGAAAACCCCCGAGGACACCACGCAGGAGGGAAAGCATCAATCCTGCACCGACACAGAGAAGTTCCTTTCGGCCGCAGATTGGGTCACCTTATTAGAACGACGAGGCCATTATAGGCCCCTACAGCCAGGTCGATTGAGAAACAGCTTGCTTGCTGGGGTCGGATTTCTTGAGCTGGGAAATGCAGGAGACTTTGCTGCCAATGTCTGGAACGAAGTCCCGGTGAAGAAATGGGTCGCTGTTCTGATGGCTCTTGGAGCAACGATGGCCCTGGTGACCTCCCTTTTCGCTTTTCGCGATGTCGCGCTCAGCTGGCGCAATATACAGGTTTTGAGGCGGGAGAGATCATACTTGAAGCGGGAGAGAGCGCGATGCCGTCGTGACAAGGCTAGCCTGCGGAGTGTGGACGCCATAATAGGCGTCAATTTCCGTGAGAGTGGCACCGAGCTGCTGGATCGGCTTATCGTGGACGTGCTCTTAGGTTTCGGCGCCTTTCTGGTCAGCATTGGAACTTATATGGCCATTGGTGGCGCGAATCCTTCCGTCTTCAAAGCCAGCAATTTGCTGTCAGGATACATTGGCAATGCTGCAGGAGCAATCTACGGTCTTGTCAACGCCGGGTGGTCTGCCTACGTTTCGATACGAGCACATCGACACCGCTCGGCAGGGCTCGCCAAATTGGACTCTGATCTCGCCAAACGACTGTTGCGACACCGCACCCACAAAGTACAGACTCACGCATTGGTACTTGCAGTCACAGGTCTTGCCGCCGGTGCCGGAGGTCTCATTACCGCCACGATGTGGTGGGGTTATATCATCCTGGTCCCCTGCATCATCTCAAACATCTACTGCAACTGGATGTGGCGGCACCAAATCGGATATGAACGACCCATAGCTGGCAAGATTGTCCAGATCGACCAACAGTTGCTAATCAAAGAGCTGGAATACGTCGACCTTATGAGCAATTACCTGGGAAGACGGGCACGTTCAGATCCTCCCAAAGATGACGAGGCCGATGATCTCACATCGATCGTCTCGGTCATCCAGTTCATGCTATCCATCGATATTTTCGAAAGCTTCTGTGTCCGTGTCATGCAGGAGCGGCGGTTATCTGCAGCTCTGTTGGAAGCGTCAGAAGGAGGTTTGACAATTTGCGAGCAGACGTTTCTGGAGCTGGACCAAAAGCATCTGCCCCTGGTACTGGCGCTCGCGAGGACGCATATCAGCGAGAGAGGCCCAGTACAGTTACGATACCGGGAGAGATACCTGCTGGAGACTCTGGGGTGCTACTTGCGGGTACAAGATGACACTGTTGTTAGCAAAGTCCTCGATCCTCCTCTTCCAAAAGAACCAGTATAAGACACCTTCTAATGAGAACGAAGTCTTTCTTTTTCTCCCCTTTTCTGTATCGAAGCCGACTCAGGAGAGAGAGACACATTGGACTAACAGCAGACCTATTCTTTTGCGTCGGCCATCAACTTCTCGATCGCTTGCTGCCCGTGCCCGATTGACCTGTTTGGAAAATAATGAGTTTTGTAACAGCATTGAATGTTAGAAACGCAGTTTCCTGGCTTCCAACTCTCTCTGCATTGAGCCTTCAATGCTTCGAATGAGCGCCGTAGCGAATATTCAATGTGTGGATGAAGCATTGCAAACTTCACAAGGGTCCGTTGCGCCACGGAGGGAATAGCAGGGTTTTGAGATGGCGGCGGGGTATCTCCGGGCATGGTCCGGCTCCACCAGATTTACGATGTATATAAGTTTAAACCCCGAAAAAGTGCAATAAAATCATCCCGATTTTACACGGTTCTATAGTGTAGTGGTGATCACTCCGGATTTTGACCTTGCGATGGAATGCTGCTCATTCTTTCGCGTCGAAATGTTCCGGCAACCCCGGTTCGAACGTGAGTTTCAATCCCGTTCACATATGTCAATGACCACCACAATACTAACTCTCATCCAGCCGGGTAGGACCTCTCATCTCCTTCTACAAATTTCTTTTTGTGTCCAACAAATATGATGGTAGAGACAAGCTGAGCTGGATTTTTGTTTTTCTTTCTCGGGGCAAAACTCTCACATTCTGAGTCAAGGAAAGTGGCGTGGCCAAATTCTTTTCTCGATCTGGAAAGAGTAGCCGACGCCGGGGCATCAGTTTCCCCTCCGGCGCAAATACCAAGGCCTGGGTTTCTGCACCGTGTGTGTCGTTTTCTTGGTTGTTATCAACGATAGTATGTGTACGACATGAGGAGGTGTGGAAAAGGGGCTCATCTCTATCGACTATGAAAGTTGGGAACATTTAGAAGAGAGCGAGGTTGTTGTCAATAGGAGAAGAAAAGTTTAACTATCCCATAGTTTTTGGCTGATCGGGCAAGGCTGAAAAGGCCCAACTCCCTCGACAGTAGGAATCCCCCGAGCCTCGTCATATGAAGTGCAGACTGTCACGGCCCGCTCCGCCACCAAGAACTGTCCAACCTTCCTCCTCAGCTTGACTCTCATTGCCAGGCTCGGGATACTTCTTCACATTTTCGATCGCCCATCTCGTCTCGTCCCCCAGCACAGGCGGGTATCTCCCACGGTCCTCGAGCAAGGGCAGACCGGCCAGATCGAATAGGCCTCGAAGCCACTCCATCGTCTCTCCATTGTCCCAGGGAATGTCGTGAAACTTCCTTCCCTCCCTGCTTACGAGTCGCCACCTGTCCCGCTCCCATTGCTCCTGTGCCTCCCGGGCCGGGAGTGGGAGTGCGTTTCTGCCTGCAAATAGCCGCGCCAGTGCGATGGCTTGGTACTCGAAGGAGCGGAACGTGAGGACACGAGGAACTCCGACAATGCCCAAGGTTGGGAAGTCTCGATGGAATGTGTGCCAGTAGCTGCCGATGAGACGGTTCTCGGTATAGTCCCAGAGTGGCCCACCATTGGCGCGGGCATTCCAGAAGGGAAACGAGGCCTTGTATCCTGTACAATAAATGACGACGTCAATGTCGGAAAGAACTGTACCATCCTCGAACACAATGTCTCCCGTTGGCATGTATGCTTTCACAATCGGTTTCCATTCAATCCCTGAGGGTGGTTTGTCGCCGTCCCAGCGAGAACGCGATCTCCGAGACTGATAGACGGGAAGACGAGCGGTTTGGACCAACGCAGTCGTGACGTCGTGCCCGGAGGCAGAGTTTCCGATGACTAGGACTCTCTTGCCGTGATGTGCCTGTGGATTGCGGTAGGATTTGGAGTGCATTACCCGTTCTGGAAATAAACGGAAATATTTGTCGAGACCTTCGACTTCGGGGATCTTTAGATTAAGTGACAGTCAGGAAAAGCAGATTTGGGAACATTGCAAATATACTCGGAAACGCTCGAAACAGACTTACAAATGGTACCGAATAGTGACCGTTTGCCAGGATGACAGCGTCGAATTCTTCTTCCCACCAGACATCCACGTGCCGCACAGAATCTCTTCGTCGAAGTGTGAGCTTCCACCCGTCCTTGGCCGGTAATCTGGACAGATCTTCCACTGTGGTGTTCAGAACAAGAAATGTGTCCGTTCGGTTCAGGGCGAAATAATTTGCTATGTATTGCCGTGGTACCCAGTGCGGTGGGAAGGGGCCGTACGGGAACCTGCAGTCGGAGAAACACATTGCAATATCGGGAACATTGGTCCTGTCACAGCTCTGTTTGGAATCTCTCGTAGGCAATAGGGAAGGCTGACTATACTTACGTCAGGCTGTCGTAGATCGGTGTTCTGTCATATCGTTCTTGTAAACTAGGAGAGGTCACTTTTGGAAGTGCTTCGGGGATTTCCAATGGAGGGTCTGTCTGCGGAGGGTTGCCACCGGGCAAAAGCTTGAGGCGAGGCCCCGGGTCAGGATCGTATATCCTAACCGTTGATTTTGTCATTCGCAAGGTTGCGAGGACTAGTTTGGGATGGTTCAATTCCTACCACGTTCCCCCAGGCGCTTCTCGCCGTTCAAATACTCGGATGCGGCTGAAGCACTTTTCTGCAGCAAAGGCTGCAGCGGCCGCGGCTCCTTGATTCTCTCGTATGAGCAACCCCTACCTAGGACAAGAGGTGACAAGAGATCAGAAGAGATGAGGTGGCATTACCTGATGCACCAGCGCCGATAATAGCAACAGACTGAACTGGGGTTGGGCCCATAGCTCCTGAACAGGAATATCTCGGCCAAGGATGATATTGTTTTCCAAAGGTTAGTGTGTAAGCTCAGTCCGGTGCATCTAGAAGTCGAGGTTGTCAGTGTCGAGGAATAGGACAAAGTGACATATCACATAGGGTGACTCGAGATTCGCCATCCAGGGTAAGATGGCGTGCTCGAACCGTCAGAATGAGGCTTCCCACAGGTCCAAAGCTGGCACCTAAGAAGTGATCGATCCTCTTCCCCATAACACTCCCTATATGGATAGATGAGGGCATCTGAATACGATGCAGCCCACAGATTGTCAAGTTAGGCGGCTGGTGCTGCCACTAGATCTGGCAGACCCACTGGCAAACAGACCAGTCAAGTTGTCCAGACGAGATCTTCTATGTGGCCAGGTACCCTGGTCAATCCTGGGCGTATGTAGTGCGAAATCAACGTATCGAGTATGTAGACAACATGGAAGGTATGTTGCTAGAGCATCTCGATAGGCGCAACCATCTCGTCTGACAAGCAGCATGGCGACAAGGGAGACTTATGACAGAGGATAACGTCGAAGGGCAGCATCTTCGTCCTCGACAGGCCTTTGTCTCGGCCACAAACACGAGCAGTCACTCGATATACTGCTTTCTGGCCACCGGTAGCATTACAACAGGTAATGAGAAGTTCGTCGCCAGTAAACTCCTCCCGGTCTTCCTAACGATGGTGGCGTGAGAGGAAGAGCGTATGGTTTAGATATGAGTCGCACGTGAGCTCCGAGCAGTTTTCGCCCAACTTTGGCCGCCAAGACGGATTGGCCAATTGGCCAATTGCAATCCGCATCCCAAGCTCCGATTGACAGTTCAAAGTTGCATCTCGCATGTTTCCAAAGCCTGCGCCAGCAGCGACCATTGCCCAACCACTCTCAACATGGCGCGATTAAGGCTCCTGCGAGCTGTAAGTGACGGTCTTTGACCTGCTTGACAACACTAACTCTCGCATAGTCGAAACAAGCCGCAGTGTTCGCCCTGGGAGCAACGGCCGCGACCCAAGTCCACTCGTTTCCCTCACCATTCCGTACAGTTTATGCAGAAGCTCCCTCAAAGGACCAGGTACGAAAAAGTAGTTCTTACTCCTCGAAGATTCTTCGCTGATGCCTCTATAGCTCCCTGATAAGAAACCCATATACTCCGACTTCCCAGTTGCACCAACTGTTCCTGAGCCCTCCCCTACATCTCCCGTCTCCAAACCGAACCCGCACTCACCCACGCCTACCGACCGACTCACAGAGCAAGTTAAAAAAGCCCGGTTGTTTCTGTACGACAAGTCTCTCGCCGCCGAAACATCCTTCAACAAATTCTTGTCCTGGGCATTCCGTAAGGAAACAGACTTCAGCAACACCATTGCTTCATTGGCCCCGGCTCCCGAGACCGGAGAACAGCTCCTTCCTGGAGCTATATACGTGTTGGTAGCGACACTTACCGGCTCCATAGTGACCCGAAACCGAGGGATCTTCTTGCGGACGACCTTCCCGCTCGCTGTGGGTATTGCGGCGGGCTGGTACCTTATCCCAGTGACGATGCGGAACACCTCGGACTTGATCTGGGAGTATGAGAAAAAGGTGCCTGCCGTCAGTGAAACCCATGCTCAAATAAGTGGATATGCAAAAGAGGCGTGGAGGCAGACGAGGCTGCATACGAAATTTGCCACGGACTGGGCCGATGAGAAGGCGACCGAGGCTAGGAAAACTGTCGAGGACTTGGTTTCGAAAGGCAAATAAACCACAATGGTTTGCGGGCAGGGTAAAGACTTGAAAGAAAAACAAGGAAGACTCGGATAAAGGAGTATAGCTCCCACAGGGAAGCGAGACCGATCATGAGACTTGGTGGTAGGTCGGCTTGCCCAATGTACAGAACAATGGCGTTTGTCCCCTTCGTGTTCCAAGTCTTCACTGTCGACTGCAGTACGTGCTCGCGTGCCCGTTCAAGGAATTACGCCTCTGCCGATTTCAAGGCGTCAAAACTCATCAGACAGATGCAAAGACACTGCAGCTCCTCGGCTTATCATGGCGTTACTACCACAATGTGACTCGCAAACCAGAATCGTTCAGTTAGATGATCAAGCTATAAAAAAGGACGAAGGTTCGTCGCTCGTCAAAATTTCTCAAGGCCATCTTTTTTCCCTTTTGAATGAATTAAAAAGCATTCCGCCAAACACCACACCGTTTAATTCATACATGAGTAGGAAAGACTGTATAGACGTCACCGATGGTCAGATAAGATCCCCGACTGTTAAATCAACGTCTGATGGGTTTGGTATGCCTCTACTCGGTTCATGTTCCCTTCTTCTCCAGGGGGCGTGCACGAATGATAAATGAGGAGCACCCGCCAAAACCTCGCCTCGTGGGAACTGGGGACTCCATTCGAGTTCCTGGCGCTCACCACCCTCCGACCCAGGTCAAAATGAGACGGCTGAGTCTGGGGAAGACTTGCGATCTGCTGCGCCGGACCGCAAGCTCCTCGCACCTCGCTCATTCTTAATGTGGTTCTCATGTCCAGTTCTCCAGATGCTGGTGAGGCGACCGGCCAGTTCGTGGTCAGCACCCATCCAGGCTTCCCATTTAGCCCCCCTTCCCGTGCCTAAGTGCCAAATCCGTCGTCGATTCAGCTTCAGCATACGTCCTCTCCGTGTCGCCAACGGGAAGCGAGTCCTCCTTTTGAGTATCAACTGGCAAGATTCTGGACTTGAAGGTGATATCGCGCTCGAAGATAGCCTTCTTTTTTGGTGATTCGGGCATTTCTTTTATGCAGGGTTTTCCTCATGTCAGAAGCTGGAGTGATGGCAGGGGAGGCGTCATCCTGGCAAGATCTTCGCTGATAAGTTGGTTTCGATATATCGCCTCCTCTGCTAGCGATCGCATGGCATCCTCTCCTTTCTGCAATGAAAACATCGTCTTGCAAGCTCAGCCTTCAAGTCGTGAACAGCGTATCCTCTTCTCTCAAATACTCGCCCACATCACCCTGCCGAAACGCCACAATACTGGTGGGTTCCAGCTTCCTCGCTTCAGCCGTGCTCCTCGCAGTAACGCCAAAGCCCAACGGTGTATCGTCCATCGCAAGGATCACGACGCCCGAATGTTCGGGGCAATCTTCACTCCACCGCCCGACATGCGCTTTCACCACATTACCGCCATACAAAAATGGCATTTCGCCATTTGGTTTCACCCACAGCTTGTATCGAGCGTGCGGAGCAATCACATCCAAGGCCGTGATGTGGAGGCGGAATTTCCCTGTCTTGGTGAATTTGCCCATGCAGGTGCCGAGTGACAGCAAGTTGTCACGGGCAATGGAGGTGGCTAGATTTGCGATAGCCAATCGAACGTAGTAGACGCGCGATTCGTGCAGGCGGAAGACATAGCGGTCGTCTTTGTCGGCGGAGGAGTCGCTCGGTGCGATGAGTTGGGTCAAGGAGCGGCCGGTGTAGTTGGCCAGCTTCGTAAAGAGAGTCTGTGTCTCGACGTCGGTGAGCGGTCTCATGTTGGCTTTCTTCTCCTTTGGAGAAAAGCTGGCAACCTGTAGAAAATACAGCTCGAGAGATCCTGGGTGTACGGGGTGTATGCAGAGTGCGGTGCGGGATCTTCAAAATTGTAAATAATTTTTGCGGAGCGGCAGATCCTCGGCCGAACTTTTTCTTTCGACGCTTTGACCGAAATTTTGATCCACCGCTAAATGTTCGAACCGTGCACATGCTGCTCAAGTGCGCGAGGCCGGTCATTAAGAAAGTGTAGCCATGCCTCACGGCCGTCCCGCGAAGCGGAGGCGCCTATCACCACCTCTTGACGACAACAAAGACTCTGAGACCATCAAGGCCTCTGACCTCTTCGTCCGCGCCGCAGATTGGGATCTCGAGCAAGAGTACGAAAAGAGGTCGAGACAGAAAAAGACCAAAGAGTCAACGAGACTTCCTATCAAGACCGCCGAGGGCAGGGTCCAGAGAGTAGAAGAGAAGATACACAATGAAAACGAGGAAGAGTCGGATAGTTTCCTGGGATCTGGAACAGACGACGACGGAGGCGACGAGGACAAGGACGAGACGACACCTCCCACCGAGACAGAATCCGCCGTTCCACAAGTCCCTCTCAGGCAACAGATTGTCGCGGCGAAAGAAGAGATTGCCCGCATCGCCGGCCTACTGAATGAAGATCCCGAGGAGCACGCCGGCTCCTTCAAGAAGCTCGCACAAGTATCTGGTGGTCCCACTGCGCCCGTTGCGGTTCAAAAACTTGTCCTCGCCGCACAAGCCGCCGTGTACAAGGATGTGATTCCGGGATACAGGATACGCTCTTACAAAGATGAAGAACTCGGGAACAAGATCTCCAAGGACGTGCGGCGAACGAGACAATATGAGCACGCTCTGGTCACTGGATACCAAGCATACGTGAAACAGCTGAGCAGTCTCGCGAAGGTCCGAAAGGGCGACGCAGATACACTCTCCTTGCGCACTGTTGCGATCAATTGCGCATGCACACTCCTCCTCTCCGTGCCACATTTTAATTTCCGGACTGAGCTGTTGAATATCCTCGTCCACGAAGTCGCCAGCCGTGACTCCTCACCCGACTATCTCAAATGTATCGAGACACTTGAGGAGTTCTTCTCCCACGATGAAGATGGAGCGCCGTCCCTCGAAGCCGTCAGCCTGCTCACTAAGATGATGAAAGCCAAAGACTATCGGGTCAGGGAAGAAGTACTCAATACGTTCTTCTATCTACGTCTACTGTCCGAGTTGCCACCACCTGGCTCAAGCAGTAAATCAGACAGGTCAGAACAGCCAGCGAAGCTGCACGGACGCAAGGTGAAGCAACAGACCTCGCAGCATCTATCGAAGCGCGAACGAAAATTGCTCAAGCAGCGCCGCGAAGTCGAGAAAGACATGGCCGAAGCCTCGGCGCTGGTCGACCACGAAGAGCGCGAGAAGATCCAGTCTGAAACTCTGAAATTGGTGTTTGTCACGTATTTTCGCGTCCTGAAGGCCAGGGTACCAGAACTTATGGGTGCCGTGCTTGAAGGATTGGCAAAATACGCGCACCTGATCAATCAGGATTTCTTCGGTGATCTCTTGGAGGCGCTCAAGGAGATTGTGAGCGCAGCTGATGAGGCCGTGAGAGGTGATTTGGACATGGAGGAAGCTGCTGAAGCAGAGAGGACACCGACGAATGTGGATGGGGAGACGATCCGCAACAGGAAACGCGAAGGCCTCCTGGCGACTCAAACTGCATTCACACTGCTCTCGGGCCAGGAGGTCTCCAAAGCCGCCTCGAGCTTACATCTTGACCTGAGTTTCTTCACGGCGCATACCTACCGTTCATTGTACCCGCTCTCGCTGGATGCGGACGTCGAACTCGGCCCGAAATCGCTTCGTCTTCCCGACCCACACTCCTCCAAATCTGCGTCGTCGTCAAGCTCACCGAACAACAGAATCAACATCTCCACGCCTATCCTCTTACTCACGCGCGTCTTGACATCTATCCTGCTGATGCCCTCGTCCCCACCGCCCACGCAGACAGTTTTATCGTTCTTCAAACGGCTCCTGACTGTCTCCCTTCAATTGCCTGAGAAATCCACGTTGGCAGTGCTGAATCTGATGGCCAAGATCGCGGATAAACACGGGCGCAAGATCGAAGCCTTGTGGTACAGCGATGAAAGGAAAGGAGATGGGGTATATAGGGGCGACAGCGAGAGTGTAGAAGGCACAAATGTGCTAGGGACTGGTAGCGGCGTTTGGGAGGCCGAGCTGTTAAAGAGGCATTACTGTCCCAAGGTCAGAGAGTCGGCTCAGAGCGTCGAGGGGATCATTAGAGATATGCACAGATAGTTACGAGGTTGAGAGGTTGAGTTAGCGACCGCCTGTGGCTGGTTAGACCTATCTTCTCCCTGTCGAGCACATGCTTCATATCTTGATGCATGTAACCATGAAAATTTCACATGTCTTTCCAAGGCGCGCTTTCGTCCTCCAGTCAATGATGAAATTCATCCATTTGGGGCATATATAAGTATCGCCCACGCCTGTCCGGTCCCTGGTTCTGGTGTGAAGCCGTCTCTTCTCTCTGAAACACTTACCTCTGCCCATGGATGCGATGTTCAACAAACCCCTCCCATGTCGAGAACTCTAGCAAAAACCGTCAGTGCTAGCCGACCTGAAGAAAAGGCAGTTGAAGTCGTTGTGCACGGACAACACCGGAGACATGATCTTCTCTTGAAAAGAGCAGACCCGGGTATCCCTCAGCGAGTTGTGCTGGGTTTCCTCTGATCAGCTACAACACCGCCACTGTGGCTGGGCATGTGCGATGTCGATGGCGGCGCCGAGGACCGAGTAGACGAGGAGGGACTGATAGGCTGATAGGCGTCGGTTCGCAAGGACAGCCCAAGCTTCTTGAACATCCCAACAAAAATCCTGGAAACATCGTCAAAAGCACATGGCATGCTTTTCACATGTGCGCCTCATTCCGCGCCAATCGACAACATGTCAGCCACCCTTGCAAGATCCAGAATGGCATGCATTCGCGGCACAAAACCTTGCGGGCACCAAGCATGTGTCTCCAGTGCTCGAAGCTAATGCTGCTGCTGCTGCGCACCATTGACGCCTCTGTCCCACTCGCCACAGGATAGAAGTTCCGCCAGGCCTTGGGATGAAGCCCATAAGCTCACCGGGAAGCTGGGGGGCCGTGGTATGACAGGTGGGATTATATGACGCCTTTGCTTCTATTATTTCCAAGCTTGTTCTTGTGTTCCTGAAATGTTGGTTGCTTTTAACAAATTCGAATAACCTGTTCTTCGAAGGGGGCTTGCGTTTGGCCTGTGGTAGGAATTCTCGCCCTTGACACAATTTCCATCCCTTTTCTCCCACCGACCACAATCTCGGACCGAGAAAGCGTCGGCGGATTTGTGCTGAAGATCAACCGGCTATTGCCGCTCATATACAGCTGAGGGCTGACATCTCCTGACTTTGGAGAGTTTCGTCCGATCCCATTTCTCGGATTCAGGGTCCTGCTACCTTGTGATAGCCCTGCAACTTGGAGTTCAGTGCTGGTGCTCATGACACTTGATTTTGATAGCCCTGCAGCTTCCAGACAACTCCCATTCCCATCATTCATAAGGTACGTAGCGGTTTTTGACTTTCGATTTTCGTTATCTTTCTCTGTCTCTTTTGTGGTTTCCCTTGTCAATGGAGAATGGGACAAATTGGATTGGTGCGGTCGCACTTTCATCACCCGATATCGATCCAACATGGGTGCATTGACGTGAACAACTGATCAATGAATTCCTAACTGCCATAACGAACACGGAGCAGAGCTTCATCCGGGCTAGGTTGGTTGGACGATCAAGAGGAACTAGTATCGCAAGGAAGGAATCACCACGAGCCGAGAGTCAGTCGCATTCGTCTCGGGAAAGTCACCTGAATACTCCTCAGGTGCGACCTCGTGAAGGCCTACCACCTCTTGTCGTCTTGGAAGCACGGCAAACCATCTGTTAATAATATACAAGCCCATTCTTACCCTCGCGAAATCTTTGCTGATTATGATTTCTTCTGGTGTAGTGAGACCCAGGCAGCTCGCTTTCTGCGACTTCCCTCTCGCGCTTCTACTGTGACCGCACTTTCTCTGGAAGGCTCCTCGAATTAATCGTCACGTCTCAAGCCTTCCAAGATGGTGTCAACCACCATTACTTTCGAAAAGGACAACGTCCAGCCTCCAGTGTATGTTGCTGGAACGTTTACGGACTGGGCACCCATGGAGATGAGCTTCGAAACGACCGAATCAAATGGCTCTACCCAGCACGTCTTCTCCTATAAGGCTGACCTCGACCCCGGTGACTACCAATACAAATTCAGGCTCGGTCCTGGTGATTGGTGGGTTCTAGATGAATCAAGCCCAACAGGTCTCGCCTACTTCTCTATGATCAAATGCTCGCCGCTGACTGGTTCTAGCAAACGATGAACATGGCAATGTCAACAATGTTGTTTCCGTCAAAGCTCAGGTGTCCAAACCCCGTCCTGAAGAGCCAATTGAAAAGATCTCGAAGCCCGTCGCCCCCATCCTCAATACGAAGGATGCTCACATCATTGAGGATGAGCCTGATCGTCCAAGCGAGAATGGCATTTCATCCCAACAAAAGGATATTGAACCTTATCCCCCAGCTGGGGTGGTGATGTCGAATCTCCTCGATTCTCAGGATTCTAAAGAGGTCGACGTCAGGGCGGAGGATCCTAATAGCATCGACGCGAAACAGGTTCACTTAAATGGGGCGGCAGATAAAATGGCACAAGATGGTATTGCCGCCAGAAAGGACTCAATCCCAGACTTTGCTCCGCCGCCATATTCGATCGCTACAAATGGGACTGTGGCGCCGCCTGCAGCATCAACCAATAGTGCGGTTCCCTCTGAGAAGCAACCAGCGGGACCAGTTGTCAACAGCAAACCAGAGACCAAGGCGAAATCATTCATTTCGCAGATATGCAATACCAGGTGAGCCTCTATGGTTCGTGGCACCAATCTGTATCTGACAAATTCCCCAGAACTCTTGTCTTGGTCGTTGCAATGGTTGCAGTGCCTGCTGCTGTGTCTTATTATCTGCGGCGATAGCGCGCTGGTGGTGTTTGACGTGCAGGCATAGTTCAATGTTTGCAAATCCATCCTCTAATGAATGCTCGGAGTCATGGTTTCTTCTTCCTACCCAGGGAATGCGTTAGTAGAACACAAGCGGGCGACGCGATCAATCTTGTTGGTCCCTGATTTCGTGTTCGCTCTCAGTGGGAACTTGCGAGGTATCAAAAAGACGGTCTTTGAACTCTCTTCTTTGTTTTTCCGCTTGATTTAGTCACAGGCTGGTTCTCGACTCTGGAAAAGCAGGCAGGTACAGGCAATAACGAATCGTGGATAATCACCTCGCCACAGCTGCTGTGTGGTCCAGCAGTCCGCATCCATTCACCCTGTTTCTGCGTTGTTCTGACGTTGATCCTGAAGTGCTAAAGCTGCGAGCGATAATTTCTCTTGTTTTCTTTTTCCTTTTTCACGGACGATTCCGCCTTTGGAGTCCTGGCCGATCCACGTCCCCCAAGATCTCCTTTTTTGTCGTTCCTAGGTTGCTTGTGAGATATTTCCCTTCTTCGTCCTCCTTCTAGCCTCAAATTCCCAGCCCTTCCATAACCCCTTGGCTACACCCCTCCTTACAACCGACAGAACGTCTCCACAGCCTCCTTGGTCTCCTCCTTGGTCTCCTTGACCAACCCACTAACAGCCCTGAACTTATCATCCTTGGCATCACCAACCAGCTCAAACAGGACGCTCTCACTCGTCGTCACGACGGCACCTTCTCTCGCCAGCCTCTGCAGCGCCACGGGTCTCTCTCCCGCATTGCACGAACTCACGCCGTCGGCGATCACATACACCTTGTGGCCCGCCGCGAGCAGGTCCAGCGTCGTCTGCGTGACGCAGATGTGCGTCTCGATGCCCACCAGCAACACGGATAGCTTCTCGCTCGGGGATGCCGTGAGGGTTTGTAAGTGCGACTGTAGTTTGGGCACGAGCATGCTGAAGGCCGTCTTGTCGATCGCCTCGGGCGTCGAGTCCGGGACCAGCGATGTGAGTTCGGACACGGTGGCGCCGAGCTTGGAGGCGTTTTGCGTCGTGATCAAGATGGGCATGTGCAGGATTTTGGCCGCTTTGACTAGCTTCTGGCTCGTGGCTATCCTGTTTCCCATTTTGCGCGCAATAGTATGAGTAACATATCACATTTCATGTTTCACAATTTTCGATCCCCCCCAAGCAAGTCCATCCACCAGAAAAAGGAGGTGGTGTTGGGGCGAGGGGACGGGACGGGGAGGGGCTTTAGGAACATACACCTTGGGGAACTCCCAGATCGCATTGCGGAATTTCTCCTGGATGTCGCAGATACTGCATATAGATCGCGAAACGTTAGTCAGTGAGCAGTGCTGGTTGGGTGGATATACATATACATGTATACGTCTGAGGAAGAAGGCGGGGGGAACGTACAACAAGACCGGATTCGCTGTGAATTGGAATGCCCGTAGGCGATGGAATGTCAGCATGCCGAACGAAATGCAACGGTATTGTCCATTGATTCATCATTCATCGTTCATCGAACCCACTTTGTGGGTGCAGTTCGTCCATAATATCCCCTCATATAGAGATATGGCATATGTCGAGCTCGCACACTTGAAAGGGCACCTCAAGACCAGGTATGATGATGGGCAAAATGAGCAAAAGGAGGACCCCGGCCATCTGCACCGCCAAAAAAAAAGAGAAGGGGTCTTCATCAGGAAAACTGACCGATTCTTTTACTGTTCACCGACATCTTTCTTTCTTTCCCTCGCGCCTTCGGCACTGCCCAGTCAGGTCTATTGTATACTTTTCCGAGTGATGGGCTGAGTAGTGTGGCTCTTTCTTTCGTGTCTTTGCAAATTCCCACCGGGGGGGAATACGGGCCTGCTCTAATGAAGGCGGAGAAAAAGGCTCCTCAAACTTGATAGACGAACAACAAGTCGATGGAATTGGAGCCTCGACTGGCAAACAGTATACCTGGGTATTCTTGTTCGGCAAGGATCTGGCCGTGCGTCACGTCGTTGCTATGGTGTTTCGAATGAGCAAGGAAGATCTACGAGGTACTGGACATTTAGTTGTCCATCCACATGGGCGGTGGATGATCTCACTTTTGTTTCTGTTTCGGCGGGAATCGGGCGAGCGGGACAATGGCCGAAGCGGCAAATCGAATTCCCATGAGAAAATGGGCAACATGTGGGGAACCCAGCCTTATGCCTCACGCATCTTTCATCTTATCAATACCTCGATTACTTTTGCAACATGACCCTCGTATGAGGCTCTTTTGAATTCTACCTGCCCTGCCTGTCCCGCGTCCTGACATGACAGGGCGAGACAACGGCGTGGAATACACGTCAACTGTCAAGTGAAGCCCCACCCATCAAACCATCCTCTCCCCCTCCTCTTGATCCTGCATTACCTTCATCATCGTGACATCAAACAGGCTTCATCAAGTTCTCAGTTGATTTTCAATCATCCCGGTTCAGAGGAAGAGCCTTCGATCAAGACTCCACTCAACTGTTCGCCGTCGTTCTCCGTTGCGGCCCCGTGTTCAACCAACCAAAGGCAGTCCCCGAACCGATTGGATTACTCCGTGCTGTCGCAGTCGATGGCGCACCTTTCGACTCTTCGCTCGATTCTGGTTGAGCTGAAGCCTTCCCAGTGTCGTTCACATTTGCAGGCGAAATTTCTGTGCCATTTGAGGCGGTAGCCGACGCAGAGGGAGTTCTGGTGGCATTGGCCATTGTCTTCGCCGGCCGCAGAATTTTCATCGTTCTCTGAGTATGGGGTCGTGCGTAACTGGACGGAGTTTTGGAGCTCGCATCGTTTGGAGTGCTGGAGGATACAGAACGCCACGAGTTGGACCATACACCCGAACCAGACTTCGTCATTGGTGTGGTGAAGGACTTCTCGCTCCCAGTCGTCGACTTGGAATCGTCGGCGGCCCTTGGTTGAGACATGTCCAGACTGGATCGTGTTAATGGCTCTAAGGATTGATCCGCTCGACGGACATCTCCTGGTTCGGAGGGGTTAGCGGAAGGCAAACTACTGGATTGAGCTGCCGTAGGTGATGCAGCGTTCTGCGCCGTGTTGAGTCTTTCCGGTTGGCCAATGACTCCCACTGGCGAAGCTGGCGGCGGTAGAGCTTCGCCTATTGAGGACGACCGATGCCGAGAAACGGTGCACAGATCCTTGTAAGTGGCATCGTCTTCAGGCCGACACAAGGGAATCGAGACTTGATTTCGTTCCTCGTCAAAAATCATGACCTTGTCTTGTGAGAACAAGATGTCGGCATTGCGCGATCTCAGAACATCGCTGCCAAGGATGATTTGAATCGACGCATCAGTCGCCCTCTGTTCATCGACCACAAACTTGACCACCAACGTAGGGATGGGTGGCACAGGACTAGCTGATCTGACAGCAGCAGGACTGTGAATTTTGGCCTCAGTCAGATACACGGGTAGTCGAATACAGCGATAACCGTCTTCCCCGAATATGGACTCTGTCAGGTTAAGTTTGCACAACAGAGCATAGCTGACAGACGAAATCGTCGAACCCGAGCACAGGGCAGCGTAGAGCAGTGAGGTGTTGGAGAAGGATTGAGTCAGCCAGCAACGGATGATGGCCGGACATGGTCCTAAGATGAAGAAGCCCGGTGGAGGATTGCCAGAAACTCGAGGCGAGTTGTGAATTGACCCAAGCAGCCGACTCTGTTCAAGACCGAAGCTGTTCGTCCGACCAAAGCCAGCGGGCCCCGGTCTCCCGTCAGATCGATGTGAAAGAGATCTTTCCGAGAGCGCATGGCCACCCAGCCCACTGCCTGTACGTGTGGGCAATTCCATTGACTGTCTCGAGGAGCCATAATGGTTGTTGGCACTTTCGTCAAACCGTACTGAGTTTGCTCTTGATGCGGCGGCTCTCCGCGAGTCGTCAGTCGGGTCCAACGTCAAGGAAGTTATCATGGGATCTGCATCAAAATTGCGGAAAGCTTCAGCAGCGGGGTTGAGTGTCGACTCTAGGCATGGACATTAGTATAAATGGATAACCTGGCATGGGTCAGCTTACCATGATGCGAAGAACCCAGGGGGAAGGGAGAGCTCGCTCCCCACAGACTTCTAGGTCTGCTGCTATCAGGAGTCTTCTGCTCCAAACGCATGATGCGATCTGAGTGGAGAGCCTGCGTTGCAGAGAGATCGTTCAGCGTCTCTTGAATGCGCCACAATTCGTCTCTCGTGGCAAACTCGCGGGTGTCCATAGCAATCAGGCGCGCTCAAGTCCCACAGGCATTGACGTCGGAAGGAAGTGTGGTAGGAAGCTGAGAGGTAGGGATTGTGCAACGCATAGGCAGACACTTGAAACGGTCCTCGGCGGGGACGTACTCTCTCGTGGAGCAGAGCGAAGACAGTAGACACACCACCTAGCTACAATGCTCTCCTGGCTTGCGCCAGCCTGGCCAAACCCTTCCACCAACCGGTATTTATTGGCTCCGTCTCTTTATTGTCTCATCTGTTGGTTGCTTTGGAATATCCAATATTGCCAAATGTGGCTGGAGGGGAGAAAGGAAGGACAAAGAATGCGCCGGAGTTTGCACAAGGATGATCTCAGAGTGCCCGATGGTTTTTCTTAAAACAGAGTGCTCAGGATCAGTGGACGAGTGCAACGAGCTGACACGGAACACGACGAGGGGCGCAGGCAGCGCAGAAGTGGATTGAGAATGAGATGAAGTTGGACTAAGAATGCATGTGGAAGGGTGGGATGCGGAAAGACTTTTTGCAGATGATATGAGGGCTTTCCACTTCTGTGCGGGCAGCTTTGTCTCGTGTCCCGAAAAGTGCAGGGGTGAATGATATACTCTTGGTGAGTAAGAGAGCGATACTAGGTAGCTAAAAGACAACTTAATGTCTTGGTCTGAAAGAGACAAACAGCGATGTTGTAATTCTGGGGCAACAACGACCCTGCATCTCTGAATCTGCGTCTCGTCTGTCTCATGACGCACCGTATGTTGGCGAGTTTCCTTCCGCTGTACTTCGCCGTAGCCTTCCCCAGAGGTGGAGTGACGGCAACGAAGTTGGACTTTGGTACAGACATATATATTCACCTGTGTTGGATCGGGGAATTCAAAAATGGGGTAAAAAAGCTGAACAAGTCCTAGTTCCAGTCTCTGTCAACGAACAAACGAGTTTCCTTCAAAGTCATCAAGATCATCCTGAAGCGGCATCACTACCTTTTCAAAGACCACACTTTGGAGCCCTTTATTGTCAAGTTCATCTCCATCAGGACCAGCCCAGAGCAGGCACACTTTCACGACATTACAGTAGCGATCCCCATTTCGGTCTTGTACAAAGTCCAGGAGCCGGAGCGCGGTTTTGAGCTTAGCTACCGCTTCACTCTCATCGTGGTCTTTCGGCTCGTACAGGGCCTCGAGAGGTTGACCAAGAGATAGTTCGACCAGCGCCAGTCCGAGTGGGAAAAGAATCTTGCTCCTGATAAGAGGGTGGCTGCTCCATTCGCTGCCGCTCTGGGTTCCAGCTTTTAGTGCTGCCTGAACGAGGGCTCGGGAAAGATATGGAAGGCTGCTCATGTGGTTCGAGTAGTAGTCTGATTGCGACGGCAGCAGGATATTTTCAAGTCCCCATAGCGATTCCAGCCAGTTGCCATGGAGTTGGAAAACACAAGAGGCTAGAATAGCTGCAAGGTGCCGGCTGTTGCGTTGACTGATAGGGGGCAGCAGAATGTCTCCTACCCTCGGAGATAGAGAATGGTCCTCGAGGATACTTTTGATGGACCTAGTGGATTGATCAGTTGGAAGTTTCCTAACGATGTAGATATCGTGCCGGCGCCGGTTGAGTACATCCGTGAGGAACCCAATGTGTTCCCGCCTCGACCCTTCTTGTGAACAGAGTTTAAGAGCGTTGCAGACATCTTGAAGCTGTTGGCCGGGATTACCCTGCTTCGGCCACGGGATGGTTTCGAGTACTGGCTTGACAATGCCGAAACGGACGCCCTTTGACTCATTAATTCTAGAAGCTTGAGAGAGTTGCGTCTGCAGGAATATCCGAGATGTTGCAGAGTCAGCATCGTCTTGAAGGTCCGCTGCTTCAATCTCGACTTCTTCGCCCGCCATCAAGACTCCTACCTCGCTACCTTCCTGGTATGAAAATCGGTGGACGACGAATTTGGATTTTGTCTGCGTACATCTCGACCCACCACCACGACATTTGGAGGGTGGATTTTCCAGACGCAGCTGTAGGACGTGCTTCGCTTTGCAGGGACAACTCCAGCAATTGCCACAAACAAATGTTTCGTACACACTGCGAGCGTGCCGCCTAATCTTAGTGTAGTCTTGCAATAACCCTCGGTTCGGCCAACGAGATTTCCGAGACTCGGCCAATTTGTGGACTTGTTCGGTTATGGTGGAAAGTGTTTGGTTTGCGCTTCGAATCTTGCCCAGAAGAGCTTCATAGACCTTCTTGGATAATACATCAGTGAACCTTTTGAAATTGGGCACCGCGTTCGAAGGCGCCGAATGAGTACCCAATTTTTCTTTCAGATTTTTGAGCATGTCGCTGAGTTCACTCATTGTCACCATGTACGCTCCGTAGCTGGTCTTCATCATTTTTTGAAGGGCTGCATCGTATTCGCTGCGTTTCCAGAGGTCACCGTCAGGATTCTGTAGCAATGTCGCTATGTCTTCTTCATCGTGCACTATCTGGAGAAGAACTCTTTCCAAATTATTCTGAAAAATAGTGGTCTCTGTGCTGAGGCCATCTTGATAGCGCCTGACCTCTCTTTGATACCTGCGGGTTGATACCAAGATCTTAATGGTTCCGACGCCTTCCCGATACTCGCCAATAAGGGAAACAACAATGGGCAGAGCTCCAAGCACAATGCCGGCAATTTCGAAGCCTGACATGATCCAAGATCTGCAAGAAGGATTATACAAAGGAGAGGCTAGTAAGGAGAATTCGTTTCAGACGGCTGATCAAAGCGAGCCACCACAGTACTCGGTATATTACTGCCTGGTAGCCTTTGGCGCCAGAGGGGACTCCCGCCTACCCCGCGGTCCGCAACCCCACCTGCTAAACTCGACTGTTGTTTTAATTACAACTAAGGGCGGACAACCGCCGATGGGGCACTTACCTAGTATTTCAAGGGCACCATTGGAGAGGTGCCACTTTTCGCCCCGCTTTCAGCCTCATGAGCCTCTTCTATTACCTACCTACTACCCCTCCAAACCCTCCAGGACGGCACTCTCTCCTTCCAGGTCCAAGCCCGAGCCTTCACCATATCAGGACTATCTCTGCAATTCTACCCAATGTCACGAATGTAGGACCACGAGACGTTTCCTCAGCTGCATATAACTTGTTGACGGTTTGATGTATCCGCTGAATGCCACTGCTCGTAGAAGGCTCACTGATCCGGGTATCCTGGAATCAACACCACCTTCATTATATCGGAAACATAAGCCAGGGACACGATGAAGTCGAGTTCTATATCGACAGAGTTGCTGGAATGCTTGAAGCTATTCAACACACTTCTGACTAGAGACGAACTGTTCAACACCTCCTCTAGTATACCAAAATCTGTCTGGGACGATGAGCTTGGAAGACTGAGGGTGTGGGCCGCAAACATTGGTGCGCATCAGAAAGATCAATCTTCTCTAGACTACCGGTTGAGGAACGCTTCGCATGTCAAATCACAGATTATCAACTTGCTGCAGAGTCTGAAGATGACGTTGAAAGAGCTTGAAGAGGTCCTCATCGAGCTCAACGAAGAATATCCAGAAAAAGATGACGATGAAAGAAAGGCAGAAGTTGCAGAAATATTCAACGACCTGGTACAAGTCATCACAAACCTCTATCGAATGTCTATTCTTGTAAGGCAGCCATCACAACGGGACCGGTTTCTAAGATACCAGAAAGACGATGCGGCTGGATATGAACAATTTGACCGAAATCATGTGCTGGAAAAGTTTCGCAACGCCGACGCCAAAGTGATAGATAGGTTAGCAACAGCCGTCTCCAACAGACGCAGACATCTGAAGGCGCTGGAGAGGCACAGGGCCAAACTGGGAAAAGGTATCGGCCACGCTCGTGGGGAAGAGAATGACGATACATCCACCGTCATGTCTGGAACTCTAGCAACCGATTATGAAGAGGGATCTGCAGTGGCCAGACTCGAGTCTGAATCACTAAGTGGAGAGTCCACGACATCATATGCTGCCTCGTTCCTGGCGGGTGAAAAAGATATCAAGATCCCTCCGCCACCCGTCGGTTATGGCAGCGAGAAGCCATTTGAGTGTCCATATTGCTTCTTCATGACGACGACCAATAGCAGGAAGTCCTGGGCACAGCACGTGTTTCGGGACTTAATGCCATATATGTGCATTTTCCCTGATTGCAAAACACCAAATCAACTGTATGACAGGCAACGAGACTGGTCTTTACATTTGCAGACACATCGCCGGGGCTCAACAAACCTTTCATCGCTAGAACTGACTTTCTGCCAACTATGCCATAGAACTGACATACCGTTCCCAAAATATGAACGCCATCTCGCCGAACACCTGGAGGAACTTGCTCTGTTCGCCCTGCCACGTGATATGCAAGGTCATTCTGATGAAGACGATGACTATGATGGCCAGAAGAAGATTCGAAGCATAGAGAATAGCGCAACCTCCAGTAATGCCGACGATGGAGAGATATTCGATGAAGATCCTATCGCGTCTCATGATGCCGTTATGTGGATGGACCGATTGGGTATATCTGAAGAGGAGCGGCCGGCCACGGAGGGAAAACCAGCAGAAACAACGAATGAGGCGGAATCAAATATATCAGTTCTCCGAATAACCGGGCTATCAGAGTGGCGAAACAATGTGGCATTAGCAGCGGCTGATCCCACTGAAACGTCTTTTGCAGCAGTAGAAGGACAGGCACAGGAAGAAGGACACAGACCGACGATAAGCGAAATACAGGCTGTCGAGGAAGGGTTCAGGTTGACGGCAGAGGCAGCAGAGGCTAAGAAGAAACCTATAAGGTCCACCCGAGCGGAAGAAGCTCACGGTCATGAATCCAATAGTCACGGCCGGACGACACCTCAGCAACGTAAGTCCTAAACAATCCCTTGTATCCCTAGTCTAATGGTCCCTCAGTATCCGAGTCCCAGAAACGGCTCATCGAGGAGTTTGGCGGCCTCTTCTGTGACTGCGGCCAGTTCTTCCCAGGGAAAATGGCAATGGCCAACATCACCAGGCACGTCCGCGAGGCGAGCGTTCGCTTTCGTAACGCCTGCATCTACTGCAACAGCAAGTTCGCTGGGCACGAGAATCTTCACAACCACTTGCTGGTGTTGCATCCACAGCAAGTGTGCGTGTCTTGCGGCAGGGTTCCCGAGAGGAGACCTACCAGTAGAGCTCTCGTTCAGTCCAAAGACCCAGGCTGAGGTCGGGCTGTTGGTCCCGGACGAGCGAACTCACCGACTCGCTTGGGAGGAATGTCGTACATTGGCAGTAAGTGATCCAACCTCTACCTGCTGCATCGACTTGAGGCTGAAATTCTGCTAGCATACAGAGAGTCCTGTGATTTGGAACTACGGGGGCCAGAACGCACTATCAGCCTTCGTGAGTGCGAGTGGGCTGGTATTAGCACAGGAGATGGTGTTCGAGAAAGAAGACCACGTGTGGGAATGTGGACTTTTCTCTCTCGTCTGGAACGCCAAAGCCCGAGCTGGAGGACCAGAACTGTCAATGCGGGCTCGGCAGCAGCTGGAGTGTCTGTTTCAAGCGTCGTGTCGTAAGTATTAATGAACATCCTGTAGCCCCCGAGGAAGTCACCCTCAGACTGTATTCGCGTGTGCCTCTTGGAGCATCAGACAACGAGGGCACTGAAAGGACGACTCAGTAGCCACGCACACACGAGAGAGATTAGAGTGTATGGGGACTTGGCCGGATAGGCGCTAGCTCAAGGCAGCTCTGTTGCTCTGAACCTCGCTGAGGTCGCCGCTTAAAAGGAGACACCGAAGAAGGCCTCACTCTAACACCCTCACGCTCGTCGTTTCTAGCCCAAAACATCCATAATTCATTACACCCAGCTCCATGCCCCAGTCCAGTCCAGTCCAGTCCAGTCCAGCATATCCACCCACCACCCGACCCGCGCCTAATCGTCACTCCGATCGTGTACCGCTCTGTTTCAATACACAAACTCGGTAACAAACATCATAGCCCGCATTGTAGGTAGGCGCTTTTGACCAGTCAACTTGGCGTGGACGTACCCCCCTTTGAACTCATTCCACATTCCACAGATGCATCGTCCACCATCAAGCCCTTGGCTGGTCATCAATGGAATCCATTTGTTCTGACAACGCCAGGTCCGCGTTGAGAATAGGCCGCCGATCCGGCCGCGAAGTATGGATGATTACATGCCGCCTTGGCAGAAATGCGATGCGCAGGGTCGTATTCGAGCATCGCGTCCAGCAATTCAAGACCGGCCGGTTCCAAGTTGGGGACGAATTTGGAGGTTGGTTCCCGACGCCACTTAGGAAACGAGGTTTTGAAGTCCGGAAACGATGTGACACCGGGCCAAGTCGTTTCATCGGGGGTGCCGAGCAGTCTGCTTTCGTGTTAGTCGAGAAGCAACGCTGATGGGCGCGGCGAGATGGGAAGCTTACTTGAAGATTTTGAAGATTTCGTCAATTTCAGAGTCGCCGGGGAAGAGAGGCTTGCGGGTACACATTTCGGCGAAGATAGCGCCAACGGACCACATGTCTACGCCCGTCGAGTATTGCCGTCCGCCGAGAAGAATCTCTGGGGCACGATACCATAGTGTAACAACCTGTGAAGTCAGTGAGTAGTGGCTTTAGGTAGCAGGGGCGAGTTGACCAACTTCGTGGGTATATGTTCTCAGGGGCACACCAAAGGCTCTTGCAAGACCGAAATCAGCCAGTTTGAGATTTCCCTCGCGGTCAATCAGAAGGTTTTGGGGCTTCAGGTCTCGGTGCAGGACACGATGACTGTGACAGTACCGAACGCCTTCAACCAGCTGAGCCATGAACTTCTTGACCATATCCTTGCCCAACCCGAGTCGCTGCATGTCCATGCTCGAGCCTTCAGGCAAGGCCTTGCCTCGTCCACCTTCTGACACTGGCAAAGCCTCCATGTACTTTTTCAAATCCAGGTCAAGGAACTCGCAGACGAGGTATAGTTTGTGGCCGTCGGCGTGAACAATGTTCAGTAAACGCACGATGTTGGGGTCGTTCATTTCTTTCAATAGGGAGATCTCGCGGATTGCAGTGCTGGGGACGCCTTCGTCTTCAGCTTCCAGACGGATCTTCTTGAGGGCAACGATTCGGCCGCCATTGGAGAGGTCTCGAGCCTTGTAGACAACGCCATACGTGCCTAGTTCCGGCATTGTCAGTGGGACACAGTAATTGGATCTTTTCGCAGGTGTCCGCTCTCACCTTCGCCAACCTTTTCAATTTTCTGGTAGTTCTCCATCTTGTTTCGGTGACCAGTACTGACTCATCTACCAGCTGTGCTGTCAGGAGGGGAACCTTTGGCCGTCGAAGGGTGCCAACAACAAAGCGGTAAGGGGTCGCCTTTGATTGAGTGGCGTCTGCGCTGCCTGAAGACAACAGCAGTGTGACGGATCGGCGACGGACCTAGATGTTAGTATGTCGATACGGAGGTAGCGAACAGCATGCACAATCTTGGCCTCCAGCTACAGGGGAATTCTTCGCAGGTCAATGTAAGGTAGTGCTGCATGGTTGTCCCATGCAAGCCATGCTCAATTGTAACTTTGTTTGTTTAGGTTCAGAGACGCGTCTGATTGGCCGGGGAGAAATCGTGCCTGCCAAGAGATTTCCGCGCCCGCAGTTTGCGGTTCGCAGTTCAAGTTCGGCTGAATTGCGGGCATTGCGGGCATTTCTCAAAATTGCCTGCCTCGCCGCTCACGCCCGCCCTCCGCCCATTGACTCATCCTTGAGACCACACGCAGTCACACTGCGAAGACCACCGGCTTGATCCTGAGACGCTCGGATAGCCCTTGCTTCTCTGCCGATCTCCGCCGTCTTCTCGAATTCACTCTCCCGGTTCGTCATCTACAGGCTTGAGTCTCCTCCTGCTCTCCCTCAACCTCGACTCAACAACCCATTATCTCACCCTGCCCACCATGGCAGGCAAAGAGCTGTCTCCGCAAGAGAAGCTCGCTTTGATCAAAGACCAATTGCAGGAGGTTCTACACGAAGACATTCTTGAAAATGTCATTCTGAAAGAGCAGAGACCATTGATAATCTACTGGGGTACAGCCACGACAGGAAGACCGCATTGCGGCTACTTCGTGCCAATGATGAAAATTGCGCACTTTCTCCGAGCGGGCTGTCGGGTCAAGATCCTTCTGGCAGACATCCACGGGTTTCTCGACAATTTGAAAGCGCCCATCGAGTTGGTCAAATTCCGGGCGGAATACTACAAATACATTATCCAATCCCTCCTGAAGGCCGTCGGCGTGAGTTTGGAGAAGCTGGAATTCGTTCTAGGCTCCTCTTACCAATTGAGCGCAGATTACACCATGGATGTCTTCCGACTGAGTAGCGTGGTGACAGAGCACGATGCCAAAAAGGCCGGTGCTGAGGTCGTCAAACAGGTTGAAAATGCCACATTATCTGGACTGATCTATCCCTTGATGCAGGCACTGGATGAGCAGCATTTGGGCGTCGATGCACAATTTGGTGGAGTCGATCAGAGAAAAATATTTGCTCTGGCACAAGAAACTCTTCCCAAGATTGGCTATAAAGAACGAGCGCATTTGATGAATCCTATGGTACCCGGTCTGGCTGGTGGCAAAATGTCTGCCTCAGACCCCGACTCCAAAATCGACATTCTCGACACGGCTGACGCAGTCAGAAAGAAGCTCCGCAAAGCCTATGCAGCTGCTGGAGAAATCGAAGGAAATGGCATAATATCTTTTGTCGAATATGTGTTACTACCCATCAGCTCTCTGCGAGATCCCGAAGGAAAAGGATCCTTCGTGTGCGAGAGAAGAGAAGGAGAAGGAGAGCCGCTGGTGTATCACGATATTGAGACCCTGAAGGAGGATTACCGAGCCGACAAGCTCACCCCACAATTGCTCAAGGCTGGCGCAGCTACCGCTCTTGTAGAGTTGCTGGCTCCCATTCAAGCCGAATTCCAGGCGTCACCGGAATGGCAAGAGATTGAGAAGAAAGCCTACCCTCCTCCCGAGCCGGCCAAGAAGAAGAAGCAACCAAAGGATAAAGGCTCAAGGTACCCGGGTGCGAGCAACGTCACTAGCAAACCGGACGGATCGATCGAGGGCGAGGGGAAGGAAGAAGTTGAGGTGGGAAAGACAGCAGAGCAAGCAATGTCGAACCTGGACATCAACGGTCAAGCTTCATGAGCAGTGAAAAGAGGAGCCGTACCTGGCAGAAACCTTTTCGATGTTCCTGTCACCGTCCTCGGCAGTGCATCGTTTCCTCAGTATTATGTTACTGAATATGCAGACCTGGGAGATAAGTACAACGAGAATCTGGAAGAAGTACGACAAGCTTGATTGAAAAATGTCCCGCTGCATGAGCGAGGAGTCACATCGCTGCAGGAGGTGTCGCACCAATACTCGTAAACGATGCATCTGCGCAATATGGTATGTAGAACCAGCCAACACAAGGTCGCGAGATTGGAGTCACTCTTCATCGCTTCATTAGCTGAAACGGGTAGAATTCTCGAACGACGACAGCATGAAAGGCGTTCTGCGGTCGGAGTAATTGTGGATTTTGTCATGAGACGTTGTCTATCCTGCTTGCTGTCGGCGAAATTCTCGGCGCTACTTTTTGTCACAGACTCGCAGCCAGCATTTGCTTCTGGCAGCCCGTTCCCCTTTGTTCTTCTTCCTCCACTCAACAGACGCACCTTCGGCGTCTCTATTGCAACCCAATTCCCGCCGAATCTTCCTTGCTCGTGTAAGTTGCTGACCAGGCCAGGCCCTTGCCCGGTAGGGGGCATCTGATGCGCTGAGACAGCAGAAACCAAAGCCTTGATGCGTCGCAAGACCGCAACAACTTTCCCGGCGTGGTAAGAAGACACACTAACCGCCAAAGGACTCCCCACAACCCCTAGGAGGTAGCTGTTTGGTTGCTTGTGCATTTCCGGCCGCTCTTTCAAAAGTGGCCGGCCGTCACTGACATGAGAGCAGCCTAGCACACGAAGTATCCATCTCTTGAGGCAGGCGTCTTCGTACGCATGATGACGGCAGCTTGCATGAAGCCAGAACCCCATGAAGCCTTCACGAACGGGTCTACCTCGCCAGCCTCGACCCTCAAACAATGGATACGAAATGTGCGCTTTGACATGGGGGCGCAGGCTGACCGACATATGCATTAATCCCTTTGTATGCTATAGTGCGAATGGGCTCAAACATGAAGGCCACAAAGAGAGGGTAGGTAAAGAATCTGTCGCTTGAAAGCACCCTTTTTACAGCCCCCTGATGTCAGAGCCTTAGTGAAGAGGAGGGTGTTGTCATGGTCGCTGTGGAATGCCAACCGACACCCCCTCCTCAATACGAAAGTCAAGCCACCCACGCAACTGTTGTCTTTAGCCCACACTCAATCAGTCCTATCTGCTGTGAGGCAACGTCGAACGACAGAGTGACGAGGAGATCGTCAGTGATAGACACAGTTTTAGCGAGAGACAACTCTAACGCTCTGGCAACTCAGTATCTACCTAGGTACAAATCCATGACACCACTGCCAGACTAAGGTGGTGACGTTGCTCACTTGCCCAGGGGCTCGGGAGGATCTCGATGCAACAAGAACTCGTCCAGGTTCAGACCTAATGCAGCAGCTCGAGGCTGAAGGCTCCTTCTTGTTCGTTGGTAACCAGGGCTGGCACGAGAGTGCCACAATGTACCAGGGTCACAATTTCGCCGGTCGCGCCTCAACCTCAGGTACCAGGTAGGAATGCAGACTTGTGGTTGCCGAGTCATTTCGATGGCAGAGGGTGTAAGTGTCCTTACGGATGTCGGCACGATACTGTTGAATTCTTGACCGCGGATCCTCCAACACACATCAGGAGACTCTGATTCCAGAGAAGGAGTAAAGTTCTGTGGACGAGCGGCGGCTTGCCGAGGAATGTGGGTGAGAGAGCTGATCCCCCAGATCACCAAAAGCGCCGAGCATCTGCCCGCCGCAAAACGCCTGGAGAACCAGACATTAGGAGACAGATTAGTCCGGAAAACAATGTTGGAAACCCAGACATCAAAATGCCCCAGCCATCGACAAAGTGGAGAAGATCTAGGACTTGACATAAGTGGGCACTTTCCTGAAGTGCGGGGTTTGGCTCTTCATCAGCAACTAGGACACATCCATGAGAGTCTAAACTCACTCTTTTCGGGAAGTAACCAGGTCTGTTGGGCTCATGGAGGGCCGAGGTGGACGGTGGAAGGCAAAGAGCTCGCGGTAGCGCCCCTGTGACATAGACAGGGTGGCACATGGGAAAGCGAGGCTGTTTGCATTCTCTCCACTCTTTCGCCGTCCATTTCAGCGATCTCCAGCACCAGCTCCACCGCTCACCGCACATGCCAGCCAACGACCGCTCGTCGCTCCCTTTTTCCTTGTGGTTCTGCTCTTCCTCCGACATTTGTGGGAAGGCTCTGGACTATCCAAGCTCTTGGTAGCCTCTTCGTTCGGAACCATTGGTCTGTGAGCTGGCAACACCTGACCCGTCTGACCTTGACCAGCTCGCTTAACCCTGCTCAGTGAGCTCCCGGGGAAGCCAGTGGGAAAGTCTGAGAGACGTCGATTTGGGTAACTCTTACCTCGATCATGCGAGCCCTAATTGATGTGGGTTGCGTTGATTGGAAATTTCTCCGGCGACCTCTTTGCCATTGGTAGACCTCAACGCGACTAAGAGCTCTGTTTTACTGCTGCCCTAGCTCTCTCAGAAATAACTGCGTCATTTGGCTTCACGGGAGGGGAGGGAAACACGAACACCAGATGCTGGAGTATATATGTACCTGGTATACCCTTCCATAAGCCTGGCACTTTTCGACCGACCACAGGCCAGATCTTTGAGAAGCTTAGCTGTTCGATCATTTGAACCGGTACCTTCGAGGTCCCGTGCTTCATTGGCCATATCTTTGATTGAGCCTTACCACCCCCGACGATGAGCTACGCGCACGACGAAGAGAGTGGCGCCGGCCGTGCTGGCCGCCATATGAGTGTCTCCGTCTATGCCAACAATATGGGAGCACCAACCTACGACACGACCAGACGAAGATCTTCTATTGTCCCCGCTGCAGCTGTCGCAGCACAACAAGATGAGACAGTCTTCAATCAGAAGGATGAAACCCTTCGCAAGATGTCTGTCGCAGTCCCCAATTTGGCCGAGCTCTCTGCCGATGCCAAAGCTGCCGCAGATTTGGAACATAGGATGGGCTTTCGTGAGGGTTGCCGCCTGTATCCCAAAGCCATCATGTTCTCCTTCTGTCTTTCTCTCGCCGTCATCATGGAGGGGTACGACACCTACCTCCTCGGCAACTTCTTCGGGTTGACCACGTTTGCTCGCAAGTATGGGTCGCCCGCAGGGATTGTCAACGGCGTCCAGAGTTACCAGGTCTCTGCGACATGGCAGTCTGCGCTCAGCAATGGCACGGCCGCTGCTCAGATTATCGGACTGTTTCTCAACGGCATCATCTCCGAGCGTATCGGATACCGCTGGACCATGATTGGCGCTCTGGCCTTTATTTGTGGATGCATCTTCATCACCTTCTTCGCTGTTGATGTGAAGATGTTGCTCGCTGGTTACGTCTTGTCGGGTCTCCCATGGGGGGTAAGTTTGATCTTGTGCTGCAGCCGTTGGGTGTTGGTGTCGCGCCCGGAGCAACCAGGTTTCGAGCAACAAGGCTGACATTACTCCTCCTCTAGGTCTTCCAAACCCTTACTACCACATATGCCGCCGAAGTGACCCCAGTCCCATTGAGACCATACCTGACGACCTACGTCAACCTCTGCTGGGTCATTGGTCAGCTTCTCGCTGCTGGTATTTTGAAAGGCTTCGTGAACCAGACCGACCAGTGGGCATACAGAGTGCCATACGCAATTCAGTGGATATGGCCGATCCCAATTGCTACAGCTGCGTTCCTTGCGCCAGAGAGTCCATGGTGGCTTGTTCGCCATGGCAAATTGGACCAAGCTCGCGCTGCGCTGCTGAAGCTGACGTCCAAAAAGAACACCGAGTTCAACGTTGAAGACACGTTGGCCATGATGATCCACACCAATGAGCTTGAAATCCAGCAGACTGCGGGCACTAACTACTGGGACTGCTTCAAGGGCGTTGACCTGCGCCGGACTGAAGTTACCTGTATCACGTGGTTGATTCAACAGACGTCAGGTTCTCCCATGATCGGCTGGGGTACCTATTTCATGATCCAAGCCGGCTTGAGCGAAAGCAATGCGTACTCCCTCGGTGTTGGCCAGAGTGCAATGGGTTTCATGGGGACGGTGCTCTCCTGGTTCTTGATGCCGCACTTCGGTCGTCGCACCTTGTATCTCGCCGGTCAATTGGCCATGTTCATCATCCTGATGATCATTGGTGGCCTGGGGGTTCCAAACCTATCCACCTCGATTGGATGGGCTTCTGGTGCCTTGATTCTTATTCTCACCTTCGTCTACGACTTTACTGTTGGGCCTGTCTGCTACTCACTGGTGGCTGAGCTTCCATCCACTCGGCTCCGAATCAAGACTGTCGTTTTGTCCCGGAACGTCTACAACATCATGGGTATCGTGGTTGGCACTCTTCAACCTCGCATGATGAATCCAACAGCCTGGGACTGGCGTGGAAAGACTTGTTTCTTCTGGGGCGGTCTCAACTTGCTAGGCTTGATCTGGACCTATTTCCGTCTTCCAGAGCCAAAGGTTAGTCGTTCATCTCTCTCGTCTCTTTTTCCCAGGGCCCAACCACTTACACTCTTCCTAGGGTCTCACTTATGCCGAACTTGATGTCTTGTTTGAGAACAAAGTGTCCGCGCGCAAATTCAAGCAAGTCAAAGTCGACCCATATCGCTCGGACAATTTGGTCATTGTTCCCGACGAGTTTGGCGACTATGATGTGGTCGAGAAGAAGGGTTTCTAAGGGCTGTAGTGCTATCACAGTCACCCGCCGAATAGGCATGTCATCGTCTACTTGTTGGGCATGCCCGGTTGGCCGGTTTGTTTGTAACGTTGGCTATGAAGTTATGTTTATTTATTTGAAACGAAACAAAAACGCAGCCTCAGTGTACGAGTATTTTATTTTTGATTGTTATCTGTTATGCAAACTGGATGAAGTCAGCTGCTGGCTTTTGTATCCATCTCGCGCGGGCCATTTGCGCACGCAAGCGAGACAGCGACAGCTGAGCGAAATGAGTTGACCGGTCGCCTACCCTAGGGCCCACAGAACGCTGCCTATTGAGCCTGTTCTGCCCAGCCAACTGGTTCGTGTAAGAATATTAGTGCGTCAAATACCCAGTAGGGCCAGCAACCAGTGGGACTGGGACGAGGGAGGCAGCTACTACTGATGGATTTCCTGCCCAAACAAAAGGCAACATGCCGCTCCTTGCGCATTGTGGCGTTTCTCGTTCCATACCTAGGTACCTACCTGGCGAGCTGGGTACCGTACATCACCAAAGTCCTGGGCTTTTTGGCTGCATCTCAGCCGCACGACCACTTCATGCCCATGGCATGGCATCAGACGTGGTCGTGGCATTCGCCTCCAAACTACCTGGTACTAGTTCATGCAATGGTCCAGAACCATGATCCCCTTTGTGCGACAGAGTCGGCCTAACGAGCTAGAGTTCGGGTGGTTTTGTCTCTGGTCAAGATGCTGCCTTGTGCTTGTCGTTAGTTGCAGTCGTGGTTTTCAGCCTCCTTCTCTTCTATTCCTTCCGTCTGTATTGTTCTTTTCCATTGCCCATCTGGTTGATTTCGACGAATAAAGCGGATTCCTTCCTTGCAACCCGTTTCATCCTCGTGTCGTCTGACTCAGGTGTTCACTGTTCATCAGGCTGCCACTGCCCCTGGCCCTCGTGCGTTCCCCGCCGCCGTACCTGGACAACCTAGCCGGCTGGATTTCAGGTGCCATCGAGCTTCTTTTTGGACAACGCAACTATACACTTGAGTCACCTACGCCTCCATTTGGGCTCGAATATCTCTGTGCCCAAGTCATAAAAGGCCATGGATGATCGCAGAGACAATATCGGCGGAGGCGGCCGCTGGTATGGTCCTCCACCGCCTGATCTTTCTATTGCACCAGCTCCGACAAAGATGCGGCGCAAACAGCGCCGACAGCCTCCTCAGGAGACAGTGAACCAGTTCTGGAACCAATTGAACCCCACGCACCCTGGTAAAGTCTTCACTCTCCTCCCCAACAACCCCTATGCCCGCAAGAAGGCCGCAAAAACTCCTCATGGCACCGTCGTCGGCCAGCGCGCGGCCAAGTCGTACGAAGAGGCTCGCGATGAGTGTAAGAGGGACGTAGACAGGATCGTCAGGGAGTGCCGTCGACTGAACCAGAAGTACCGGGACATGCATTTTGATATCGAGTGGGATCTCAAGTCCGGGCAGCGGAATTGTCTCGACGGTCTCAGCACACCTGGCGATTGCATGAAACCAAAGGGCGTCAGAAGAGTCACGGTAAGTCTCTTTGTTGTTGCTCTAGTCGAGAGATCCCACAACGGCTAAGAAATGGCTAGGACATATTTGAGAAACCGGAATTCTTCATCAACGGCCCGACTGCTGGTGACGTGCGTCAGGGCCGTGATGGAGATTGCTATCTGATGGCAGCGCTGTGTGGATTGGGCAACATGGAAGGATTGATCGACAGAGTGTGTGTCAAACATGACAAAGACGTCGGTGTCTACGGATTTGTCTTCTTTCGAGGTAATCTTCTGGTGTTCTCTGGGTGAGAAAATTGAAGCCTTCTAATCTATATTTGCAGATGGCGAATGGCAACATACGATCATCGATGATAAACTCTACAGTAAGTTCACCTCTCTTCAATATCCATATATCCATGTGCTATCACTACTTAGGCAAGGACTGACATGGTTGCAGCCAAAGCACCAGATTACGACGAAGCCCAGGACGAGCGGGTGGTCTGGGACGACATCAATCGCGTGGACAGCGCCGGAGAATACCTCAAAGCCCACTTGACAGGCTCGAGAGCACTGTACTTTGCGCAATGCAGTGACGAAAATGAAACATGGCTCCCACTTCTTGAGAAGGCCTACGCGAAAGCGCACGGAGACTTTGCTTCCATCGACGGAGGATTCACGGGCGAGGCTATCGAAGACCTGACCGGCGGCGTGACAACGGAGATATACAGCACCGACATTCTCGACCGTGAAGCCTTTTGGCGCGAGGAACTCATGCAGGTCGGCAAAAAGTTCCTCTTTGGCTGCGCCACGGGCTTCTACGCCAACTGGCTCGACACCACCAGAGCACCCCGCGAACGTGAAGGGATCTCCGAAGGGCATGCCTACAGCATCATGGATGCGAGGGAAATCAACGGCGAGCGACTCCTGAAGCTCCGTAATCCCTGGGGCAAGAAAGAATGGACGGGGAGATGGAGTGATGGCAGCTCCGAATGGACTCCCGAGTGGATGCAGTTGCTGGACCACAAATTTGGCAATGATGGCATCTTCTGGATCAGCTACGATGATCTCCTGAAGAAGTATCAGCATTTTGACCGTACGAGAATCTTTGGTCCCGAGTGGAATGTCACACAGTGCTGGACCAGCGTCAATGTCTCATGGTCGGCCGAGTATCACAGCACAAAATTCTCTTTGACGTTGGAAGAGAAGGCGCCCGTGGTGATTGTTCTGGCGCAGCTGGACGATACCTATTTCAGTGGATTGGAGGGTGGCTATGGATTTGACCTACAATTCCGCCTCGAGTCCGACAACAAGGAGGACGAAAACGACTACATTGTCCGATCCAACGGCAATTATGCCATGGCCAGATCTGTGAGCACAGACATTGAGCTGGAAGCTGGCACGTACTCGGTTCTGATGAAGATCACCGCCACCCGGAACACAGACAGAGAGCACGTCGAAGATGTATTGCCTGTCTATGCCGCCACAAGACGCGAGAAGCTCATTCAGATGGGGCTCTCGTACGATCTCGCACATGCCAAGGGTGTGATTGTGGAAACAGAGGCCGAACGGAAAGAGCGCAAAAAGCGTGAGAAGATTCGACGTGCACAAGAGAAGGAAAAGATGAAGCAGAAGGCCAAGGCCCAGGCGAAGAAGCATTGGGAGAGACAGAAGAAAAGACATGAGCTAGAGAAGGAGAGACAGGCAAGGAACAAGGAGAGGAGAGAGAGGAAGAAACGGGCCAACGGACTGGCCGCTGAGAAGCCCCGCGAACCGGTTGTCGAGAGGCAGGGAACTTTTGGCAGCATGATCAACGCGAACCCTGAGAGCAGGAGGGATTCGACGATGCAGAATGGGCACGTCGACAAAGTCGAAGGCTTGAACCCGGGGTCTGAAGCCATCGAGGTCCAAAGCTCCAACGACTTCGTTCCTGTGAGCGCGAAGGAACCTGCAGAACTGTCAGAGGAGCCAAACCCAATCCTTGCTTCGCAGGAGAAACCAGCAGAAGAAGTCACCGCCGACAGTGTCGTCCAGCCGCTGGAAGAAGTGATCAAGCTCGCCAACTCAGAAGAGCACGCCAGCAAGCCGGAACACCTTTCTGACAAGAAGCCCGCACCACCCGAGGCTGTAGCAGCAGGGGCTGATGATACGGCCGTTCAATTTGATGGCTCCCCTGTCATTACAGACGTCAAGCCGCTGTCGAGGCTGCCTCCACAATCTCGCCCGGAGCATCTCGCATCTAAAGACATCGGCTCTGGGAAAGAAGCTACTTCTGTGATAAAATGGCATAGGGATGCTCAACCTGGTATGGCGAATGGACCTCACCATCGGACGCCGGCTCGCAGCGCCACGATTAACAGCACAGCCGTCACCATGCTAGGCATCGGGAGCGGCGCTGATGATAGGGAGTATGATATCCAAGACGGTGACCAAATCAGAGATTTCGACATTGTCCGCGAAAAAGACGGCAATCAGGAATCAAATGGACACACAGGACCCACGAACGACGACGACGTCTCTGACGCAGACTCCTTCCCGCCTTTCGACTGGAGTCCGGAACTCGACATGTCGCCCTACAGCAGCAGCGACGCCGAGTCAGGTACATCGTCGACTCACACCTTCACTCCCGGTCTAGGCCGGCTCAGGTCCACTATCCGCCGTGGGCGACGCCGCTCACGCTCACCGCTACTCAACCCGACCATCGACATGGACGGCCCAGGCCTGAAGCCACCGGGCGGCGGAGCAGATGATGACGGCGACGGGCCTGGTGAGCCATGGAACGCCGTGTGTGTTGTGGGTCTGAGGGTGTATTCGACACTGAAGGGTGAAGGGATCAAATTGAAGGTCGTACGACCGAGCGAATATTCCGACAACGAAGAAGCGGACAGAGGCAAAGCCCCAAGCGGGGCTGCTGGGGGCGAGGACGCAGAGACCAAGGAGGCCGCCGAGCGCATTTTGGACCCGGATGACATCTCAAGGGGAGCTGTGGCTGCCGAGCCTGAGAGCACGGGTGCCGTGGTAACCGGTGAGGGCGAGAAGCGTGACCCGAATTGTCTGGAAGATGGCATGAAACTAGGAAGTAGCAGCAGAATCTCGAAGCTGGGCATGCACCCCCCTCTGGCAACCAGAACAGCGACGAACAAGAGGAGATGGAGATGATCTTGACAGACTGGCAACGGCGACGGCGATGAGGGATGGGACCGGATCTCTCTGGGCGGAGGATCATTACATTGTCCGGAAACTTGAAGGCCGCGAGAATATCGGGATTGGATACGGTATTGCTTCTCTGTTCTCTCTATCCGACAATTCTCCTTTTCTCTCCTCTCTTCCGTTCCTCCCCTTAAGTCTTTTACATAAAACTCTTCTATCAAAAGACATGGCGTTGATGGGTTTGGAAATCATTCTTGGTTACAGATATGATCATGAGGTAATTACGAAAGCAGAAAAAAAAATATCTTTTCCGATTTATAAGTAAAGAGTTACACATCGTGGTTTCGTCTTCTTCTTCTTCGTCTATTTACTTATTTATTTAATACTACACTGTACTCTTTGGAGACAGGGAGAGAGATATATACATGTCGCTTTCCCAGCCAGTATGGTGTAAGAAGTTCGCTGATGTACCCCCTGTCTACTACTTCAGGTACGTTGTGTTCGCGTTGGAAAAAGATCTCTGCTGAGAAGATCCTTTTGATCTGGATTGCACAGGTCTTGATTGATGCACCTATACCCTTCCTTTGGCTATACATCTGAGCATGTCATTGAGCAACTGGGGTATTTTCATTTGGGTATCCCCTGTTCCCTTGACGCAATACACTTGTGGAACATCTGCCGGGCCAAATTCCTAGAGCAGGCGGCAAGGAGCTCTCGTATTCACCACCAAACCTCGAATAGCTACCCTAGATAGGATAGTTGGCCTATCATGCGTCCTCCTCGACAACGGCACCAAAGCTTGTGACAAGTAAAGAGTGCCGATCAACGGTTCAGTGACGAGTGCGGTATCCATCTCGAGAGTATCAAGTCGGAATAATGCAAGAATGTTTCGTCCCACTTTCGCATGTCTTGACACTGTCGCATCGCTCGACTGTAGCGACAATTCCCATTCGAGCCACCGACTGACATGAACCATCCTGGCGGCGGATGCATATACCATCCTGGCGGCAGATGGATATAGTCTGCAACACTGCCGCCACACGTCCTCCTAGTAAGCAAAACCGAAAACTCAATAGTTGAGCCCGGATAACACGACGATGCAGTGGAACCATCATTCTGGACACCGCATGGTTGCTGGCCTCGCCGGAAGCAATGTTTCTCTCTGGCCAATTTTCCTGCTCGGAGGATGCTTCAATCATATGGCTGTGCTTTTAGATGCCCATTCCATCTCGGAGAATGGTCCGAAACAGACGGCTCGTTCGCTTCTTTGGCTGGCCCACTGAACCACTATCGTCATGTTGCTCGATGCATAATTTGAAAGACTCGAATTCAATTAGGACAAAACCATTGTGCCGTCTTCATCCAAGAACCTTTAATCCACCCTTCGTCTTGGGCTGTTTCTTATGCACCCCACCGTGCTCTACCTTTCCATGGCCACCAGCGCCACCTTTGCCCTTGTGTCCTGATTGCTTCGCGGTTGTAGGTCGCACGTCTGTTACCGCCTTTTTCACCACAATCGGATGGCTGCCCACGTACTTTCCGTTCATGTCTCTTGCAGCACGGAAGTAATCATCTCCATCGGCGAAACTTACAAATCCATACCCCTTGGATTTGGTGGTGCGTTTGTCTCGGATCACACGGGCTTTTTGGACCGAGGGGTATTGTGCGAAGGCTTTGAGGAGGGAGTCATCTGTCACTTCGCCTGCGAGATTGCCGACGAAGATGCGGAAGTGTGCCGGGTCCCACTCCAAGAGGGTCGGATCAGTCCAATTGGTACCACCGCCCGAGCGATGGACCGTTTTAGCGGCATCATCCTTATGTTGAGTTGTGGACTCCTTCTGGGACGTGCTCGTGTTTTGGGTAGTGGTTGCGGCGGCTACTCCTGTTGGTTTTGGCGTGGACGTGTTATTAACATCTCTGGTCATGTATGCGCTTTGCCACTGCTGAACTTGTGCTTCATAGTCGGCGTCGTAGCCTGGATATGGATTCGCCGAGGAGGATGCGTCTGGGGTCGGCACGAAAGGGTTGCGGATCTGAGGAGCGCTCGAGTAGGAGGCGTCATATTGAGGAAGTGACGTGGGTTGCTGATACTGTGCAGCAGGGCTGTAGGTAGTGACCGGCGCTGCAGCGTAATGCGCTGGACTGCTCGTGCGATATGAGTTCGCTACCGACCTTGGAGCAAAGGCTGTGAAAGCCGGCTTCGCAGAGGCGGCGCTCGATGGTGGTTTGAAGGCTTGCGCGGGGCCGACTGCAGACGGCGGCGGCCGCGCAGGCAGTGAAGCTGGAGGTTGGGAGGTATTGAGACCTGGAGGGGCCGGATATGACATGATGAATGTTTGATCTGGCAGTGAAAACCACTGGTTGATGAAACGTACCGGAGACCTCTTAGTAGAGGTTAGTCTTGGGCCAGAGCAAGCAGCGTAGACGACGGTTGAGGAGCGCTGAGTGACAAACAGAATCGTCGTGTTGCAGAAGAAATGCGCTGTGACTGTATCTCGTCACAAGCTTGAAGGTAGGGTGGTGAAGCGCAGATGTACAGTCTATCGAAATCTGTAGAAACGCCCGAAGCCTTTGGGATCAACAATGATACGCAGCGCCGGATACTGGTGCCAAACTGCCATCCGAGAGGTTCTGGCTGCCAGAAGAAATTCGACCAAGGCACTAGTCCATATACAGTATAGCTAAGTTTCACGTGACTTAGGTAGTATTGGCGTCACCACTTTTCTTGGGCGGAGGCGGCGAGCGGTATGTTGGGAAGGCTCCGAGACGTTAGTCATGGCGAGCATCGGAAGAGCGAGACTCGACCAGATAATAGCAGCCCCTGCAAGACAGCCTTTGTTAGGGCATCACACGTGGCTCGATCGCCCGCATCAGTCTACATACTAGGTACATCCATGGGAAAGAAATGTACTGGTCACCTTTGCGACAACGCGTCCCGGCTGCTTTCGGACGGCTCGGGAGAACAATCTCGGAAGTCGCAGTTCAAGTTGGCCAGCCGTGCCAGCGTCATGATCAGGGTTTGATGCTTCTGATGTCGCTGCTGCTGCCCAGGGCTGGAAGAATGATTCAATGCTGAGTCACCAAGGTGCTGGTTATTCACGAATCCCGATAGCACATGGCCCTGTGCCAGATGGTTGCTGGCTTATTGCACCTGGTTTCATCAATTCTACGTAATCCGCGACAGTCACAGAGACTCTTCATTGGGGAACTGACCGTGCCTCGATGAGTGGTCAAGACGGCTAGTCCCAGTGGCAGGAGTAGTCAGCCGGCCGAGGGCGACTCAGTACCCAAAGCTTCCGAAGTCACGGCCACCTGGCCGCCTACCAGCTAACTACGGGTGGTGGGCTGTGGGTTGTGGGTGGTGGGTGGTGGGTGACTGCAGCTCCCAAAATGCCCCTCCAACGAGAGAAATTTGTTTGGTGGGGTTGAAGCCGTGCCTGAGTGGTAATCCATGCTGGGTGCCCATTGCCAGCTCTAATCAACATATTATTACTACCCGTTCCCCTGTTGCACCTTTCTTCTCTCTTTTTAACATTCGTGTCCTCTCGTCTTTTTCGGTGCATTAGACAGAGACTCGGTTGCTGCACTTCAGCATTGTTCTTGAATCGCTGTGCCACTATACCCATACCTAGATTTGTCCAGTCTCCAATTGACCACCACCGTCAACATGTCTGGTCCAGTGTACGTCCCTCCCCATTGTCGCGCAGGAATATCAATTGTCCTCTTCCCCTGCTTCCCTTCCTCTATTGAAACTGCATCCCAAAGCGCTGCTCTCTCCGTCATATAATTACACTCGATTGACGAACAGCATGCTGACTTTAGAGCGCGACTGGCTGGCCTCAAGGTCGGCCCAGCGCAGTCCGAACCCAGTGGTGATTTTGGTCTCATTGGCCTTGCGGTCATGGGTCAGAACTTGATCTTGAACGCTGCCGACCATGGTTTCACTGTCGTTGCCTTCAACCGAACCGTTTCCAAGGTCGACCGTTTCCTCGAAAATGAGGCCAAGGGTACGGAACAATCCCGTGTGCAGTAGACACCGTACTAACAGTGCTCAGGCAAGTCCATCGTCGGAGCCCACTCGATCGAGGAATTTGTCTCCAAGCTCAAGAAGCCCCGCCGCATGATGCTCTTGGTCATGGCTGGTCCTGCCGTTGACGACTTCATTGAAAAATTGCTCCCCTACTGTGACAAGGGTGATATCATCATTGATGGTGGAAACTCCCACTTCCCGGACAGCAACCGCCGCACCAAATACCTTGCAGAGAAGGGCATTCGATTCGTCGGCACTGGTGTCTCCGGTGGTGAGGAAGGTGCCCGCTACGGTCCCTCTTTGATGCCTGGCGGTAATGAGGAGGCCTGGCCCTACATCAAGGACATCTTCCAGAGCATCGCTGCCAAGTCCGACGGCGAACCATGCTGCGACTGGGTCGGTGACGAAGGTGCTGGACACTATGTCAAGATGGTTCACAACGGCATCGAATACGGTGACATGCAACTGATTTGCGAGGTGAGTCGGATGAGCCCACTGTTGCCAGAATGTGTTCCGCTGACCAAGTTCAGGCCTACGACATCATGAAGCGTGGTCTCGGAATGAGCTACCAGGAGATGGGTGACGTCTTCGCCGAATGGAACAAGGGTGTTTTGGACTCGTTCCTCATCGAAATCACCCGGGACGTTCTTCGCTTCAACGACGACGACGGCAAGCCGCTTGTCGAGAAGATTCTTGACTCGGCTGGTCAAAAGGGTACCGGCAAGTGGACTGCCATCAACGCTCTCGACCTCGGCATGCCTGTCACTCTGATTGGCGAGGCTGTCTTCGCTCGTTGCCTGTCTTCCATCAAGGATGAGCGTACGCGTGCTTCCAAACGTATTGAAGGGCCCAAGCCCTCCTTCACTGGAGACAAGGCCGCTTTCCTCAAGAACCTTGAGCAGGGTCTCTATGCCTCCAAGATCATCTCATATGCCCAGGGTTTCATGCTTATGCAAACTGTAAGCCAACTGCAGGATTTCCCCCGCACGCTAAGCTAACTGGACATGACAGGCCGCCAAACAATACGGCTGGAAACTCAACAAGCCATCCATTGCCCTCATGTGGCGTGGTGGTTGTATCATTCGATCGGTCTTCTTGAAGGACATCACCTCTGCTTACCGTGCTGATCCTGACCTCGAAAACCTGCTGTTCAACGACTTCTTCAACAAGGCCATCCACAACGCTCAAGAGGGCTGGAGAGACGTGATTGCGTTTGCGGTCAAGTCCGGTATTCCCATGCCGGCCTTCAGCACCGCGTTGGCCTTCTTTGATGGCTACCGCACAAAGGACCTGCCCGCCAACCTGCTCCAGGCCCAGCGCGACTACTTCGGTGCCCACACCTTTGTGATCAAGCCCGAGTATGCCAACGAGAAGTACCCCAAGGGCGAACACGTCCACGTCAACTGGACTGGCCGCGGTGGAAACGTCTCTGCTTCCACCTACAACGTCTAGACGTACCATCGTCCATGGTGATTCTCTCTGTCTCTCTTTCGCGTGTCTTGTAGCATCGCCTTGAGAGATCGGGCTCTAGAAAACATGTCCGTGCAGGCTCTGTCATTGTGCATGGTACTTGACTTGGAGGACTTCAGGATTGCATCTTACGGCATAGATAGTGTTCATAATTGGGCCTTGTTTTTGTGCCTGGAAAATAAAACTTGATCCTGGGATCCCCAGCTACGCCCCTCGGCCCCTGTCCGGCTTTCGGTGAAACTCGACCCCCGACAGACCAATCATATGAGGCTGGTGTCTCGCCCTGTCTCCAGACTTTCCCTTTGGGTGACTTTCCCCTTCTCGCCAAATAACGTTGTCCACCACAATTGCGACCGCACCCGTCAGTTGCGGCTTCTCGCGCTCATCAACTTTGCGGGTCGATCGACCACGCGCTTCATTTTCTCTTTGGTTTCGCTGTTGCTTCTCCATTCCATTTTCAAAAAGCATTGGCATTGGGCGCTTGGCGTATCAATCTGGCTTCGATTTTTGCGCACCAGAGCGTTGTGACTGCCGGTACGGGCCTGGCCTGTCACTGCCTCACTTCGTCTTCGATTTCGATCATTCGAGGCCCACGCGGCCTCTGTTTTCTCCCCTCGACTTTCCCCACACCCTCACCACTTCCCAAAACGCTAGGAGTGTGATAGCTTCTGGCGGGAGAATTTCTTTGTACCTGATCTTCTTCTGCGGGCCGCTATCGCGTGATGATGGCAGCCGACACTAGACGCCAGAATAATGCAGGAACAAGAGTGCCGGTGGCTCTGCCCAAGGGCGAGCCTACTCAGCCTGCAGCATCTTCGGTATCTCAGGATGTTAGTTTGCAATCAGCCATTGGAAGCCGGTAAGACTGTGCTTGACGAAATACGACGACTTGAGTCGCTCACAGCTGTCACAGCGTCCGCCTGACCACCACTGCGCCAAATCAAACAACAGTGGAGGGTACTGTCTACACGGCTGATCCCCTGACCAACCTTCTCGTCATCAATACCTCTGCCAGCTCTACCATCTCCATTACCTCCACTTCCCTCGTCGCCCCGGCGGGTGCCTACCGAATCATCCCCATTTCGCAAATCAGTTCCTTCCAGCTCCTCTCGCTCCCTCAATCATCCCCGGTACCTGCGAACACCTCGGCCCTCAACACAATCGACACGAATGCTGTGCAAGCCCGACTTGCGAAGAACATAGCTAGCCAGCAAGCGGCACAAGCCCGCGTCGGGCCCAAAGGCACTAGCCCAGTTGACCAAGCGCTGTTCGATGCGCTCTCCCGGACTCACCCAGCGCGCTGGTCTGGCAACATCATGGTCATCTCAGATACTTTCTTGATTGACAAACCGTATGGCGCGGCAAATGTTCGGCACGCCGAGGGCCGAGATGGTGATCTGGAGCGGATGAAGAAGGTGGTAGATATGGAGCGGTCGAAGATCACACTGAGATTTGCGAAGGGATCGCTCGACGGGAAGCTAGGATCTGATGTCTCGCCTGTCAAAGCGGCTTCACCCGCAGGCATGAAGAAGGGCGGCTAATGTAGATTAAGGGCATACAAACCCGAATGTCTGGGATTCAATGAAGAAGGCGGGAAGGACGGTTGACTGTGCGGAATCTCGCGCAGGAGCCAGGAACAAGCACTGACAGGCCCGGGATATCGAGGCGCATTATTTGGAGTCAACATCAGGATATCAAGAAGTGCAGCACAGAGCGCTGCCCCCTTTTGGTACCCTGTTGACTGCGCCTCAATCATCTCATTGGCTCCGTTCAAACCAAGGGTTTACCACCATCGAGTCGTGGTAGGATCATTGAGCGAGCAGTGGGATAGAGAGGCTCAACCCTCTGTCTCTCGGTTGAAATGGACTGAAGAGAATCCTAAAGGTTGTTGTGCACGGAGCTCGAGCAACCATGTGTCCATAACTATACTCTGCAATTGTGCCCGCTCTTATGCATCTGGTATTTGGATTCTCTACACGAAGTACGGAATACAGATGAATTACACAGCTGCTTTATATCTTCCGCCATGGTTCGCCGTCGAACTGAAATGCTCAACGACTTGAAGATCTGCCGACGCTGGTGTGCGGGGGGCCGGCGGACCATGTTTGGGGAAGACAATCGCTTGACCCCCTTTCAGGCGGCAGCCTTGCGGATCCTCCCGACGTCGCCTAATTCCATCAGCGTGGGCAGGACCATCCCAGGCTCGGAGCAAGCCTCAGGAATACTAGTATATGAACTCGTGCCGTGCTCCTGAAAAGGGTGGTCAGATAGCAACACCCTTGGCTGTTTGACCAATGAATACGAGGTATGGACTAAACAGATTTGACTGTGGCTGGCAGACTCGCTCCCCCGAAGAAACAATGGCCGTTGCGGTGTTAGGCCAGGGCAACTACTATACAACCCGCTCGCGTTCGCAGATGACCCAATTTATACTAGAGCACCGACTAACCCGACAACAGCAACCACAAAGACTTCTTGTTTAAGTCCCCTATGTTCAGCACCGGCACTGCTTGTTGCGCTTGCGACTGAGGCAGTCGCGCTGGCCTGTGACCCTGTCATCGACGCGGCGCTGTCCGTGGTAGTTGCTGCGGACCCTCCGCCGCCACAGTATTGGGAGCTCAGAGACATGATATCACTCGTTGAGGGGATGCTGTCACCACAGATCGATGTGTAGCAGCTAGATTGAGAAAAAAATATCAGCGAAGTGCCGTACGAGGGACATCGGGCGGCATTACCTGAGGGCTGCACGAACGTAGCTGCATTCGCACGAGCTGAGGGCTACCTCGTCCGTGAGCGTGGTTGCGCACTGTACGACTGACCCAAGGCATTGCAGGACAGATCTGCGTTTAGATTGTTAGTGGTTTTCCACTGTGCATGCACTGGACGTGGGGAAGTCATCAGGCTGGAGTCACTTACTCAGGCCCAGGAGATCCGTCCGTGGTGCAAACCATCTGTGCCGAGACCATATGGACGGCGGCAAGTGGCACGCCCATTAACGCAATTGACAATCTCATCTTGAAGCTTTGAACGGTGACCCTTGGATATGGAGGAGGAGAGGCTGGTCGTAGTCTTTACTTACATACCTAGAGGAGAACTGGGAGAAACAGGCCCTGTCAGGCAGAAGGGATCTCTGGCCGATTTATGCGGCTTAGGCTCTCTCTTGCCTCCTCCCCCTGAAAGGGGCCGTTTCGTAACCCAGTCCACTTTCACGATCATCACCACGACCACGACCACAACTGAAACACACAGAGTTCGAGACACGAGCCCCGAAGATATGACGGCGGCTCGGCGAACGGCTGGCAACTCACCGGCCAGGCTGTGAACGGCCTTCGCACGGTGTTTAGACTTTTCCACGACCACCACGACTAAGTCCAAGTGTTTTTGAATATCCCATTCCCAGAGCGCCTGCCAGCCGGGGACATGGGGATCGAGGAGTCGTCCTGTTACTCTTGTATCAAAACACGAGGCTTAAGCGAAGATTGGATGGTGAAATTGGGCTTGGCGAGGTCCAGAACAGACAAGCTCCGTACCTTTGCGTGCTTAAGCTCGTGTTTGCGGTGGCCAAGAAAGCTTCTGGTGCTTCCACATGACAAGTCACAGCTTATCACCCAACGACGGGGGAAATCAAGGATCTCTCGGCGTGCTTTTCCCGTCTCTCGCTCGTGTGCGGCTGAGAAGTCCTACCTAGGTACGCTTGGCCTCGTCTAATAAGTCGAAACTCCGCTGAGCGACCACGAGAGTTTTGACAAAGCCTCGTTGCATTGGCTTTCCATTCCCCAAATACCCACCACGAAAAAAGTGACCCGCTCGCCTCGTGTATTGACAAAAGGCCCAGAGCAGTGGTCATAGGGCTGAGCAGGAACAGGTATCGTTCCACAAGGCAGAATCGTCCCTCTGTCTCCATTTCCCCTTCATGCCAACACCGCTAGGGACTGGACTCGCTCGCTACAAAAGGATAGCGTAGAGAGCCTTACCGCTTGTCGACAACCTCCGGCTACTTTCTGCAACGGTACACGGGCCAACTTGCACACCATGGTCCTTTTACATTTCCATACAGATACGTCTGGAAAAAAGAGAAACAAGCTTATTGGTTGAGCTTGTATGCCTTGGGTTCTAGTGGGCTTCGAGCCTGCAGCACGCCGAACACTCAGACTTTTTCCAACGTCTGGCCAAAAGGCTCCGACGGGGTATGATGTCTCGAAGGAGCTGTGTTGGGCTGCAATGAGGCGAGTCTCGAAGAAAATGCCCTTCAAGAATAGGTATGCGAGGCGTCTAGACCTGGAGGAGAAACAGGTAGTATATCTGCTCTAGACTCCCCCATTGCTACTTTTTGGCAGTTTGCTTCTTCGAACCACAGCAATCGCTGCAACAATGCCTTCTCGTCTACTCTGCATGACGATCTGCGTGCCTCTTTTCTTCCTTTACCTGCAGGTGGTCGACGCAGCCAACATGCAGGCTCGCAGGAATCCTGCCTTGCTCACTGACCACCAAATGTATGGCCAGCTCATGAAGCGCGATCTGTCGACCCGTTCAAACTCCTGCCTCCCTGCGGTCGATGCTGCGTCATGCGACGGCTTAACCGGCTGCGCCGGTAAGTTTCAAAGACTCCCATCTTCTTCACACATTTTAAACACACTCTTCTCTTCTGTGTACGTTTACGTGCGATGGCGATGGGGCTGACCAGAAGCGTTGTTACTAGCATACTGCTGTCCAGCGGACCAAGAGTGCTGCAACGCTCTGGGGTGTCGACCCAAGGACAGCGTCGCCTGCGGGACCGGGTATGCCACCGACGGATGGAAATGCTGCGGCTCCAGCTGGATGTATCCCGCCAGCCAGGGGGCCATCTGCTGCGGCGGGTCGCAGGGCTACTGGTGTCCGGCCGGGTTCCAGTGCGTTACGCATCTGATCGTGCAGTATAGCTGCTGCACCGACGACACTTGCAATGTCTACTGGAACGGCACCGACACCGTCACGGTCTCTTCATCGTCGTCCTCGACCTCCCCGACCCTTCCACCACCAGCCACAGCACCGGTGACAACACCAGTCACAACACCGCCCGCAGACACGACGCCTTTGCCTCCTCCCACGACCAAGAAAACCAGTAAAACAACCCCCGCCGCATCTCCCGCCGCGACGCCCACGACATGCAACCCCTCCGGCCCGCAACCGACATTCATCCTGCAACAAACATCCAGCCCTCTCAAGAAGGAGAACGGGACCTACGCGGTCCTCTCCAAAATCGGCGGCGGACGCGACAAGATCTCCTTCGGCGCCACGTCCTCCTCCAAGGCCACGAAATTCACATTCAACAAGGCATGCGGCCTCGTCGGCGTTGCCAGCAAGGAAGTCGCCAACTTACACCCGCCGTTCACCGCCGCCACGGCACCGGCCACGACATTGTGGTTCGACTCACCCGCCAATATCACGGCCAAGGCCTACACCACGCCCAAATTCAACAGTGCGAGTGGTGGGAAGCAATTGACGGTGAGCGTCGCGGGAGTGGCGGAGAAGTGGTTCTCGTGTAATGGCACCTTGAGCGTCGGGACTAAGGCGGGAAGTAGTAGTAGCAAGTGCGTCAAGATCGCGTTGACGCCGCATTTTGTCAAGAGCTGAATGAAAAACCCAGGAGCCCGAGCCTGACTTCGTGGTTGTTTGTGGTATCAATTAGTGTTTCCAAAAGGGGGAACATAGCTGGTACTACATCCATTGTCTAATGAAATTCAACTTATCTGTGTTCTCCCGCGTACTGTAAATGAATTTGAAAAGGCAGAGAAATCCAGTAGAGCCCCAGTTCTTTGGGAACTTGACGCCGGCTCAGGATGCCAGACAAAACCTCCCAACCGGACCCTTTCGAGAGACGAATATATCTAGACCAGACTGTTGGTGCCATTGCGTGTCTTGACTCGTGTCTTTATGTGTGTTTCTCCCCTCTTCCGGAAGCCAAATTCTTGTAGTAATGGTAACCAGTTATAACACCCCAAAAACCAAGGCCAGGATTTTCCGCGCACTATTCGTACTCGTATACCTGAAAAAGATCACCCAACCACGAAGCAATCAACGACACCATCTCCTTGGTACAGCTGTGGCCCGTATTCTCCTGCACGAAGAGCCGGACCTGCTGGCCACCCTCCTCATGTTGTGCCCCGTTCTCCCTTTCCGTCACCTTGCGGCGGCGGTGGACCCAGGCGGCCGTGTACTGCGGCGGGACCAACGGATCCACAGCCCCATTACACAACAGCACGGGCACATCGGTGGGGAACTCGTCGGCGACGAACCTGTCGCCCTCCAAAACGAGCTCAGCCAGCGCCCGGGGCCACCTCCGCCTCTGTTCGTCCGTCATCAGTTCCGCCAGGCCCTCGTACCGCGTGGCGGCGGCGGCAGTAGCACCAGCGCCAGTGGCTTGTTCGATGCCCAGCCGCGAGAGAAGCAGGGGGCTCAAACTCGGACACCCAACGACCATCGCGAACCCTTCGATCTGGCCCGGCGCTGCTAACGAAGCCATTCGCCACGCCGTGTGCGCGCCCAGCGACACGCCGGCCATGATGTTGTGGAACCGCGTGAACTGCGGCAGGTACGCGGGCAGGTAGTCCAGGATGAGCTTGAAGTCCTGGGCGGAGCCGGAGATCATCGATAGGAGGTCCATGCTGTTTGAGTGGGCAGAGGTTGGAATGTTAGCTTAAACCCAACCAAAGGGGCCAAAATAAAGTCGGCTGTGAAAATGGGGGATTTGAGAATGTAGCAAAAGTGAACATAAACAAAGCAACCTGTTGAAGAAGGAACTCTGTCACACTTACCCGTGGTTATCGTTCCCGTCGTCCCACGTATAGTTCGCATGTGGACTAACCTGTTCGTTGACCAGACGTCAGACACCAGAATCCAGTGTGGTCGTCACCGATTGTTATACACCGATGGGTGGAGTTGAGAACGTCAATGACAAAGTACAGAGGAAAAACCGAAGTGGGAGCAAAAACTGCATACCTCCCGATCCCCATGATTCCTCATATTAATCGTCACCGCAATGAGCTCATACCTCTTCCGCCGCCCTCGCTCAGTTCTATAACTGTGCAGAACCTCGTACGCAATGTCCTCGGTGACCAGGTACGACCTCTTGCGATTGTGCGCGAGGTACAGGACGGCGACCTCGACGTCGGCCTTATGCACGAGCTCCTCCAGGCCGTACACGTACACCCTGATCCCGCCGATGACGATATCTGTCCTGCTGGACGGCGGTGTCGTCGGAGGTAGGCTGAAGCGTGGCTGGAGGTGGGATTTCGTGCGGTTCTGGTGGTCCTCCTTTGATATCTTGGTGCCCATCTTCTTCGGCGACAGGCATGGGTCTTGCGAGTGCACTTGGACTGCTGGTGGCGTCATTTTGTTTTTCTTGGGATGTTGGGAAATGGAAGCGAGGTCTCAGGTATGAGTCTAGGTATTTGGTGGCTTTAGCTTGAAGGTCAGGGAGTGAGAGGGAGTCAGGGAGTGAGAGGGAGTCAGGGAGTGAGAGGGAGTCAGGGAGTGAGAGGGAGTCAGGGAG